ATCTTTAATTGGCACCAGTGTTGTGATACTACTGTGGCTTCTCTCTAACAAGGGAAAGAGGTCTCTTCGCTACATATTGATCATTAATTTGACGTTTGCCGGTATGTCACGGCCTTGGTCATAATATCTTATCCGGTGAAATATCATACTGAACAAATTGGATCGTCAGAATTCATCAATTCCTTAAACAACTCTATATCAGGAGGGTATGTTCTCGCAAAAAAACACGGTGTTCCTCCTGGGAATGCTTGTAAGATAAATGGGTGGATAGGCCAGGTATCTGTACAGGTTTGTGAGACACTTGACAGGTCTCCGTGATTTGGGCAAGAGACTGACTTCGGAGGCTAGGTGGCCGACTTTTCGATCCTTGCCATTGCTATAGTGACATTGCTAGCCATACACCGCATGCCATGGATTCACGAGCCCTGTGTGCAGGTGAAGTATGTTGTAGTGATAATTGTGTGGACTATTCCACTGTTAACGGGTAACTGGACATCCATCTTGCCCCACTCCCTGCTAGCTAAACCAAAACCGTCAACGCTGATACTCGGCGCTCAGGAACCGCGGCGCTTATCATGGACGCCTACGGGACTGTGTCAGGCAATTGGTGCTGGATAAAGCGCGATCCGCGATTCCTGCGCTACGCTCTTGGACACGGATGGCGCTACACTATCATCATCACCACATGTATCATCTATGGCTTCATCTTTCGGCGCATGCATCGTATTGTCAAAAGCAGGAAGCAATACAATAAAGCAGCTTTGGACTCCGCGGCCAAGTCAAATGCGGGCATGATACTTCCAGGCACTGTCACGAACAGTATGGCGACGAAACTCGCGACTTCCGTTCAAGGTTAGCAACACCAGGTTGTTCTCTGACGAAGCTACTAACCCTGATGCAGAACAACACAACTCGGCCTCCCATGACTGGCCACATGGCCCTGCAGCGTCCAACCTGGCCGCGCCAAACTTACCAGTGACCGTTATCGAAAGATCCAAACTCGATGAGGAGAGTTGGCGTTGGTTTCTCCTTGTTTTGTACCCGCTCACTTATATTGCTCTTCTTCTTCCTGGCCTGGCCAATCGTCTTGCTGAGTTGGCAGGTCACAGTAATCGTTGGTTGTGCATCTTTCAAGCCTCGACGCAGTTTACGGGACTAGCCAACGCGTTGATATACGGGCTAAGGGAGCATCGTAGGATTAGACGAAGATGCGTTTCACACGGGGTGGATAGAAACCCTAGTTCATGATGAAAATATTCCAGCTCGACTCAAATTGCGGTGTTGCGATGTCAGCACGAGCTGGATGGGAGGTTCCTTGTCGCGGGCAAACAGTGTCTCAGTGACTCGTCGACGGAAGTATCTAACTTTCTGGTATTCGTTGGACTATAAGAGTTGGACAATATGGGCCCTGTGGGCCATGTGGGTCCTATACTTGCCACTATCGCCACCTAGAACGGCGACCATCCCCACATACCTCTATTACGAGAAATGTGGCGAGGATAGAACATTCCCTACTTATCTATATGCTTCTACAACTTGTCTGAATTAATCAGCAAGTCTACCATTCATTGACTATATAAGAACCCTTTTGTTTCCATACATAGACCCTCGAAGAGAGGACCAGAGTTAGCTACAATACAGACAGGTTAGGCATATGTGCCCTCCTTTTGCTCCTTCAACGGGAACATCAAATCCAAGTATAAGTAACGTCCCACACCCACATCCGGGACACCCAAAAATGCCTCAACACCGCTAGCCTCTAACTTCAACCTCCCAATATCGATTCAATCGTTACAAAATTTTACGTACGTCTTCTTTATACTAATATGAGTCAATATATCGAAGATAATATTTGTCGAGCTCTTCAAGCAATAGCTACCGGTCAAAGCCTCCGAAAAGTAGCATATGAGCATGGTGTCCCAAGGTCTACTCTTTCACGACGGATTCAGGGAGCCCAGTCAAGAGATATATCCTTCGCTGACTACCAGAGGCTCTCTCCAGCCCAGGAGTCTCATCTGACTGAATGGGTTCGAATCCAGGCTGCCCTAGGCCTCCCACCAACCCATCAACAGCTCAAAGACTTCGCCGAGCGTATCCTACAGATCCACGGAAACACCGAACCACTTGGAAAGAACTGGGTCCAGGCTTTTATCAAGAGGAACCCTTCAGTCAAGGTCCAGAGAAGCAGAGCTATCGATTCCCAGCGTATTAATGGAGCCTCAGCTAATGTGATCAGGCAATGGTTCAAATACCTCGCTATCCCTGAGATCAAAGCTATTAAGGCCTCGAATCGATACAATATGGATGAGACAGGTATTCTAGAAGGTAGAGGATCAAATGGTCTTGTTCTAGGATCATCTGAGACTCGTTCTATACGGAAGAAACAGCCTGGATCTCGAGCTTAGACATCTCTTATAGAGTGTATCTCTGCGACTGGTACTGCACTACCCCCACTTGTGATATACAAGGGGAAGTCTGTCCAGTAGCAGTGGTTTCCTCTGGACTTGACTCTATACGAAGCTTGGAGGTTTACAGCAATAGAGAATGGGTGGACGTCAGACTCTACGGCTATTGAGTGGCTACAAAAGATCTTTATTCCTTTGACTCAACCAGAGGACCCTGAAGAGACTAGGTTACTTATCCTAGATGGGCATAGTAGCCACGAAACGACAGAGTTTATGTACCTCTGCTTCATAAACAAGATACACTTGCTTTTCTTGCCGCCACACACATCCCACGTTCTCCAGCATCTCGATCAGTCAGTCTTTGGACCCCTCAAGGCAGCCTATAAGAAGGAGCTTGGTTACCTTGACCGATGGGATACTACTACTGTCGTAGGGAAGAGAAACTTTCTCCTCTGCTATAGAAAGGCACGTCTAGCAGCATTGACCGCTAAGAACATTATCAGTGGATGGAAATATACTGGTCTCTGGCCTTCGAGCATAGCTAGACTGTCAGAGAACAGAATGCCATAGGCACCGGTGGGACACCGGTGGGGCTCTGGTGTAGGAATGTGCGAGTCATGACACGATATGGAAGTCTTGGTTTGCGGAACAATCGGGGAAACTAGTGCTCCGCGGCTCCGACGTCGGGTTCTAGCTATCTATGTAAGGGGCGGAGGCCCGGGAAGAAGATAGAGGGAGAGTAGAGATCAATGCATCACCGTGGGCACCCCTACCTGAGACCGCCAGTGACCACCCGGTATTACGTAGGAGGGACGCCCGTTACTCCCCATCACTCTGTACTATCGCCTTCGGCCTAGCCGTACCCTGACATAGACCCCTTATGAGCCCCCTGCTCCTTGAGAATACGTCAGCACCAATCAGACAACCTAGTCAGACTTGAAAAGGGTACTCTGATAGTAAGGGTAGTCAGGACTGGGCGTTAGAGACATCAGCAGTAGCCTGGTCAACGCCTAAGAGGAGAGATGAGCTCCAAGATCAACTCAGCTTATTCAGCAAGCTTGATAGTGATCTAAATACCCAGTGTGACGGGCTCACTGCGAAACTATACAGCTCAACATGGCCAAATACTGTTAATTATCTAACTGAGGAGGAAAGTAAAATATGCGAGTTGTCCCGGGAACACGGACTATGTTTTGTGTGCCCTCGATGGTTCCTTTGGTGGATCCGGACGCACGGTCCTTGCAGCTCCGGATCCCATATCAGGCACAGCCTGTCACACCCAGCGGCTACTCTTTCGGAAAGTTCAAAAGGGCTTTGATGAGAAGGACTACCAATTAGCTGTCGCACAGCGAACGATTGAGGCAATAGAGGCAGAGCTTGAGGCTAGTAGGGCTAGGAAGCGGAGGAAGGTCAAGATGAGCCCTAATTCGAAGTTTACTAATATCAAGGCTATTCGGAAGGCTCAAATCGAGGCTGGTGAAATTGAGGATAGTACAGATGAGTCTAGCGAGTCTGAAAACCCTAGTAACGGTGAAAGCTGTATTGTAGTCGCATTAGAATAAGTGTAAAAAAGGTTGAAGTTAATGGTTATAATATACAGGTGTCGGCTGGTGTGGTTGGTCACTTCGCTGGTAGATAAGTCCCGATTTGAGCCTCGCCCACTTGGGTCGGTGACGAGTCGCGGGTTCGAATCCCGCAGCTGACACACAAGGGGGTTTAGTCAACCCTTACGGCGCGCTGCCCACCTTGTTGACTTCGCCTACCTAGCGATAATAGGGAGATTGGTGCAGTTTAGGATTACGAGCATCCTAGCCAGTCGACCGTCAAGCACTACGTCGGCGGAATATAACTCGACAGCCGGTCCAGAATTCGAATCGTTAATCCGACCCCTTATCGGACCTCGCCTATCCGACAACGCTCGTCGGCGAACCCGTCCCCTCACGATAGAAGGCGCGCAGCACGCCCTCTCGCCGCGATTCTTGCGAGCGTCTAGACCACGTTACGGTCTATCCACTTGAGCGTATGGTTGAGATGTATACGCTCGACGAGAACCCCAATTAGCAGATACTACGACTTGTCGCGACAAAAAAATAGTCGAGCATCTTCTGCACATCAGCAGCATCCCACCCCTGAGAACGAATTTAAGTGCCACATTACCACACTTATCGGTAGTTCAGGCAGGGGTTGTAGCACAGACTTAGGGAGGGACAGGAGGTTTAGTAGTCGTTTGGCTACAAGTTTACCTGTATAACCGCCCGACGCGGCTTAAGGGCTCGCTATATCATCTATAGCCCCTTAAGGGAGTACTTGTAGAGGTACCGAGGGTTAACACCTACGGCGTATTTAATATTTTAATATACAGTGTCATTTTTAGGGCGTCCCACATGTGGGGGTGTCCGGGATGTAGGTGTGGGACGTTATCTCATAAGCCCTGATTCCCCGAAATAGTGCGCCGATTTCACCCGCCAGACGTTGTACACGGCACATCTGTGAATGAGATTATCGAAACTTTTGGACTATCTTGCAAGTGCCAAATACTTGCGAATACTCCTGCGGTGAAGCTCCAATCCTCCTGCGACACAATAAACAAGAGAAAAGAGGCTTATTTGCACAAATTTCACCAAAACAGCTTATTTAAGCTATGGGGAAATTGCTGCAAGTTTCGTTGGACTCTTTTGTGGTGTCACAACTTCCTTGAAGTTTTCTTTAAGAGGAAAGGAATGCGCGATGCTCCCCCTGAACTGCACCGGTCACACCTTCTTTCGAGGGGTAAAATGCACCCGGAGACCTCCACTCAGGATTTGAGCGTCACCCAATATTGATTTCCACCATGAGACATATTCCCTAATGATTCCTTGAGTAATCCAACCCATCTGCCCACCCCTTAAGCATACTCCAATCTCTCTACGCCCCATCCAGGCCTCAAATACTCCGCATCAAATCTCATGTCGTAGTTCGTCTCATGTACATAGTCTACATTCCACTGAACCCTCATCTCTGCCCCCAGCGCACTCTGACTCCACACCGTAACTGCAATCGTATTATTCCCATCATAATCCAAAATCCCCGGCGGCACAGGGAAGTCGATCTGGTTCCCGATATACGGATTGAACCGACCGTACTGATAACCGTTGACGAACAACAATGCGCGGAGTTGGTTCGTGGCACCGGTTGGCGATATGAATGTCGAGTTCGAGGGCGCGGTGAGGCGAAAGGAGATAGACACGTCAAGACCTGCTGGGACAGATAGAGGGACGACGGTTCGGAAGGTTCGAATCCCGGCCCCGGGGACGGCGAGGCTAGTGCTATTGGATGCTATCTTGGACCAGGACTTGTCGTTGTACCCAGGGAGATGCATGCCCACTCGCTCAGCGTACAACCCGCCCTCGTTAAGCGGTCCGCGGATCGTGTCGAGGACGTCCTCCCGGCCGGCAGTGCCTGCAATCTTCCACTCGCTGAAATTGTACTCGCCCGGGCCGATGAGTGTGGCGTTGGTGATACCTCGAGGATTCAGCGCTAGTGATCGTTGATCGTGGCCCGAGTTATCCATGACAACGACGAGCACATTATCCTTATTTTTGTTGAGAGTAGCGTTCGCGAAAGAGAAGGTCGATCCTTGCTTGTCAATCCAGGAGAGGCCGAGCCAGGAGCCGATGAATTTCGAGTTGAGCCAAGCCGAGTAGCCGAACGCTGTGCCGCCTGTGATGTTCAAGAAGACGCCGGTAGGCGGCTGGGAAGAAGCGGAGAAGGTGGCCCGGTAGATGTGGTTTCCAACGTGAATGTCATAATCGTCCACGTATAGTACTGGGTTGTTCGATGCTGGCTTTGTGGGGTTGGAAGTGTTGGTGTTGGTCGCAGCTACTTTAGTTAGCTTCTACCAGACCTCTCTAATTTATTTCACTTACCAACCCAGGCCTTGCTCGTAGCGGAGTAGTTACCGCTGATCTCAGGTAAGCTGTCAGCATATCTCCATCCACTCAACTCAGGAAGTAAATAATCTTCTGCGCCACCGATGGTCGCTCTCAAAACCGTTTCGTTGTTTGAGTTTGTCTGCAGCTTCTTTCCGTTCCAGGTGACCGTATTAACCGACTTAGGTGCGAAGATCTTTATGGTGGTTGTGTTTGCAACATCGCCAGTCAGTACCAGTCTGTTACCCTCCAGGCTCACCGAGCGAACAAGGTACGGTCCTTGCACCAGTACTGTTCTGATTTAGTTATGATCCCAACAAGACTGCATCCATTGACAAACGTACCTGTGTCATTTCCAGCCTCCGCTGGGTCGTTGTTCAAGGACGGCGACCAAAACAGATATGCAGCTGCGCGATCGAGGAGCACCACTCTAGAGCCATCATTGAGATCAATTAAACTCATCCCAGAGTTTTCTGTAAATGAGATAGTCACACTAGACTCCCCAGGGTGAACTTTGATGCTCGAATAACCACTGCGCGAAGCTAACCTAGCCGACGTCACATCCTCGATAGTGAACTCGCCAGATTCGCCTCCGGGAGTCCAGAGGACCAGCACCTCCTTGTTGTCGATTATGGCGTGCGTGAGAACTTCTGCTGTTGAGTAAAGCAGTGACTTCTGACCGAACTGGAAGTCGGTGACGATGATCTTGGATTGATGGCCGTTGAGAGTGATGAGACCGCCATATTGGGGTATTGTCACTGTAAGGTTGGTAAGCTGCAGCAGACGAAGTGAAACCGAACACTATTCGAGAGGGATAAAAAGTAGAGGTGTGAAGAGCCCTAATACAGGTAGCATGAATTTGGGTACTAACAGGGGCCAGCCGAAGTGTCAACATCCAGGGTGAAAGTTTCCAGAGTTGAGGATGATGAGTCAGCATGCATGGTCACATAGAAGGCCGCACCAGTGTCAGGGTTGCGCAATTCGGAAGTCTCAATGGCGGAGTTGCTCGCATAACCCGTATTCTGGAGTTCATTAGCAATTATTTCACGAAGGAAACCCGACTATCTTACATTGCCGATACGATCGGTCTTGGTTAGTTCCTTCGCAACTGTGCCATGTTTTAGCCTTGAGATACAACTCGGATATGCCCTGAATCATACCTCTCGTGAACTGCGTCAGAAGTTTGGTCTCGTAGTACTTGCTTCCAATGATCCGATTCTCCGAGATTGGCGAGGAATAATCGTAACTTGTCGCTGCGAAATATGGGTCAGTTTTCATCCTCGAAAGATGGGGTTTCATCAAGACCAGCTTACCCACGACAGGAGCAGCATGCCATCCCCACGAAGTACCGCCGAAAAGCATGTATAACGAGATGGCCGATACCCTCTGGTATATCAGGTTGCGGTAGAAAAGGTTTGCGAAGTCGGCGCCAATGTCTCCTGGACAACCACCTTCGGGGCCACCCCAAGGATTGTATGATCCGCCCTGGAACTCAGGCATGAAGTTTGGCTGGGTTCTAAACTCCACTTTAGATCAACGGGCCGGATTAGGCGAACGGGACAGACTTACGGAGACTGTTTTGTAAAGTAGCTAATCACACAATGTTAGCGGTCAGTCAAGGGCATGATTGATTGATAATGAGATGTACTCGTAGTAGTTCACCGTTTGCTAGAGCAGTTCAGTCAGCGTCACGTTGACCAGGTAATATTGGCTGCTGGTTACTCACATAGGCAACATATTTACCGTTCGTCCCAGTGCATTCTGATAAGTTGCAACTCCAGCAGCTAGGGCTGTAGTACAAAGAGTCAGTCGACTTGCTCCTAAAGTGGAGAGCGAATGGAGAAGGGGTGGGAGGAAGGGGGGCGCGGGGGGTAAAATGGCCGAGTAGTGCGTACTATGAGTCTAAACCAACCAAGTCCTAAATATCAACGAATTAGCTTTGTCTTCCTTAAGCGGCTAATGTGAAACTTCTCATCTTCTCTGAAGCCAGGTCAGCGAATAGAATTGGGGTACGTACCACATTGCCTGTGGCGTTCGAGAAGTCCTTGGACCAGGAATAGCCATTCTACCCAGACACGCGTCAGCACAACACTGTGTACCGGATACTCCGTAGGACTCCGTAGAAAAACCCACCATGTTGGGAGCATTGTGCGTCAATGGCACATCAATCCCGTTATCCCTCGCGTTCTGCTCCAAGAGCTCCATGTACTCTTGAACCTTCGGGTTATCAGTCTTAGTAGCAATGTTCTTCCATTGCCCATCGAGCTCGTTCTCGATCTGAAACAGAACGACGTTGCCACCATTGGTAATCAAGTGAGGCGCAACAACCTGAGACAAGGCATTCATATACGGTGTCCAGGCTTGGGTGTATCTTGGATCGTTGTCCCTCAAACCACCGTATGCGCCCGTAGTTAACCACAGAGGAAATCCACCTGCGTTCGCTTCGGCATTGACGTATGGTCCGGGCCTGATTATCATGTACATGCCGAGCTCTTCTGCGAGAGTCATGATGGAGGTGAAGTCGTGCGCTCCAGTTTCGAAGTCAAGAACTCCGGGAGTTGGGTTGTGATAGCCCCAGTGGTTGTATATGGAGAAGGCATTGAAGCTGCGGAACCAGTCAGATACGATGGTAGGGATGGTGTTCCGAGGAGAATTACCCTGCGGCCTTGACTTTCTCGAGCAAATCCCTCCATAATTCCGGGCTGGATTATAGTAAGTTTTTATACTTGTTACAGTGGTTGGGAAACTTACACAGGATAGCGCCAGTAGTGAAACTGGAAGATCAGGTAAGCTGAATTGCTAGTCATAGTGAGGTAAAGAAGTTAACGTACCTCGCCGGAGAAGACAAAAAGCCGCTCACCATTGATAAGGATACTATAGTGATCCCTGCCGTTTTCCGAATTAGACCATTTCCAAACTTGTCCGATGGGATGAGAAGAACTAACCATTCTACAAGGTCCGTCAGGCCATTGTCATGTAGCGGCCATTCTGTCGTCGTATTACTCTGTCCCAACACTACACCAAGGGACACAAGCAAGCCAAATAGCGTGAATAACCTAGTGAGCGCCGCCATGATCAGTGACTTTCAGCAAAACTATCAAAACCCGCAGCCTGTGAACAACTCCAACTTCTTGATCACAAATTGGGGCATTCCCATTCTTATTCTCGACCCCAACTGATCAGACATACGTCCGACCCCACAAATGAGGGATCACCAGGGGTTCAAGGTCGTATCCCGTGCAATCCCAAATTTCCCCGTCGCCATGCGGATGGGGCAAATCGCGGGGTATTGGGGACCGAAAACAGGCGAGCATTCAGACAAGGGCACTTGGCGTCACTTTACGCGCCGAAATATTTGGTAAATATGACAACATTCGGGTGAGATGCCGAGATAGGCCGAAGACGTTACACTGTAGGCTTGGGTTTATATTTAAAGGCGTGTGTCGTCCCATGTTGGGTTGAGCGCTAACGGGATACGAAGCGGTCAATCGATGGAACAAGGGTTGAATAAAGTGTCGGTCCCCGCATAAGGTCTCCAACAGTTCATCCAAGAGTCTGGTACCGAGGTCAAGTTGATAAATCGATGTCTTGTCCTCGTTGTAGAGCTATCCAAGATCATGACAAGAACATTGATGGTTTTCAGTCGAAAGCTCTCCGATGATTCCCTACCATACCCCGTGAGCAACATCCGGTGAGACAACATTACGAAGATAAACATCAACCCTTACAGTCAATGGCCCACAGTCTTACCTAGATATTCTTTTTCGATTTCTTGCCCAGTCACGGTCGTGTCCTTTGTCAAGACTCCACCCACTTCTACCTAATCAAGGGAAACCCCTCTTCAACAAGTCTCAGACGCACCCCCAACTCGCAACCGGGTCTTCACACGCAATATCGGATTATCTGGATTTTTTAGCATCTCTTGATTAATCCAATCCAGGTAGAAGTTGCCGGATTTGTGCTGGACATCGACTTAAAATGTAAGACTGGGTTTCTCGGTGCTCCTGGCTTGAAGTTGACAGCTCTCGTTTTCGCCAGGAAAAGGTCTGGTCTTCTCCTCGTTGTTGCAGTTAATGATGGCAATGAGATCACCGTAGCCCACATCGTAGTAATGCGCCCTGTGATTAACCAATGGAATAGTCGGCGATCGGGATAGGTGAGTTCAGAACACCTAGCCAGATACTTCTGCACATCCTCTACTTCCTTCTTGAATCTGGGCACATCAGTACATGCCTTCCCTTCTCATCTGAATAGAGGTGACTTACTTTGGTTCAAAATCAACTCCTTTCCCCTGCTCCACCGACGGAATGAAATCGTAAAGCTGAGAGACGCATTTACCTGCCCCGAATGCGTCCACACCTGCGCTCCGTCAAAATCGGTCGACTGACTCGTTCGCATGCTCAAAACGGGAATACGAGCCCGAGCTATTCCGCCAGTAGAACTCCTCCGCCACTCTTAACCAAAATATCTGAAGAGCCGGGTCTTCGATTCCTCGGAACGTCTCTTTTATGTCCACGGGCATGCCCATGGTGCAGAGGATTAGGATGGGACGTTTTCCAACAGTAGAGAGACGCCAGCTGTAGTGAAGGATTTGGTGGTGCTGCCGATGCCGAAAAGGTTGTGGGCCGTTATGGGCGTTGAGGCCCTGGGTGCTGTTAGTACGTGTATGGTTAGAAATATATACCGTCTCATAGTGCTACCGGATTGAATAAGGTTCCTATGAGTGAAACGGGGGATGAGGCGTTGACATGAGTTTAATATGCACTAGTGATCGCGTTCTTCCTTTGGCCAATGTTTATTGCCATTGATAAGTGCGACGGCCAATTCCTAGCGCATGTCACTTTTGCCCGACAGAATGAATTAATTCCTCGAATTCAATATCTGCCATGGTTTAAAATATGCTCAGGACCGCATTCTCATCTCATCATCGACTAGAGTAGAATCTGTATCAACCCGAAGTGTGTGTTGTGTGACGTCGTCACTGTGAAAGGTATCACTGCGTTCGACGGTGATGGCCGTAGCACTATCAGCGAATACCAGCACAAAAATACTGGTGACCAACTTCATGATGGTGAGTAGTTCCATCCCAAATGCGAAAGATATGTTACTGCAACCACAGCCTCATTTAAGGCCGGTACCCAGCATGTCAATGCCAAGAGAAGCCAACAGGGATGTTTGTAGGCGAGCTGGGCGTTGCCATAAGTGGTAGGAGACAGAGCAAGCCCCTGCTTGAACCGTCAGGGCGGCATAGCAACGTGATATCGGAGACATTTGTTTTCGTGGTGCAGGACACAAGCCCAACGTGTTGGTTATCGATAAGAGTCAAGGTCATGGTTATTTGACCAGACCTGCGCAATCGGCCTGAAGGCCTTATGAAGTCAGCAGATTCGTTGAAGAGCCTGCTAGACAGCCTGTATGATCATGCTTTAATAGTTTAGCCCTCAAGGTCGCATTTGCAGCCCAACTAACCATAGTTAGTCCCCTTCGTAAGTCAAGCAGGCAGCCATCCATTCCTTCATTTCTAACAAGAAGAAGCCTGATTATAGTGACCTGTACGTCTAGACAGACGTAACGTGCACAAACTTCGTACTCAATGTTTAAAATCCGGGGACTAACAATTGAGGTGTGAGGCCAAGGGTCATCTAGGCTCAGAAGGCACCTCTGTTGATCAGTTCATTTCGTTCATTAATCACACCAGGATTCCAGCGACTCGGACGGATCCTTCGACTTGGCCACGAACGCAGTAAAGCCTTCAAAGTAAGTATTGTTGGCCAATTATATGCCCACTTCGACATGACACCGTCAGCCCGGATGCGAGCCCACAGTAGCATAGTTTCATGACCCATCGGAACCCGAATCGCCGGAAACAACATCATCGGCAAATTGTGCAGTTTTATGCAGACGCTGACAGATTGTGCTCCTACTTCAGCAAATCAGGATGTAATTCTGAAGCATTTTATGTGCGTGCACGCGTTTTACGGAGACGGACACAACTTTGTAATCCTGCCGTTCAAATCGCTGTTCCTTTAAAAGGACTTATACACACACACTCAGCCCAGATGCGCGGGTCTTATTCTTTACAAATCAGGTAGCGGTTAGGATACGCTGCCAAGACGCAATCGGTCATTTTTCATGATTCCGGTGTTCCCGACTTTTCTCTCTTTATTTCTACGCATCCTGCGTGTTTCTTTGTCTTTGACAATGGCTGCTAGTTAGGGAATTTGGCTGAATTCCCATGCGTAACCCGACTTTGTCATTGTCGCATTGTCCAAGACATCCAAGCAAAGGAGAGGAGCCTCCACGGATGCTGTCGGCCCACATTCTCCAGGAACTAGGCAGCGGCAATACCCGCATTCATCCCATCAAGCTTTCTGTTCCCACACCACCCACTGATCCACAATTGATCCACAAGCTCGGGTACGTGTCTGAGTGCTCCTCGAGGCCGAGACAATCCGTCCTCTGAAATCTTCATCAAACTCACTGCACGTCTCTGAGACAATGACTAATAAGACAACCAGTCCCCTTCTCGTCCGCCATGGCGTCCAGCAGCACAGCAACCGCGGCTCACGACATCGACACGCTTAGGCAATTGGAACGCAAGATCAGCCAAGCATTTGACGAAGGTCACGATGCAGACATACCATCGAGTGAAGGATACATCCTCGACGACAGGGGCCAAAGGAAGCGCGCGCGATCCATCGCAGAGGTCAGGCGCAAATCGGAAGCCCACAGCATGGACGGAGAAGCAGCAGACCGCGATGTGGAAAAGGCACCCGGGGCGCACGGCGGGGGCATGCCTTTGAGCAACGACGACATAGATGGCAATGACGATCTAAATGTCATATCAATGGGCCCGACAGACCCGGAACACCCGTACCAGTGGCCCCGCTGGCGCACCTTTATGAACGCCTTCTTGATCAGCGCCATGTCATTCTTGACGCCTCTAGCTTCGTGTAAGGCCATGATCCCATCTAGCTGCGTGCAAGGAGGAAAACACCTCACCCCTCTGCCCCTACCCCCCATAAAAGGAAAAGGCCCCCTATACTGACACATTCTCCCAGCAATCTTCGCCCCCGGCGTCCCCCAACTACTGCGCGAATTCCAAAACCCCAGCCTGGAAATCGCCGCCTTCGTAGTCTCCGTCTACATCCTAGGGTTTGCCTTCGGTCCCTTAATCATGGCCCCGGCGTCAGAAATGTACGGCCGACTCGTCGTCTACCACATTTCCAACGTCAGCTTCCTCGCCTTCGTCATAGCGTGCGCTCTGGCACCTAACATGAACACCTTGATCGTGTTTCGGTTCCTGTCGGGCGTATTTGGGAGCACGGCTATTACTAACGGTGGGGGTTCCATCGCGGACTTGTTCCCCCAGGAAAGGAGGGCCGTTGCCATGGCTGGGTTTGCGGTTGGGCCTTTGTTGGGGCCTATTATTGGACCAGTGACAGGGGGGTTCTTGGCTGATGTGAGTGTTCCCTTTCCAGATGTGTTGATCTCAGCAAGTGGTAGAAGACTGACTGAGACTTCAAAAAACAGGCCGAAGGCTGGCGTTGGAACTTCTGGGTCCTAGCCATCGCCACCGGCTTCCTCTCCATCGTCATGCTCTTCATCCTCAAAGAAAGCTACGTCCCTGTGCTCCTGGAGCGGAAAGTGCGCCGGCTGCGCAAAGAAACCGGCAACAACCTTCTACGCTCCAATCTCGACATCGGTCTCTCCACATCTGATTACTTCAAGCGGGGCCTCGTCCGACCCGTGAAAATGCTGCTCCTCTCGCCCATCATCATGCTGACGTCTCTCTTCATGGCCGTTACATACGGATACTTGTACGTCATGTTCACCTCCATGACCGAAGTATTCCAGCAGTACTACGGCTTCTCTACCAGCCTCGTCGGTTTATCTTTCCTCGGCCTCGGAATAGGGTCGCTGGTGGGCATCTTTGTGTTCAGCAGTACGTCAGATCGATACATGAAGCGCAAATCCGCCGAAGACGACGCCCGAGCCGGCGCCTCCGGCACAGAGAAGGAGGGGGGTATGAAACCCGAATACCGGCTCCCCTTCCTATTGCTAGGCGCCGTTCTTCTCCCCATTGGTTTATTCACCTACGGGTGGACGGCCGAGAAACACGTCCACTGGATCGTGCCCATCTTCGGCACGGGGATTGTAGGCGTTGCGAATATTGTCATTTTCATGGCTTTGCAGATGTACCTCGTTGATGCTTTTACCGTCTACGCGGCGTCAGCGCTGGCTGCGAATACGTTAGTACGGTCTATTGCGGGCGCGGTGTTGCCGCTCGCAGGGCTGCCGATGTATGAGAAGCTGGGGATTGGGTGGGGGAATAGTATTTTGGCATTTATTGCGCTGGGGTTTGCGCCGGTTGCTTGGTTGATTATTAGGTATGGGGAGGTTATTAGGAAGAGCTATCCTATGAAGAATCTATGAGATAAGGGGTATGTATGGTTGGGATAGGGGTGGGGCGGCATGTAATAAGCAAGCTTGGCGATTCAATTGATGGCCCACAGGGAATTTGTGCGATACTACGAATAGAGATTCTCTTTGTTATGTTGAGACGTTTTTCACTTTTCGAGCTATTGCGTTCACATAGCAGCAGTTTTGGAAGCCCGCATGTTGTGTTATCCATCACTGTCAACACAGCTTCCCATCACATCTGCAATGTTTTGATCAAGCTAAATGCAGGTTTCGAACCTTATGTGACAACTGCCGTGTAATACTGTCCTAAGCTATCAAATCTATCAATATCTTTTTCACTAAAAACGACTGTAAGCTTACATATACTCTCTCCGCAAGTTTAGAACTTATTCCAAGCTATAGCAAAGCATAAGATTTAATGTGTCTGATCTACCCAAGTCTAAAGGAGTGAAGGTGGCCATATGGTCTGACAAACTGGCGCAATTAGGTTGTAATGCCCTTGAGGTTCCACCACCGCTCATCGTCAGTCAACTGGCTGTAGTAGCGGTAAATCGGAAAATACAGTTGTTCGAAGTCGAAGGCTGGTGCGGTCCGACAGCAAGCTCAAGCACCCTCCTCCTTAGTATCCCGAAAAATATAATCCATGAACGCCTGAGGCGTGTGATTGCCCGCCATCTCAGCGGTTTCGGTAAACTCCCTAATCTCCCTCTCCTCCTCATCACTCAAATTCACCCCCAGAGCGCCCCAATTCTCCTCCAGATACTTCATTTTCTTCGTCCCCGGAATAGGGAAAATGTCCTCCCCTTGCTTCATCACCCACGCCAGCGCTAGCTGCGACACCGTACATCCCTTGCGATCCGCAAACGCCTTGAACTGATTCACCACCTTGACGTTCTGCTCGCGGTTGCCTTCTTGGAAACGGGGCATCGCCTTGGTGCGTATGTCCTTTTCGTCGCCGGGGGTTTTCCCTGCGCTAAAACTCGTGGTTAGGAGACCCCGGCCCAGGGGGGCGGCGACGACAACAGCGACGCCGAGCTCGCGGCAGGTCGAGAGCAGGTTCATGCCTGTGGGTCCTTCGATATCGCGCGTGAAGACCGAGTATTCGATTTGGATCGCGGCTACGGGGGCGATTTTGACGGCGCGACGGAGAGTCGTAGAGGAGATGGTAGAGAGGCCGATGTGCTTGATCCTACCCTCGCTAGAGTGGCCTTATTTTAGTTGATGGCCTATTGTGCAAAGTTTAAAGGAGGTACTCACGCTTGGAGTTCTGCCAAGGCTCGCATGGTTTCCTCGATGGGCGTCTCTGGATTGGCGCTGTGCAACCAGTCTGGCCAATTATATTAGCAAGACAGCCAATATGTAACACCGGTCGTTTCCGTGACTCGATGACTCTGTCATCACCTAAGAGTAACAGTAGCGACATCTTGCTATTGTCCGAATGCGCAGTATGGAAAACGGGAACGTCAGGGGAGCGGAAGAGAACTCACAAATATCAATGCAGTCAATTCCCATGATCCTCAAGCTCTCCGCACAAGCTTTCTTGCAATAAGGCCCGGAGCTGTCAACCTCCATTTTCTTGCTACCCTTGACAAAGCCAAACTTGGTAGACAAGAAAATCTGGTCCCGCTTGCCCGTACGCTTGAACCACTTGCCCAACAACTCCTCGCCGTCTCCGTAGAGACTTTGAGGATATGATTAGCACTAGGCTTCGAGTGGGCTCTGTGTGGAAATTACTTACTCGGAGCTGTCCCAGAAGGTGTTACCCTGTTCTAGGGCACGGTCGAGCAAGGCGAAACGTTCCTCATCGTTGGGGGTTGAACCGTAGGTTTGGTAGGACATGCCCATCAGGCCGAAGCCCATCGCGGGAACGAGGGGGCCATTCTTGCCAAGGGGGTGGTAAGGGATGGAGTTAGGTGCCATTTTGATGCTGAAGTGGATGCGAGTGTAGAAGGATCGGGAAAAGGTAGTTGAAACACGATGGGGAGGAGCCTGTTCTTTGTAGTCGCCTACACTCGATCTTGACGCCATAGGAAACAGGGGTTTCTACCTCGTTTCGATATACTGCTGGTGCTGGCCAATCGGCTTGCAGATTTTGCGACCAGACCAATCAGTGCGGTGGTCAATCTGACAGCAGGAAAATTCTACAACTTAGATCTCACACCGATCGAGTCAAGAAAGAGCCAGCTGCCTTCCTCATGAGCCGAATCAAAAGACGAGTGGCCTTTGCATTATTATCCCGTCCCCTTATGCCCGAAGGCGGCCAGGTGTGTGTCATGGTGCGCCGCACAGCGCAAAGACGCAGGCGCCGTGCATTGTAGCAGCCGAATGGGAGACAAGTAAGGAAGTCCTTTTATAGCAGCTGAATATAATGTCAAGATGCACCTGGTCACATTACGCACAGATACGACTGATTCATAAATGATCTTCGATACCCAAAGAATCCTCGAGCCTTTTCTACTAACGTCCCTGTCACCGAATGTGACCGTAGCAAGGCGCCAGATGCTGCCGTCGAGACTCCATCGATCATTAGGATCTGCTGGCCCGATCTGGCGGACTTCGATGGCATCTTTTTGTGGGACAAGTCGTCGCAATTCATGGTACAGACGCGCTGGATGACCTAGTACACGGAAAAGAAGAGGCCTGTTGATATTATTTCTAAGTGAGAATGTAAGTGGTGCAATATTTGAGGACTAAGTCTTGGGAGTAATCAACTTCGTGGGTGAATGACATGGTGGCTATGCTTTAGATAAGGCGGTTTAATTAATTATGTTCGAGTGCCATTCTTGCTCTTCCCCCCTGTGTGGGTATACCTTTGAGTTATAGTTAACTGATTGGATCAACAAGGCGGGGGCAAATCACTTCCAAGACAGATTAAGGAGCAATTAAATATATAAATCGTGGTCTTAAAACCAACGAGACCCATTGCGCTCTATGGTACATTATAATGTATCATTCCGCCCTTTTCCCGCCCACAAGGCCCAAAGATACCCCCGAACACCAGAGCATGCTCAATGCGAGTCAACTGCGATAAAGAAGAAAAACAAAACAGTGGAAGGAAAGAAACCTTGTTCAGTTTCTTGCCTCCTCTTTAGCACACAGCATATCTTACATACGACATGAAACCCACAGCCAACGTCTATCCATCCAGACGTTATCACCAGGCACACAGTACACTCCACCGTGATATTGACCACACAACCGCAAAATGCACCAGTAAAAGCGCAAAACTGACCCTCTCGTCCCACCTCCATCGGGAAAAGCCAGCGTGAACGCGCCTCTGCGACATTCTTTCATACGATAGTTCGAAAGCACAACTATGCGGCATTCCTAGATCCATAGCGGCAATGCCCGTCAGGGTGGATCCGATTCCGAGGTTCACCATATACGGCCAGCAGAGCCTGGCGAGCGACGCCATTTTTATGAGGAAGAAGCTGAGTCGCAAGGGGAACACAATGGACTCGGCATTGGCGTGGTAGAAATGATCGAGCTGGTGGTAAGCGACCAGAGCTCGATGTTGAGTCCGCCCCAGAAAAGTCGTAGGGGGCGGCATGAGAAGTGGCGGAGAGGGCGTCGGGGCAAGGATGCTGTCAGTCGTTCCGAGATCTGGTGCAGAGCGGCGATAGCCGTCCTCGCTTCGGGAGAGAGCCATGGCATGGGGGCGGTAGCGGGGACTAGTGCGGTTCGGATCTTTTTTCAGACTCTGTCGTGGGGTCTCAGGTGGTTTGTTGCGCAAAGGTGAGGATGGGGTGTCAGGGGAAGAAATGACTTCTTCCGCAGCTGTATCCCGGAATCGTTTCTTGAGGGGATCCGCGATTGGAGTCCCGGGAGGCATCGGAGAGTCTAGGTTCTGCACTCTTCGTCCACGAAGTCCGACTGGAGGGCTCATGCTTCGTCCTTCCCTCCGCAGGCCGCCTGTGTTCGATTCCAGATTCATCACAGTCAGCACTTCTGTTGCGCTTGGTCGCTCTGCAGGCTCGAGGGCGAGCATTTTCTTGAGCAACTGATAGAGCTTTGCGGGCAAGCCAGGCCGCTCTTTCCTCTCATCCTGGAAACCTTTCCAATCCGTGATTTCGGCTCGGAGTTGGTCGATGTCCTCCAATTCCTCGTGGATGGTATTGGCATTGAGATATGGAAGGCGACTGAAACACAAGAAGTACAGAATCATGCCCAGAGAGAATATGTCGGACTTGGTCGTGAAATTGCCGAACTGCCCGCCCAAGTCTCTTCTGAGCACTTCAGGTGCACAGTACGAGATTGTGCCTGTAGTTCCCGTGGACTTCCGGACAGCATGCTCGGGCTGGACTTCTCCAAAGTCGCTGATCAGGCAAGTAAGCTTTCCTCCTTCGCGATGCAGAAGACAATTACTCGGCTTCAGATCACGATGGATGTAATTGGAGCCATGAAGGTACGCCAGACCCGAAACTATATCCTTGAACAGGGAGTAAATGTCCTCGAACGGGAGGCGACGAAGGGATGAATGGGGATCATGTGGATGATCAGACTGCCCTTTCGATTTGCGGCGCATGTGAGCCTTGAGCTGCTCCTTGGTGGTCTCCTCCGGTTGATCTCCAACGATGTAGCGCAACAGATCCCCACCGTTGCAGTATTGTTGCAGGATAAAGGCGCAGGCCACACTCGGACCGAATCGATTGGGTTTGTAATCCTCTAGCCATACGTGGCGATAGGAAACCAAGTTGGGGTGGGACAGTTTGGCTAGAAGCTCAACCTCAACCAATACCTTCTCGAGCCATGCGTGGTCGTCGCCCACTGGAACACGTTTGCAGGCGAAGTGGCCCAGTTGGCAACCATCAATTTCATGGCGGACCAGCAATACCACGCCTTTCCCACCCCTTCCAAGCTCACTTTCCTCGACGAAGAAGGTGTTGAAATAATTTGGACTGAATGCGTTTCTCCTAATACGTGCGCCCGCTTGGGGAGCTGGTGTGCTCGATAGAAATTCAGCCTCCGCCACCTCTTGTATCCTGACATTACCACTGGGCAACGCTGGCTGCGTCAACCTCCTTATGGGACTCGGGGGGGAACGTTCTGCGTCGTCGGCGTGATGTGTTTCATCATGGCCAGCTTGTAGCATGCGAAAGTAGTTGGGATCGACGTACGACTCATCGTGAGCCGGTATATCAAAGTGTCGTTCCGGCGACGACGAGCGAGCTCGAAGGGATTGATGGCAGGTGGGGCATTCCGTCAACGACAGGCCCCGAATCTCGAGGCGTTGCGACGATGGATCACGCACAACCAGGGCGTTGCGGTGGCGTCTGGTGATCGCGCAACTTGTCAGCAACCGTGTCGACAATTCCTAGCGAAGTGGCGACGGCAATGCGAGCGCGATGCCGTCCTTCTACTCCAATTGCATCTGGAATCTTTTGGAGCGGGGCACTCCTAGAATGACGTACAAAACAATCTCGCGGCCTTCTCGCGATGTGTATGGGATCAACTCCATAGCCGGCAAGCGATCTGATGGCGGATGGCGGATGAGTGTAAAGTTGTATCATGGAGAGAGATAAATGTAGTGTGCCATAGCTTGCTTAATTAATGTCGAGGATGCCTGTACGCTCTTCATTCCACCGCGCACCAGCTGGAACGCTGATGTTATTCAGCGATTTTGGAGGACTAGGTTCGAAGTGGACTGACCCAAGTCTCAGCGTCCTAACATAGAGTGGTCCGACCGTCCGGTACATATCATTGCTGTAGTGGGAACGCCGAATTGCAGGTACCACCACCTCAATTTAGCGGCGAGCACATCTGAATGAAGTAGCAACTGCGATTATTTCTCCAACCATTCATTAAGCAAGTGAGTCCTCTGCCCTAATGTCCAGTATGTTTAATACTTATTACAATTATTGCCATTGCAACACGCCTGTTCCGACCAAACAATTAGGAGCGGCTGCTATGGCCTCAATGCGCCAGGATGTTGCCTGGAGATACGCGCCTTATCTCCCCACCTCGATGGTTCCTCCCGCTCATTCCAGTTGCACCCATCGCAAAATTCACTTGCATTAATGCGCGTCCTCAGCCAATGCACCTCTCCAAAGTGTACCTTATTACTGCCAATAAGCTGCTTTGATCAATGCTTTCCTTGGGAACTTCACATCTCAACTTTTCAATTGGTCGCTGCCCATGGATCTCCTCTTCCGGGAACCAGGCCCCGTGGAGCCCGTACGGCACTCGCTGCGGCAACTTGACGCGAGCGATGATGTCCCTCATGTTTTTCGCATCAATAACCCACAATTCGCTCACGGCATGGTCGCCACACTCGCCGTTGTTGTCCAACTGCGACTCATCGAATACATAGGTGAGCAGCCAACCATCGTCTTCAGATGCTGGGTCTGCTCGGGGCACGAAACGCGGCTCTTGCGCAAACCATCCCTCGGGCAGCGCGAACAGCTTGATCGGATCGTCAGGGTCGACGCTCCGCATGATCTCGTCGAGGGTACGGTTATCCACACAACCTTTGATTTGTTGTGGTGGGTGAGCAATGCCCCGACTAATTAGTGTCTCTGCGTTAATTTTGGCGAGGTAGTCAATTTTGGCAGCTTTGCCCAACGCAGCAGAATAATAAGAAGACGAGCCGGTGCTGCACCCATATATGTAGCACGCAGATGTCATCTCATAAGATTTTGCCAATGTGGGAAACTCAAACGGAATGGCTGACAGTGCCCACTGATTTCGAATCATAGGCTTGTCCGTCATATCTGCCGTTAACGGGAAACTAAAATAATACAGGCGACATTGTTCTTGCTCAACATACTCAGGAGGTACTGGTTTAGGGACGGGCGGCGCGAGCGCACCAGCGCTGTACACCACAGATGCCGATGTGAGGCGACACGCGAGAAGATGAACGCATTTCTCGGAAACGGGCACAATCGAGTCCGTTTCCCAGCAATTCGCCGCGTGAAAAATGACACACGCATTTGTCTCGAACCATTGGATCTTCTGCGGTTCGTATCTCGGGAAAACACCGAACCGCGATCGTTCCGTCGGGTCGTATGAAACGACAGGCTTTCCTACCAAGCTGTTCATCGGATTCAAGGAAAGAGGCAAATCCATGATGATGGTGTGCCTTGCCGAGACACCAAAATCATGCATCATCTTTGGGGAAGACACCCCTTGTATCGGCATGTCGAATCGAGGCCCAAGCATCGGCGCGCGTGGGTCTACGGGCTTGCTCGGCGGGACGATGGAATAATAGACGAAAGGCTTGATGAATACGGCATGGAAGGATATCAGCTCCTTCGTCACTGGGTCTACTCGAGGGTGGCCTGTTGTCCACTCCTTCATGAATGCAATGGAGGATTCTCCCCCGAAGCCACGCCGCCCGTCTTGGTTTGGTTCGTTTTCCGCCTTACGTCCATTGAACCATCCAACGGTCTCCAACCCGGGCAGTTGAAATCTCATGGGTAGACCACTCTCGCATGTGGCCAGTGCTCGACCATCGTGGAAGATGACGCTCGTGTTGGCGACGCTGATCTTCTTTACGCGTTGCCTCGATCCAGGTAATGCTGACAAAAGCACGAGAAACAAGGTCCGTAAAACTACCACGATGATTCTGGCGAGTGATGCGCTGACGAGAGTCGCTATACTAGGAAGGAGTGGTGTTTTGAGATTGGTGTTGTCCTTAGCGTTTAGATAAACGTCGGTCAGGATGAATTGGTTGACAAATTCGGGTTTAACCTCTGTCCCTTTCTCCCCGCCCCTTCGGAACAGGACCCCACTCAGCATGCCATCGCCGTCGAACCAATGCGCATCACGACCAAGGTTCTCATTCGTGGTCGGGTTGCCACCATTCCGCACATATTGACCACCGGCGAGCTCTGGAGGTATGTGACCCATAAATGTACACGGAGTAAGCGGTCGCGTCCGCTTAATAGGAGCAAAGTTTCCCGACAGGTATCTGGAAAAGCTGTCAGCTCTTCATCGCCCAGTTCTATTTCATCGACAACTTACGGATGCGGCCCGCGGGTTACCTTTTCGTCCTCTCGTGTCGCCACAGCCCTCAACAATGCTTCTGACATGGTGAGACTGTGCCTCTGGTTTACAATTATTGGGGTCGGGTGAAGACACAACAGAAGCAACGTTCTTCCAGCACAGTCCCGTGCGCGAGAACGCGAAGGCTCGAAACCGAGAAGCTAAGATGGCTACCTTTTGAGAACGATTCCACACTGGTTTCCCATCACTATCCGATCATTGCCGCGTAGCAAGGATGAAAACTTATGTTTCCGAGTTTTGCCCACTTCTGCGCTGGTCTCGATCTCATGATGATACGCCGAGAGAGTTCTGAAGCAAGCGCACGGACTGCAAGGCTGCAATGGAATGGCATGTGGTTCAGGCCCATAGCTATCATCTGAAGTCTCCAGTTTCGAACGGTCAGGCTATTAAGCGGGGAAGTTACCTCGTCACTCGCGGGGCGAGACACGTGGTCTGTACTGTGTATGCATGGTTACGGATGTTGCATGACGAACTCAACTATCAGATTACACATCTGAGAAGTCTTTGACAATCGAATGTTCGGAGTTGTGGGACTCGCTTGTAGCTGGATGCGAGGCACCGGAAGAAGTGCATGCATGCCGGCTCGGTGAAAGACACAGTTAGTCCTGGTCCACCCACTAGAATCTTCCCACGGTCGAGGCTAGCGAAAGGGCTTGTAATTACCCCTCAAGCAAGCTTTGGCTGGCATCCCTAGTTCTATCTGGCGAGGAAAATGTTGATCGTACTCCAAAACTGGAGCTCGACACAGGTAATGATATCATGACTTCGCTCCGGACTAGACAGATGAGGTCCGGGCGGGTCGGGAGCTAAAACGGTGATTCATCAACACCGAAACTTTAACCCGACTGTATGCATATCTCACCCCCACTGTAACAGTACTTTTCAAACATTATCTTCGCGCCAACTTGTGAGTTGCTGATCGTCGCCGGCAATTCTGCAGGTGACAACCCGTAGCGCTCTGTACTGATATCTGGGTCTCATGACCAAGACATGTCGAGTCAGATCGTTGCTGTGGTCGCGCACAAGCAAGGCTCGTCCACGTTTCCATTTGCTAACGTTGGGATGCCATAACGTTGAACGTCTTACAGAAAAGCTTGTTTGTCTATTAATCCCGGCAGCGATCACTTCGGTTTGTGCTATAGCTCCTGTGCTTGTCTTCCGAGTTAGGAGCTAGGGGTAGCTCCGACATGGGCAGTGGGCAAAGGGTAACAAAAACGACAGAACTGCATCTCGAAAGGCCAATACCTTGAGAGTACATACAATTTTAAGGTACATGACTCTGTGACAGTTGCAGTTGCTCTGACAGGGTATCAGGAATATCCAGATGAAGTCATCGCTTCCCTCGCTAGCCACATAGCATGGATAAGTCTGTGGTGTTCAAATAAACCCCATCCCCAGTAGCCATTCGCTGGTGTATCTAGCCGCCCAAGTAATATCGCCGAGAGAATAATACTGTCCAGTTCGCTCTGTGTACTCACAGACTGGCTCAACGGCTCTCTACAACGGTACGCTATCGAACATCGAGACCGCCACAATGCCTAGAAACGAGGCAATCAACACCAATAGTGTGGTGGGGGATCGCCCCGACCTCCTCATCACCACCCATGGCTCCGACTGGTACTTCGCTGTGTGTGCCATCATGGGCATCTCGACTATCGCTTTCATGGGCCTAGCTCTGACCAAGCCCCAAACTCACCGCATGTTCCACTATATCACGGCCGGTATCACGGCCGTCGCCTGCATCGCTTACTTCTCCATGGGTGCCGACTTGGGCCAAGTACCTATCCAGGCTGAGTTCGTCCGTCCTGGAAGTAGCGCTGTCGCCGCCGCGGGCACCCGCGAGATCTTCTACGCCCGCTACATCGATTGGGCCATCACGACGCCCTTGCTGCTTCTGGATCTGATGCTGACAGCCGGCATTCCCTTGCCTACTATCCTCATCACTCTCCTCGCCGACGAGATCATGATTGTCTGCGGCCTCATCGGTGCCCTCACCCGCACCACGTACAAATGGGGCTTCTGGGCCTTCGGCACCGCTGCATTCCTCTACGTCGTTTACAATTTGATCTGGGACGGCCGCAAGCATGCCAATACTCTCGGTGGTGAACCAAAGAAAACATTCAATATGTGTGGCATTTGGCTCATATTTCTCTGGTTCCTTTACCCCATTGCTTGGGGTTTGAGCGAAGGCGCCAATGTCATTCACCCGGATTCTGAGGCCATCTTTTACGGTGTCCTGGATATTATGGCCAAGCCTATTTTCGGTGCTTTGCTCATCTGGGGCCACCGCAACATCAATCCTACCCAGTTGGGACTGCGCATTCGAGAGTCGAAGCAAACTAGTGAGAAGTTCAATTCCGGAACTTCGGGTGGTGTGAACGCCCCTGATGGCGTTACGGGAACCAATGGGCAGAATGCGGCGGCGGCAACCACAACCACTACTGCGACCAATGGGCAAAACGTATAATCAAACCGTAGCTTGAATTTGGTTTAGGAGAATTCTTCCTTGCGCCATGCGGGTTCGAAATGATGGACGACAGAGAGCGTGGCTCACAATCCTTTTACAGAACCATCGATGACGGGGTCTAAACCGCGTTATTACGAACTGTTTCACTTTGATGTTCACGTTCAAAATACCCTACCCTACGATCTTTAGTTTTACTCAACATACCCGAGGTACTATCCAATTTAATGGGGTGGTAATGGATAAAGTTATGGTTTGCGATTGAGTTATACCCTTGGATTCTAATTAGTGTTTTCCACAAGTTAAAACAGGTTGAAATAAGATGAAGTTTGAACGTCAACCTCGCGATGTTACTGAATTGAAGTCCTTATCTTCACTTGGTGATATAATATCGATATGTATTAGGGTTATGTGAATGTGGCACAAACCGATGCACCACGTTACTACTCTACCCTTTCCCGCTCCAATAGTGCTTAACACCTGCTGTCAGCATTTGGCGGCTACAACTATGATCTCCCCATACTTTCCAACTCCTCATCGCCAAGCCGAAAATCATGCTATCGACGGGTACATGGTCTACAGTGTTTCTTTCTCCAGTTTCATCTGCATGGCATCCGAACGGAAAAGATGTGCGGGGTCTTTCTTGTCCAAGCCAACTCGAAGAATAACTCGAAGAATAGGATGAACGCTGCACGCGCTTACTCCGCCTCGCCTCATCTGCGAAACTCATGTGGTGTACGAAACTAAGCGTAACACGCATATGCGTTACGTTAAAGTGTCTGTAATAGAGTTTCCATTTCAATACGTTACTTCATACGAAAGGGATTTTCTGAGTTTTGTCTTCATGTGTCCAAGACCGCAACTAAGCGTCCCCTGCATGTGATGTACACCCAAGTAAAGCTTGTTTCTCTGTGTCCAAGATCGCTCTCATGCGCCAGACTCCTCTTTCCTTCCTCCAACCGCCGATCTCACGCCAATCCCCATTTTAAAAACATGCCTACTCCCTTTCCACCCTTCGGACCCACGTAGTTGCTCCCACCGGCCCCAGCAGCCCCCGCAAATACCGTCGCGGGATCGGAATCGAGCTCCTCCAGCGGCTGAAAGATACCCCTGACGTGATTCGCAGGCTTGACCCCCACTGCGAGCATGCGGCCCGATTCACTAATACTGCCGTTGACGATCTCAATTCTACCTCAATTCTACCTAGCTGGATATTGGCTTTGGAGATGTCGAGGTCATTTTGGTCCACAATGCGCAGGTTATCAGAAACTATGATATATGGTGGCGGATGGCCGAAGTTGGGTTGCTGACGGTGCGGAGCACGATAATCCTAGAGAAATCAGCCCGGTGGGCTAGATGGGCGCGCTGGTTGGCGTTGAGGACAGCGCCGTCCTCTTAGGCTGTTACTCAGTATGTTGATTTTGTTTCGTTGGTCTTAGTGATCATCCGTTAGTGATATGTCACTTGGCTTGTTCATGTGGACAGATACCACTCTTCCCGGGTCTCAATGCCCCCGAGATGTAAGAAGAACAGGGGAAGAACTTATGAGCCACGTCCTCAAACGTCTCACTCAGAAGTGTACCAGAGTAGCAGATAATCACTTGTGGCAACTTCGCCCGTAAGCACCATCGAAATCATCATGGTAGCCGCGCAGAAAGTGACATTAACCTGGTACTTAACCCGGTACCTGGTGCTGGCAATCGTATGATTCAGGGTTGCGTTGGAAACCAATTCGAAGCGACACCACGCAACGCTTTATTGACCTCAAATTCCCCCAGTCCGTAGTGATACGACCCTCGCCGTGTTGATATGTACCAAAGCCCAAATAGCCTCCGTAAATGTTGTCTGGCAACTTGCGGGCGTTGAGCTTGAAGTGCAGAGCCACCTGGATAGCAAACTTGGCAAGACCATGGATCCCAGGGTTGCCAGCTTGTGGTTGATCCCGGCAATGTCGTTAAAGAGGACGTCGGTCGATATGAAGTGAACCTTTCTGACAACATCAGGCTTGTAATCAGTTGCGGTGCTAATCTCGCTCATGCCGGCTGTTGCTTGACATATTTTCCCTGAAGCTATGCAGCGAACATTTGGATAGATGTGGCAACAACCGACAGAGTCTAACTGGCTGCTAGCAGTAAGCCTGCCAATTAAATGGACCGCATCGTGGGAGGCTGTGATTAATGGAGCAGAAGTAATATATTGATATTGTCGTTGATATCATTGCAGGATGATATAGTTGGTTGACTGAGGTGACAATTTCGCAAACCTAGCAGCACCAAAAGACGTTGCAGAAGGCACGTCATAAATGAATAGCTCTATGAATAAGGCAGCCGGCAAGCACTAAAATTCCTTGCAGGTAGCTGAAAATTGAATGCGGCGCACGTGTATTTATAAGGTAATGTCCCTAAATTCCACTGTCGGTATGTTGGTGTTGTACTCAAAAGAATAAGTGCTGCACTACGGCTGGACAAAGGCTGTACATGAAGTAGCTGAATGCCACCAAAAACAAAAAGAAAAAAAGAAGAAAGATCATCATGGAGGCTGATACTGAGTGTTTATGTTTGAAGATATTGCCGATGACAATTGTTAGAACCTTGTCAACTAAGTGATGAATATATATCACATACCCCCAAACACAAATAGATAAAGACATAGATTAAGTAGATGCAACTGCATGGCGGGCTTAGCTAATGGCACTTTTCTTTCAAGTTGCTGACTGTCAACGCAGACATTAACAAGTACTTCACGTAGTTTGCTCATGGAGTTGAGACTCAAGCTGGCACCAGTGCAGGATTTTGTTGCTCGATTATAATGTGTCACAAGTTGCCCCTTGCAACGGGGCCAATGCAAATACGAGATACAGCAACTCATTTCCAGATAAGGCAACTGTGGTATTTTCTTGCGGCTGGCTGCGCCGGCCATAGTGGTCGCTTCGGGGGCCTGCCATTACTGACTGTTCAAGTTTCCAATCCGGTTTTAGGCAAGATACTGATATCATCCTGGAAAAGGCCGTGGAGCTCCAGGCTGAAGGTATTTAACGGAAAGAACTGCTAAGAGAAGTAGAGACCCGGATGCGCTGGAAAATCGTTAGACTCAGTTCTAGCACGGTCTGTGTTTCGCTAATGTTGAGAAGATCTTCGCGGCGTTGCACACAGGCATCCCAACGCTTGTTGCAAGTATAACCTGGTGCCGTATTGCGCAGGCGTTGCCGGGTCTCATTGAATGTGGTTTCATGTGGGCTTTTTTATCCAGTCCAATGCTCTGATCTTACGATTCTCTTATGAATGTTCTTTCCTTCTTCTAGACGTTACGTGGGTCATCAGCATGGTTAAGTCACCAACGTAGATTCCCTCGCAGCCATGGCTGAACAACCTAATAAACGACCCAGACCGTCGTGTCCTGCCAGCGCCATCGACCACAGGTATAGGAAGCCATGCGTCTTCCAAGAGCTTTCTATTCAAGGCCAAGAGCACGCACTCACTCGCGACTTCACTGCTGGGACTGTAATAGACTCACTCGATCATGAGTCATTCAACAATATTCAAAGCCGGTTAGTCTCCTAACAATCTTGAATTTGTACCTTACTCGCCGAGTTCTGTTGGAGTTCTGCAGCACCGGGGACTTGTTGGGCCTAAGTAGGAAACTCTGGAGAAATGGCCTAGACTTGGAGTCACACGACAACGAACGAGATATTAATTAGGCTCTGAAGCATTTATTCGCGAACTCAGTTGGATTTCGCAGTGTACTTGGTCGGTGCAAATCTTTGAGTTTTGGAGCTTGGCTATTGTTCTTTCTCAAATATATGCCAGAAGCCAACAATTTGGCCGTAGCAGTGGAACTTGGGTCTCATCTCGACGTCATGGAGAAATATTTGATTAGCATCCAAGGATACAGAATGCAATCTGAACATCGGAATCGAGAAAAGTCCGAAATGCGGTAGCAGACCACATAAGTCCCTATTATTCTCCAGATTGTGTTCAGCATTCATACATGTTGCCGTCGCAGACTATATCCGACACTTAAGGATAGAAAAGTACTATCCAAGTCCTTGAGGGTTGATGGGGTCTGTTTCTGGAATGTTTCCATGCTAAAGACACATTGGGTCCGATATTACACAAAGTCGACGGAAAGTAAGACTTCTTTCAAGTCAAGCTGTTCATGGCAAAAGACGTCCGCGTTTTGGCTTCACTGCAACATTTTCATACAAGCGCCAACGCCCACTTCATCGCATGGAACAAGTTCTATTCGACATTTCCGCGCCCGATATTCCTTGGGCATGAAACCATCCCCCTCGTGTCGCTCACCTGGTCAATTATTCAAGATCATGCCGTGCTTAACATGGCAGGCTGGTTAATACGACCTGACCTGCCAGATGGTAGCCAGGATTATAATCTTCTTGGCGGTTATATCTCAGCGTAGTACACTTGGGACAATGGTGGCGATCGCCATACGTGTATCATCCCCCGCTTGACACCACATCAGTTATTGTCCAAACACACCACACTTCGTTCTCGAATAGTCGACATTCTCCATTCTGATTTCGTCCCAGCATCTGCAAAGCAGCGACGTGAATTTTCATGATTACCACTACACCATGGATACCGAGCCTCTGCATTCCAACTCGCCAGTACACAAGTGCCTTGTTGGGCCTATGCTCTGCAGTCTTCCAGACAAGCTGGCCCGCAATACCAATATGTAGCTTTTTACGTTGCCAAAAGATGACAAGAAGCGATTGAATAGACCAGCTATTGCGTGGAATCGCAGCACCCAAAGACCTGGTCTTCAACAAGCCGCAAGGTTGGAATTATTAAGATATCTTGATCCCGAAGTGGATTACGGAACAAGACAAACACGCGTCGAATATCATGGACGGGTCTAACTTTCAGCAAGGAAACGGAAAGCCCCACAGGCCAAGGTAAGATGGAGTAGCAGAGGCTGTTCCCTCTCTGATGAGCCTATGTAGGACACCAGAAGCTTTCCTGTAATTGGATGTATGCGACTGAACCATAACTCTGAATTTGGTGAGGATCAGAGACGATACTAGTGCCTCGCCACAACGTGGCTGTCTGTGGCTATCGCGGTATTTCCTGTGTTGCTATTTTGACTGGGGAAGCGCAGAGCCTAACTGTGGTTTCTCTTCATTTTCATCGACACGGGGGCGAACGTGGACAAAACACGGTTTGAAAGCATGAGAAGCACCGAAGAGTCTGGATAAATGGACTAGCCAAGTCATGAATTGTACAATGTTTCAAAGAATAAATATATACACAAGTTAAACCATTCGACTTCCACGGCCTAGCACACTCAACGGCACTAGATGAACAATATCACGGACCACTTTAGATACCGAAACCAGCACTGCTAGGCACGTTGGACGACACGGAGGAAGGCGAGTCAGCGCTAGCAATGTTGCTGGCATCGGAGAACTTGGACAAGACATCGGAGTCGGTGCCGGACAAGTCGCCCGAGCTAGATAGGCTGTTGGCCTCGCAGTCGCGGCCGAGGTAGCTGGAGCAGGCGGAGACGTCTTCGGCAGTGAAAATTTCGCCCTCGAGGCTGGACGCATCCACGGGGGCGTCAACCGAGTCGAAGACGTTGCCCTCGGCCAGGACGTAGCCGCCGCTGCCGATCTCAAAGTTGTGCGATGACGGGCCGAAGTAGTTGTTGACGGCGTGCAGGACTGTGTTGCCGCCGACCTTGGGGCCGCGGCCCGAGGTGTGGTGGACGTAATTGCCCTTCAAGGTGATGGTGTCGGAGGAGCCGGTGAAATACTGTTTTCATTTATGTATCAGTTGGATGGGGCTCTTTCTTGTCACGTAGACAGGACCGCAAGGGTGGGAACTTACGTAACCCCAGTAGTGGAGACCGTCGCAGGTCGCAGACCAGTCGGTGTTACCGTCAAGCTCGCTGTTGGAGATGGTGACACGGCCCGAAGATTCCTCGCCCAGGACGATGTGCTGGCGGCCAATAAGGGACGTCTTGACGTGGTCGATCCAGACCATGTCAGCGCCGTCGATGGTGATACCATCACCGCCCCACACGTACTGCGGGTTGATTTCGGTGACGTGGATGTTCTGGATGATGATGTTGGAGACACCGTTGGCCATGCGGAGACTGTAATATGTATGTTAGTGATTTTGGTTCAGGCGTAGAACCCCGCTAAAAACTCACCCCTTGCCCTTGATGACACCGCTGGTGCCGTCACCAATCAGGGTCTTGTCGGAAGCAACGTCAATGCCACTCATGCCGGCCTCATCGTAGGTGATGCTGGACACGGTAGGGGCATCAGGCTGATAGTTGGTACACCAGTCATCCTTGTTGATGGCGATCTGGCAAGCCGAGGCAGTACCCCACGGCGCGCAGCCGGAAGCGGTGGCAGTGGTGCCCGTGAAGTCGAACTCCTGGTTCAAGACAATAACACGAGGCTCGTCGTCGCCGAGGTAAGAGACGAGCTCATCGGTAGTGGTGGGGTAAACGGCCGTGGCGTCACCTCCGCCCGTGACACCGGCCGCGAATCCTTCGGCTGATCCAGAGACAGTGACGGCTCGCTTGCCCTTGGCAGCCTTGGGAGCAGCAGAAACGGCACCGGCCAGGGCTAAAACTTGGAAGAATCTCATCGTGAGTGTAATTGTTTATTGTGAAAAACGAACGTCTAGTCGTTGAAGAAATGAACGACTGAATAGAATAAAAGAATGTGGGAGCGGGTATAACGAGCCAGAAGCATTGCATTGCTAAGTTACAGCCGGTGTCTTATTATATACCAACGCCATGAAGCGCCAAGACTCATGTCATTAGCATGTTTCTTCCAAAGTCGTTCCGTTCCACCAATGACTCCACCAAGAGATGCTTGTGTGCAGCAAAACTGGGGACAAGTGGCATGCGGCGCTGGGGGTCAACAACAAATTGACAGGAACCGAGGATGGAGGGACTGTTCTGTCGTGGGTTTTGGGACTACATGCGATGAACTCGACCGACTGGATCGAATGAGAAAAGGTGATCGGCAGATTTCCCGTCTACTCAAAACACAGGCCCTTGAAGGCGCATGTACGGGGTTCGGTGATGGCTGCTGTATAAGTCAATCTGTGGGCCGGTTCTGGTGTGCTGGGATTACGCAGCTGATCCCCCATGTGGAGTACGAAGGTAGGGTGACGTGACTGTAAATCTCCCTGACCCACTAAAACGTTCCACTTCACATATTCCGCCTGGCAGGAACGGCCCGGCGTATTATAGCTGACGGAATTTCTTGTAGAATACATAGTAGTCTGAATAGCCATATATCCCTCGGTGCAGCTAACCTCATTTTGGAGACTATTCTTCACGCACAAATCTTTATCCACGGGCTATTCCTCTCTATCTAGCTAAAGTCAACTGTCTTGAGAAATTTTCAAGAGCTACAGTAGCTACTATATTCGCTCCAAACTAGCGACTTGAATTTTTCCGTAATTGTGGGATCTCGATGTAAAAACTCCGGGATACGTTGACAATAGGATACCTTCCCTGGCTAGCCCGGTAGTCGCTAGGGTCGAATTTTCCTCTAGGAGGAACATAGTAGTTACTGCAACTACGGAGTTCGGCTCTACAAAACTCCTAACCTAGAGCTAAAGGAGAAATAGAGCGACGTTTTTTCAGGATATAAAATTATCTCTATTAGCGAATGTCACGGTGAGCATCGCTACGGCTGAGACAAAGCAGACGACAGGGTAGGGGCTTCTATTAACGGAAATAAAGAAGATGTCACTGTAAAGATAGGTGCGGCTGGGTGCAGGGAAGGTGACTACGGTTGGGCTCTCACGGAAGTCAATTCCAAGAAGTGAGGTGTTTTGTTGACTTCTATCTGCCGAGCTAAGTGTTGCACGTTTGGCCCCTTTTGAGGAGCTCAATCTCCGACAATTATCCGATCGCTCGGCGATTTCAGCCACACAGCCACACTGTCCTTGACCTCACAGTAACGAGGATACCACACGTCTCACAATATAATAGTCAGGTAGTGCAAAGGGTAGCTAGAAGTAGGCCAGTGTATGGGTGCGTATATTGCAAGACTGATTCTTGAAGAATCTAAACTAGGTGCGAGCGTCTTGAGTTCTCCTCTTAAGCTGGGCGGTTCCGGGGTTCTACCGGATCGGGGGCGAATCCCTCCCGACTCAGCTTGTCAGCTGAGACCGGCCCGCCACATCGTCTCTTTCCTTACAGAAGATGAAGGAGAAAGAAAGCGGAAGCTAAGCTACAGCAGAAAGGAGGCTCGCATCTAGGTAGTCCCTGGCCAGGGGCCTCGATGGTGTGGAGCATGGCCCTAGGCCAATAGGGGTTAGGCCAGCGATGGCCGTCACAGCTAAGGTGCTACCCCCGGAGTCCCCATCGAACCCGATACTATTTCTACCTTTAAGCAAGAGGTGGAGACCTTTAACCCTATTAGGGCCCAGGGTAGCCCTAGATAGCTCCTAAAGCCTCAGCCTGTAGTCTTCATGCGACCTCGTACTCTGTCTATCAAAACCACATCAAAATATAAAAGTTTTACGTGTCCTGCTAATTTCACGACGATGAGTACAGAATATGTTCTCCATCTTTGTTGATCTATGTGCTGCGTTCGTCTGTTGGGATGTCAACGTGTGGTACATTCCTAACCTAAGCTTAACATGTATTTTGATGATGATACGTGACCCCATGGGGGGGTTACCCTGTAGCTATAGATAAGGTAGATACGATAAGAGCTATAAAGAGCTCTGCCAGGCCAGAATAGCTGACCTGGCCATACTTTTCCCAATACAACAATTCACACCCCATATGCACTCGCATCAGATGAGATCGACGGAAAATTTGCGATGCTTGCGTACACCAACACCATCGTCACTGTCGTAATGTCGGTATTGCTTCTTAATTGGCAGTAACCACTTTTGAACTCAAAATTAGCAATCCCTCTCTTCATCATGCCCTACATAGTCGCCCGTCTTCCTGAATCCGCCACCCCTCGCTGCCCACAGCCGTGGTAGCCCAAAATATACCCAAGGGATCGTATTTATGCTTGATTTCTAGTAGCCTAGGGTAGTTTTCGCCGTAAAATACTCGTTGGAAGTCCGTCTCGCGGAAGTCCGCCTCGTTCAGATAGGCGGCGACACCACCGCCGCCTGAGTCGGGTATGAGAGCGTCCAGCTTGGGTATTAGCCCGTCGGTGATTTGGCGTTGGCCGGCAATATTGGCTTGCAGGCTTGTATCGTTGTATGGGCTACAAGCACAGGGTTGGTTGGAGAAGACATTAGATAAAGAAAGATAATTGAAAAACGGAAAACTCACATGCCAACCACTGCGCTAATGATGGTTTGCCGCCAGGCCGGGTTTACCGCGTTGGGGACATCGGGGATGCGGCTGACGTTGACGGATAGACCAGAGACGACGCCGTCGTTGTCTAGGATGAAAGCCAGGGCGTCAACCAGGGATGCGGCGGAGATGTTGGATGAGAGAAGAGAATTCGGGAGGAGACGGCTGCCGATGTTGTATTGAGTGATATTGGGGGCTGGGTTCATGGCGTAGAAGCTATCGAGATACGTGGGGAAGTCGGCCACAAAATAGTCTATGAGAACCGTGTTAGCTAGACATGTTTCAGTTAGTACCGAAAGGAGAAGCAGCAAGGTTTGTACCATATGGTATCTCGTTGTCTTGAAGCGCGTCAAGCGTAGGTTGCAACAGGGCCTGCAGCTTGTCGGCCGTCATGCCCGGTGCCACCGTCGGTTGCACCTGGAAGAAGCCAGGGGCTAGCAACCAAATACTGACGGCGCCGGAATCCGTGATGGCAGGCAAACTCAGCAGGAATGTCTGCACAACGCCATAAAAAGCCCGAGTCGATACACCCTCACTAGTGAATGTGAGATTAGCGGCGGCCGTCTTAATATCGGGATACGCCTTGACCGTCAACGATAACACCGCAGCATACGTGCCGCCCCCACCTCCCGACAAGGCCCAGTACAGATCGGCGTTCTGGGTCGGCGTGGCGCTCACACACTCCCAAAGCCCCGTGACTACCTCCCACTCGAGCACTTGGTCGGCTGCGAGCCCCAATGTCGACACAAGCGGTCCATGACCACCCCCTTGGGTATAACCACCCGCGACGCCGACGGTCCTTCCGTTACCACCCACAACGACAAGGCCATGAGCGTGCGCTACCTCCTGTGCCTCCCAGTTAAGCACCCCGGCACCAAACTTCATCGCCTTGCCGCGGTAGAGGGGCGATTCGTAAGACCCGAGCACCGCAATATCGCGGAGATGGTGCGTCCACAGTGCCAGCGCACCCGCGCCCGTGGACTTGCCCAGATAGTCGTGCCCCGTATTGCGGATAACCAACCTGATATTATGCTGTTTGGCAAAGGCAAGGGTGAGCTGGTAGTGAGCCGCCGACGTGGCATTGACGGCGTACTGGACATAGGCCCCGATGACGCATTGGGAGGTGCTGGGTGTGAAGGGGTCGCAGCTCATGTTAGCGAAGAAGGGGGCCATGGGGGATGACGACGTGTCGATATGAGTTGTGGGGTAGTCCCAGACGGACCGAAGCTGGGCGCAGGCTGCAGCGTCGTTAGTGCCGAAGCTGCTGTTGTGACAGACGGAGGCAAGCGGGACGGTGGCTACTAGTCTCCCACGGAGCGTCTGATTGAAGGACGCCCAGGTTGCCGACGATGGCCAGCAGGTTTCGTCTGGGAAGCAGCGGCATTGCTGTAGCTGGCGCGACTGCACCACATCGTCTATTGGGGGAAAGGCTTGTATCTGTGTCATCAACGAGGACAGAAGAGTGAGAGTCCAATGGGATCGACGCATCTTGTGATGCTGTATGTAGCATAATGTCACTCTATACCATGTAAGCAACCCGATGGAAGCTTGGAAATAGAAGCACCACATGGCCTCGATATATATATCAACACGCAAGCTTGCCTTCGCAGCCAACAAAATTACAAAATTACGGAATGAAGAAGAGGCTGAGATACAATGCGACGAACCGTCACGCACGAACAAGATTAATTGGTTGGACTGTTCTAAGAATAACAACAAGATACTTAAGTGCCTGTATATACACCAACTTTTACACGGAAGGCTCCCGGCATCAACTGCCATTATATTGCTAGATGAATGAACTAAATTTATACTTGTATGCATCGAATACTCCATAAAATTTCTTTCATAAAACCTTACAACTTCCGTCGGCACTTATGCATTGTTGCTTAGCATCTGTATGACATTATAAATTAATTCGTATATTGCCCAAGCAAGTTACATTGCTATTGGAGGAGAATCAGTGCAACGGCTTGACCCATGCATACATGATGGTACCATGCGCTCAGACACCGATAGTGGGAATCGAGGTCGAGGTTGTGGCGGCCCTGTGTGACATGATGGCCGCACACCTACTGGTTCCTCAGGGCCTAATGACTGCTGACCTTACGCCAAGCATCAAATTACTATCCTACACGGTTCCACACACTCAAAATACGAGTTTCTGCGCACTTACTCGGTCGAAGCGTTCAATGTGGGTTGGTGACCGGAGAGCTTGGCTGTTTGTTTATAGTATCCAACGCCGGGGCTAGTGTGAAGAGCGAATCGGGTCAAGCCCCCTGGAGGGAATATGTGGCTTGCTAGGCTAGGTATTGCAGTTCATGAGTTCTATACTACCCAGCAGAATCTTGCCCGAGGGCGCGTGGCTGCAGTGGCTTGTTTTCTTTTTTACTACTTTCTCACACACTCCATTTTGCTTGAATATTCAGTAGTGAGAGAACCCGAGGGTGCAGAGGTGTATGTGGACTTTAGCTGTAGATTCAGGAGCTTGATGCCCAAGAGTGTGTCAAGTTTCCATTTGATTGGGACCCGTGTGGTGCCGTCCGGGGACGACTCTAGGCCAGGTCTAGCAAACGAAAGCATGGCTGAAAACTTATTACCCCGAACGAACGTATGGTAGCGCACAGAATAACTACAGTATGAAACACATATTTGCATCGGGCTTCATAGTAACTTCGAAAACCAGGTTAGGGTATCGTTAAGATGAGTAGCTTCCGCCTCGTACGAGGCTGGCTATATATAGTTCAGTTCCAAACCTGTGTGAGGGTAAACTCTTCGGACGAATTAGAGCGCCGAATATCGATTTCCTGCCAAATGGGAGTGTAGATTGATTGCGGACGACTCATTCGCGGAGCCGCTTCGAAAGTTGCACGTGATCTCGGAGGGCTGATGACGTTTGTTTCGTTTAGCGGGCTCAGCTCATAATCTGGACTAAATATGGTAGGCAGCGTTATGAGCGGATTTGGGATCTGATGATTAGTGAAGAATCCTCGTCTGGTGTTTACCTGGCGTGTCCTCTCCGTCTGGGTGAACCAGGCTCGGAAGCGGCTCCTGCTGACTGATTTGAGACGCTCCGGGCCGCGGAACGAGCGCGTTGCGGATGAGCCTATCGACACGATCTTCTTTAGTGCCGGGTTCACGTACGTCTTGAGCAGAGGCGTCAATGTGGGTATGCAAGCGCAGATGATCCCCAGCCAGAGCTCGAGCATGCTGATCAGACCGATGTTCGCCAGCGTAAAAGTGAAGTCGGGGTTTTTGGAGGACTGAACTGTCGCCTCAAGTCTCCAACACATGATGCCAATGGTGCTGTTGTATTGTTAGGGAATGATCATAAGACAAGATGGGGGAGAGGAACTGTGCTAGACTGACACGAGCCCCAGACCGAACATGATGGAGATGAAGACTTTCTTCCTTGTCGTCATCTGCATCCTCCAAAGCACCGGCATGGGCAGCAGAACGATGGAGAGGTCGAGGACCAGGTTGATGCTGACCGATACGAACTCATCAATGCTGAGGTCGCGACACCAACCATCAGGCACTGGGTTCCACATCTGGTCAATGGGTTGGCAGTTGGTCAAGAAGACAGTGATGAAGGCGATACCGTAGCAGGACACAAGTACCATCAGGACTGACGCCCAACGCCTGGTGTTTGTCGACGATGAGAAGAGCCTATTGTACAGGCAGAGCATCGACATCTTGATGGTGACGGTGCCAAGGAGCCACGTGACACCGCTGGCGACGACGAGCTACCCAGTTACATCAGAGAAAGATAATATGGAGTATGGATGTAGGTTGTGACAGTACCTTGAACTGGACCCCGATCTCCTGGGGGTTGAGCTCAATGATGTGGCGGCCCAATCCGTTGTAGATGGCCCATATGACACAACCCCCCAACACGACCGTGTTTATCTGCAAGAAACTCTTAGAATCGATCCATAGATGGAGCAGTTAAGACTCACATATGCAAGGCCGACGAAGCCGTCATCGAGATAGAACCGCCGTCTCGTCAATCGCGCGGCCAGAAAGCGCAGACCTAAGATCGCGGTGCAGGCGACGGTAAAGATGTAGACGCAGACCAGTAGCGCGAATCCCCCGAGACTGAGATCCGACATTGCAGATATAGAGTTCCTCCTCACATACGTGAACATGTGTAAGTTTGAAGTCTTTCCGTACGATCGGCTTTCCTTGACATGGCAAGATGTTGCCGCCCTCTAGGCTTTGGGAAGAATTACACAGCGGCTACATAGATAAAACTGTGGGGGCCAAGGCGTTGCTCAAAGCGATAATAAAATTGGTCATGTTGGTCACAAGTCCGTTGTATATTTGGGTATTGCGGCAAGATTTTTGCTGGGGCGTCGGAACATTACATATGCATATAATATATATGCTGCAGTGAGACGGATCCTCTTCGACCACGTTGAATCAGCGTATCTCTCAATATATTAAGCATGAAAATATCGATTCAGCTGTGCATTGATGACATGGGAGTATTATTACAAATTATTGACGGTGTATTTAGTTGTGCTGTCAATGCATTTTCTCGCCGAGTGAAGGTCTTGCATACAAACATTGATTCTTATGCGCACTGCTGATCTTGTCCGATTGCGAGAACACTTCGGCGATGCTGGTTGATTGAGCTGCAGCAGGTGGTATGGACGGAAGTGACGAGAACTACAGACAGATATTTCTGGGGGTGGGTGTATTATCTACATGTTCCGAGCTACCTATACCCTACCGTGTTGTCTACAAAAGGCCTGGTATCCGGAATCTCGGCCTTCAAGCTCGGTATCTCTTAACACCCAGAAGTCCATCATTTGGTCGAAAATCATGACCATATCTAATCAGGAAAAGAAGCAACTCATTCCTCGGGAATTAGGATCGAGCTTAAATCATTGCACTTCGAGATCATGACTCCGAGAAGCCGTCCCAGCATTCTCGTTACAACCATTAGACAGGCCGTTTACATTCTCTACATCATCTGGCAATTCACCGAAAGCAACTTCTCAACCTTCACCATCCCTAACACGGCTTTCGGTGTTCTGGGAGCCTTTGCAGCATCGGTCCTCATAGAGAACCACCAAGACGATGCATCACGGCCGGGGGAAATCATCGGCCGCATCCCCACAACCATGCTGTTCAACTGGTGCATGACGCTGATCTTCGACCTCTCCAACCAGCGCGGCGCCATCTCGATACAGGAGGATAGGGTCAACAAACCATGGCGCCCGATCCCGTCGGGCAAAGTCACAGCGGACCAGGCACGTCGTATTACACTCGTCGCCGTCCCACTATGTCTAGCGCTTTGTTATACCCTCGGCGTCTGGAACCACGGCACCGTGATCCTAATCCTAACGTGGCTATACAACGATCTCCAGGGCAGCGATGAGCTGGTCCGTGACCTCATCCTCGCCGTAGCCTTCGCCATATTCAACAGCGCCTCGCTGCAGATCACAGCTGCAGCCGGCAGAGGCCTAAGCGGCCTCGGCATCCTCTGGATCGCTGTCATCAGTGCCGTTATCCTAACGACGATGCAGGTGCAGGACCTGAAGGACCAGGCGGGCGACCGCATTCGGGGTCGGCGCACAGTACCACTATTTTTTGGAGAGAAGATCTCGCGACTGTCTATTGCCGGCGGTGTCTGCTTCTGGTCGTATGTCTGCGCCTACTTCTGGCGGCTGCCGCTGTGGGTCTATTCCGTGCCGGCTTCTACGGGGGGAATCGTGATGCTGCGGGTGCTGTCAAGACGAACGCCTGAGGAAGATGCCCGTACGTGGAAGTGGTGGTGCCTCTGGACCGTGACGCTCTATTCGCTGCCAGCTATTAGTCTCGTAACCGTTTAGTTTCCTTTCTGTATCAAACCAATTATGCAATTTCATGCTTTACTACAGAAACTTCAAGTAATAAACCAATCAATTTATAATCCATCTGATTCCATATACAGTGGCTGGTCCTGTGAAGCTTTTGCAAATATCAGGGTACCTTGGTGTCGTACTTGAGCTCGGCTAACTTTGGTCTGCGTAAGGCTAGGGCCGCCGCTGTAGTCTAGCCCTGCCTTCCATTGCAGTTCAGTAGCCCCTTCCCATCATCAAAAGCCATGAACATCTCTTCGCAGATCCTGTATGACCAACACTTGGGTTTTAGTCCGATTCCATACTTGGAAATCTCTTTCCTAGATGACCCTTGTTTACTAGATTGTTTGTGACATATTTGTCGCTCCTCCCTACACTTCCTTGACAAATCAAATTAACATTCACAACATCGGGTAAAAACAGCCCGTTTCCGTGTAACCAACACCCCATTGACGTGCACATGCAATATTTCCTATTGATTATACAGGTATGCTGCATATAGACATAGTACGTATAAATATCCGCCTACTTTTTGTTCCTTTCTCCAGCTGTGTTTTTGGTAGCAAGGCCTGGCCTCAAATCCACCCTAGTCATCAAAATAGCTCTCTTGGTTGAACAACGAATCCCTACATCCAGGATGCAGCCTCCCCTACCGTCCGCCACGCCGACCTGGCACAACAACACCTACGCAACCATCTCACCACAAAGACGCGAACTCAGTGCGGCGGGCAAAACGGTCATTATCATCGGCGCGGTAAGACCTAAGCTATCGATAATCGGCTTTCTCCTGTCTTCCCCTAGTGGGCACACAATCATCGACGGTTCCGAAGCTGACATGTCCACTTATATGGCAGGGCACCGGCATCGGCCGAGAAACAGCTAAGGCGTACGGTAGCGCCGGAGCGGCTCGTCTTGTCCTCGTCGGCCGCAATGAATACTCACTGAATGAGACGGCATCTTCGCTGCCTCGCGAAATTTCTAGCTTAGTCTGCGTTGCAGATGTCACCCAGGATAAGAGAATGCAAGACGTCGCACGCTCGGTTGGCATGTGGGACATCATAGTGCTCTGTGCCGCCTACGTCTCCGACCCGTCACCGATGGCCTCGGCCAATATAGACGAGTGGTGGCTCAGCTTTGAGGTAACCATCTTGTTCTATATTTGACTAAAGACTGAATTATTGCTGCTAACCTGAATTTACACAGACAAACACGAAAGGCACTTTCGTTGCCATTAAGACATTCCTTCCCACCGCCAATCCCTCCAAGGCTACCATACTGGCGCTGACCACGGGCACTACGGCTATGCCGGCGGCGATGATACCCGGATTGTCGGCATATATGGCATCGAAGCTCGCTCAGACCAAGATAATGGAGTTCCTCGCGGCCGAGAACCCGAATGTCTTTGCTGCGACCGTCCATCCCGGCATGGTCGAGACTGGCATCTTCACCAAGAGCGGCGCCAAGGCCGAGATGCTACCTATGGACAAAGGTGCTCTGCTTTGTAACGGTTCTTATCTTATAACTTACCCACTAACATGGTGAACTCACAGTTCAACTTCCCGCCCATTTCTTGGTTTGGATGTCGAGCTCGGAAGCCGCGTTCCTGAATGGTCGCTCGGTTTGGGCTAACTGGGATGTGGAGGAGCTCAAGGCCCAGGCGAACAGCATTCAGTCGGGCATTTACATGACGAGCGGTATCAATGGCTGGCCTTATACAAACATGTAATCACTGGCTAATATTACAAACTTGGAACAAGTCATGGTCGGCCGCATATGAGTTTTTCTACCCAGACTATATTGGGTGTTTACGAAGCAGAACACCCTAATACAAGCTCAAGAATGGAAACTAGATATTTGAAAATAGCGAATCCTTAGGTTGCATCTATACAACAAATATAGAGGCTTCAGTCGTTCCTTCACCTCAACTCAAAACTCAACGTTAACCTGCCCGAAATCGACGTGAATTGATCCCGCATATCATCAAGAACTCGGCATCCCGTCTCCCCAGGTGGAAGTCGGAAACGGTACTTTTTCACAAGTCTGGCAGTTACGAACCGCATTGTGTCTGTGGCCAAGGCACGGCCTAGGCAACTCGTATCTCCTTAGAACCAACAAATTTAGTAGATCAGTAATAAGCATGTTCTAAAGGTGTAGTGAAAGAAGGCACAGCTTACCGGTTCCGAAAGGAGAAAATGCAGCTATGTTGCGCACCATTTCGGGCCGCGTGGTCCATCGCTCGGGTATGAATTCGTTGGGTCTATCAAAGCACTCTTCCACTATATATATAGATCTAGTGGTCAACTGTATGCTTCGACATAAAAGTGGAGATAGAACGTACTCCTGAATATGGAGAACCGAGGAGCTATTATTGTTGTGTGGGGAGGGATGAAGTTGCCCCCGATAGTAACGCCGTTCTTGGTGGATTTCCTCGCTCCGCCTGTGGGTAGCGCCGGGTACAAACGTAGCGACTCGTTAAGTACGGCGTTAAGGTGTTTGAGTCGGCACAGGATTTTGCGGTCGGTAGTGATTTCGTCGCTGCCGCTGCCGGCATTGATGAGCTCGTCGTAGATGATGTCTGCATGCTGTGGGTACTTGGCGAGTTCGCAGAAGACGCCTATTAGGGACATGGCAGTGGGCTCACTATATAATATCATCAGACCAAGTTATGCAAGAGGGTGAGAGTTATGATGGTGAATATGGACAGCCTACCTTCCTGCTACAATCGCCAGTAGGCTATCACCCTGTAGCCAAGTCAGGCTAACTGCGTCCTTGGTCTGATCCTCCTGCTCCATGAGATAATGCGTCAGATCGGGAGATGGCTGCTTTAGGTAGCCATCAGCGAGCCGCGTACGCATCTGACTCTCGCACCAGGCCACCATGTCAAACCAGTCTCGGAGGGGCCCCAATCGTGGGGCCAGCTTAAAACCGACCTGGATGAGCCAGGGTACTGGGCTGAATGGCCCGAGCAGCGAGAGGGCGGTCTGCAACCGCACGATAATATGATGCCAGCGCTGGTCGTGCAGCATGCCAAAGGACTGGTTGAAGACGAAGTCACCCATAGCGTCGAAGCTGAACCAGAAGAAAAGGTTGTTTACGTGCGAGGGTCTCGATGCTCGAGCGTCTCTCTCAATGCACTGATCCAGCTGGTCTACGTACTTGAGCATCTTGGTCTCGTGGTGCGCAAGGCCTGTAAGGGGTGGGTTAGCTCCGGTGGAGATATCTCAACCTTCTCATCAAGGGAAAATATGCGAACCTGTAGGAGTGAAGCCGCGTTTCCATTCTCGACGACGGGCTGCGTGGATTTCCTTAGAACGTGCTGTAACCAGGGCCATTTCTGGGTGCAAAATGTCGTACCATTCGGCTTTGATGCATTCTGTTCGAGGCCCGTCGACAGCCTGGAAGACTTCGGGATGAAATACGGTGATTTCTGCTGGACCCGTCCTTACAAACTCACCGTATTTCTCGTGTAGCTTAGCCAGAACAAGGTGGTTCTTCGATTTCCTCGCGGCCCATACATGCCATAGCTTCGTGATGCGCGCGTACCAAGGTCCTCGGAAGCCTGCCCTGGTAAGCGGGTGGAAGAAGACGCGGTATAAGACGATACTATTAACCAGAGAAAATATATAACAGTAGCTCATCCACAAGGCGACATCGACTTGATGCATACTAATGTACGCCTTGGCGACCCAGAGACATAGAAATAGACCGCCGTGAGTCGCAAGGATAGCTGGGGACTGCACGTGCCATTCTCCTCGAATGAATACGCCTTGGTGTGCGATGATGCCAGCAAGAAGACCTCCGCCACAGTAAACCTCAAGCTGGAGCGATGCCAACCTCTCATTGCTGGCCATGGCGGCTGTGACTGCGAGCAGGTATGGATTTTGAGACCTAGCACCGTAATTAAAATACCGGGATGTCGTACTCTCTAATGTGAAAGTTCATTGAAACAGAATAGTGCACTGATGTCTGCTCAACAAATGAAGATTTTGGCATCCTGCGAGTGTCGGGCAACGGTGTCTGACGATTACCGGTGTTTGCTTGAGCTCCAGGCTGCTTGCGTGTAACCACATCCTTCTGACATGCGTATAGGTGGAATTTTCGCCGTCCACTAAATACCTCGGTACACTTCAGCACGGTTAATTAACAATAATATCAGTTGTGTAACGCAATTTATGCCGTTACATCAAATCCACCCTATGACTATGTGACACTAGTATACTGGAGCACAGAGATACCTTGACACCGCTCCTTCCCGCTCACTAAGTTCAGAAGTGCATCTAGTGCACAGCCACATTCTCTTTCTGCATGTTGGTTCCTTCATCAAAATTATATCCAACCCCTTGCGTCGTACCGCACAGTTATATTTGAACCTCAATCTCCGCCACCGAACAGCTTCCTCCCTACGACGCGTACGCTATACAAACCGTACCTCTACTTGATTGATATCGGGGAAGTACAAATGGCTTCTGAAAGCTTTGACTTCATCATCGTTGGCGGCGGGACGTCGGGTCTCGTCCTCGCCAATCGTATCTCCGAGGACCCAAGCCTCCAGGTGCTTGTGATTGAGGCAGGCGACAACCAAATGGAGGACCCCAGAGTCAACGTTCCTGCCATGTGGCCAACTCTGCTTGGCACATCCTCCAACTGGGCCTTCAAGACTGTTCCTCAGGTATGCGTCTCTCATTTTTTATGTGTTTGAGATCGGGCGTTAACACGTCGGTGGATACAGGTTGGATTCCAAGGTCGTGAGAATGTCCTTCCACAGGGTCGTCTGCTCGGTGGTTCTAGTGCAATCAATGGACTTGCATTCACTGCCCCTTCCAAGTCAACTGTTGACGCATGGTCTGAGCTGGGTAATCCAGGCTGGGACTGGTCCAGCTTCTCCAAATCCTTAGCCAAGGCCTACAGCTTGACAACACCGTCCAAGAAGACGCAGGGCAACGGACGGCTCCAGCTCACCGTCCCGGTTGAGGATGACAAGTGGCCGAAAACATGGAGAGATAGTATTTCTGGGCTTGGGTATCCAATCGTCAGCGACCCTCTCTCTGGACAGCACTATGGAGGTCTCATGGTTCCAGATTCCATTGATACTACCACGAAGAACAGGAGCTACGCCTGTAGCGCATATCTAGGGCCCTCAATGTCCAGGAAGAACCTAGCCGTATGGACAAGCACCATGATAGAGAAGATTACATTTAGTAATGAGAACGGTATTACTGCAACCGGTGTTCAGTACAACAAAGACGGAGAAACCAAGACTGTTGCAGCGAGCAAGGAGGTCATTGTAACAGCCGGCGCCATCAACTCTCCCAGATTACTCGAACTCTCGGGTATTGGCGATGCCAGTCACCTTAAATCACTCGGCATCGATATGATCATTGATAATCCGCACGTTGGTGAGAATCTCCAGAATCACCCAATCTGCTGTGTGGCCTTCGAGATTACTGATGGCGATGGCTTCGAAACCATGGACAAACTCGCACGACAAGATTCTGTTGCTATTGATGCTGCCATGGAGGCATACACCAAGCAGACTGGACCTTTTACAAAGAGTGGTACAAACGCCATAGCACAGCTCCCATTCCCAGGCATCGAAAGTGAAAAAGGAAGAAGCGAGCTTGACAAGATGATCAATAACAGTTTCAACGCGGCACCTGTCCCTGGGAAGACGACGGCTGTTTTTGCAAAAGCGCATGAGTCTTACGTCCAGTCTCTTCTCAGCTCACCCACAGACGCATCCGGCCACTACATGTCATTCCCAGGCTTTGCCGCCTTCAACGGGGACGGGACCATGGCACCCCCTCCCCCTGGCACCAAGAACTTCTTCTCCATCGCCTTATCTCTCGCGCACCCGCTCTCGCGCGGCTCTGTGCACATCAACTCAGCATCGAATTCCTCTCTGGAGCAGCTCGCTATCAACCCCAACTATCTGTCTCACCCGCTCGACCTCGATGTTATGGCACGCCACCTCGACTTCCTCTCCTCATCGCTCGCACAAGCAGAGCCACTCGCCAGCCATCTCAAGCTTGATGGCAAGCGCAGCTTCACGTCCGGGGGAGGCCTAAACAAGGCCAGAGAGTACATACGCAAAGCTGCCGTGGGCGCACATCACTTCACGGGTACATGCTCTATGATGCCGCGCCACATGGGTGGCGTCGTCGATGCAGCGCTCCGTGTCTATGGGTGCCACAACCTGCGTGTCTGCGACGCGAGTATTGTTCCCATTGTGCCGGGTGCTAACCTGCAGGCTACTGTGTATGGAGTTGCAGAGCATGCAGCCGGGATCATCAAGTCGGGGTTATAAGCAGGGCAGCTGTGTAGGCGGGGCTATTTTGAGATTCTTTTCAATACTCTGCAAAGTACATAGTAGCGATGCTTATGTACCTAGACAACATTAAAGGCTGTCGTTTGTGTAGACCGGAAGTCGGTGGACTTCTGTTACACGGCATAGTCCTGAGTCCGTCATATCTTGATCATGAATCAAAGTAGTTCCAGCCAAGACTATTTTTAGAACCTCCAAGAGTGTTTGTAAGTTCCCATAAGCTGTGGCCTAGTAGCCTCTTCGTAAGTAGGTACAGCGTTGCGATTTCCTGCATGGAGGTAAATTGTCATGTGCTTAAAAGTCAGGAGTGCGATACAGCCCCCGCAAGGCGAGAATTGAGAAATGAAGCTTCTGTGAAGTCAAATGAACTATATTCATACTCGTCATGTTCATAATTTACACTCGATCGTTGGACTTCATCGCACGGTAAGAGAAGTATGCAAGTCTGCTTGATGGGTTGGCATAAATTCACCATTGTTCCTCGCGTCCGGTAGGCTGCTATCGTTGCAGCCGGTGCAGCCTCGATCTGCACTGGAAACTTCTTCTTTATGATGCTGGAGCATGACCGTGATGATAGGGGCGCTAAGGCAGAATTAGGACATATATCCTCCCTCACGGCTATACGAACCCTAGATTCCTCCGATCTCCAAAATTCTTTTCCATTCGTTTTCCAAACCTCAACAGGTACTACTGTCTAGTTTTTACTTACCTATATAAGCGTGTTTCGTGATGGATTAAAATTTATAGTTACTTATAGCAAGGCAAAGGCTTGCCTATTAACGATAAAGCCATGAATAGCTAGTATTAGTGACGTATTCGATATCTCCACTCACTCGGCCTAATCCACTTCGATATTGTCCCAGCCAATATCATATTGGACGACTACTGTACGCTTTTGGTAGTTCCCAGCAAATTGGAGAGTCGCTACGCGAGACCAGGACTAAGAAAACACATAGGTAACACGATTCAAAAGTGGACGTAGTATCCGAGAAAATGACCTCGATACCTGTTTCCTTGGTTCACTAGCTGCAGAGTTCTTGTTTGCGGAAATATATCTTGTTAGGCCAAACAGCAAGCATTAGTACGACTACCGCTATCAATAGAATGGATGTCGAAGGTCTATCTCATAGTGGGTTCCTATTACTCTATCGAAAAGGTTCTAAAAAGTCGCCCATCAATACAAAACTGGGACAGCATGGCTTATGTAATATAAAAGCTACGTAGCCATACGCAGTGTTCTTCTAATTATTTCCTTTCCTCGTACTAGAATGGTTAGATTCTGAGAACCTTTCTGCAACTACGAGGTTCTTTGGTTGCAAAGGTTACAGGCACACCTCGGTCTCTGTCGTGAAAATGACATATGGTTGCTATCCACGACATCCGTAGACAAGCTAACTTTAAATTAGGTGAAGTGATAATTTTGGCTTGCTACGTTATCATTTGTGGGCTTGGAGCTTGAGATTGATTGATTGGGACTCGGCATGTGCAACTTTCTTTTCTAGGCTTGTTTGAGATATATGAGGCAGGCAACACCTGGTAAGTCACAGACAAACTCGAAATACAGACAATTATGGTCTACTAATGATTCAAGCTGACCTTTACATCCTACTCTTCTACTTGCCGTCACTGTAGATATCTTTTGGCACACGTGGCAAGACCGTTTATTTCCTTGCTAAGGCTCTACAGATGGCAACCCGAGGACCTCTGGAGATGCTCAGCTAATGCAGTATCTCTTCCGTAGACAACAACACACCATGGAAGAAGATTGATTGCGGATCTGCAATTTGACCAGATTCCGTGATTACAAGCCGAAGGAGTGAATAAGCGTTGTATCGGACATACTTGGTATGTATGATTCAAGTTGTTCCCAGGTCTACCGCCGTGGCCTGAGCATAGCCCTGACGGATAAGCTCTTTAGCACGTTCGATTCGAGACTTGAAATCATTCAGATATTATTCCACTACATTAGTTATTTTATTTGTAATTGTAGGACAATCACGAAGTGAACGAAAGCCGCGTTTTCTTAGAGTCGTCTCATATCCCTGTAAAATAGGGTGCTTTGAAAGAGGTGATCAATGCGGTTAGTAGACTATATCAGTGTTCTGCAAACAAACTACAGCTGTGTATGTGCAATATAATTATTATCTGTGGGCCTCAATCGCCTCAGGATCGGCCCAGGGACGGGGACCCGGTGAAGCCCCAGTGTGGCAGCAGCGGGTTGTAGTGCCCCAGCGAAGGGAGAGAGAGGTAGTGATCCGGGGGACAGAGGACCCTAATATGAAGAACAGATCGGCGGCTGAGGTCGTAAAAGCGGTGAACAGTGCACGCGGCAGCACCGATGCAGTGGCGGCCCGCAGGCTGCGCAGTGGCGACACCGTAGTGACGTTTAAGCAGTCGGCCTCAGCGGCGACCACGGACAGCAGGTGGGTGCGTAGTGCCTTCAGCGATAAGGCACTTCTCAACCGCAGAGAAGTTGCAGTGATCGCGAAGGGGCTGCCTGCGAAACGGCTGCGAGAGGTCCACGACGAGAGCCAGCTACTTAAAGACCTGAAGCGGGACAATACAAAGCACCTCTCTAAGGCTAAAAGAAACCTCCCCCGGGCGCCGCAAGCACCGTATGCGGCCCTGATACTACACGTGGATAGCGTGGAGGCGGCGATGGAACTATGCTCCGAAGGGCTTATTTGGGAGGCCCAGATATTCGATTGCGAGCCGTACGACGGCAATCTTCGGGTTCGGCAGTGCTACCAGTGCTACGAATACGGCCATATCGCGAAACACTGCAAGAAGACGGCGCGTTGCGGCGTCTGCGCTGCAACGGCACACCCAGGGGGTGAAAAAGACTGCCCCGAGAAGGCACCTAGCGGCAAAAAACGTTGTGTGAACTGCAAAGGGAAGCACACGGCGTGGGACAGGGACTGCCCTACGGCAGAACAGCAGCGGCTACGCGTACGCGAGGCGTACGCTCACCGCCCCCGACAATTTGAGGTCCGCAGCTACTCGGACGGGTTATCTAGTGAGGACAGGCTCACACCACCTAGCTCATTGACCAGCGACGGGTTTACAGTTGTACGACCCCGGGGCCGCCCCCTGGGCGGATCGCGAGTGGAGCAGGAGCGAACCGAACGGTCTGCGTCAGCAATGCGTAGCTTCCTCACTAAGGGACGTACGAACGAAGATATACCATCGACAGCTTAATGGTAGTCTCTATTCTCTACTGGAATATCGCAGATTCAAAGGCGAACGCAACGCTAGCGCTGGATAAGGGGGGTGACTATGATATAATAGCGGTTCAAGAGCCATGGATCAACCGGCGGACGAAGGCGATTTATTGCCCGAAGTCGTCCAGGTACGAAGTAGTGTACAGCAGCGGCAGAGCTGCGCTATACGTCCATAAACGATACGACGTGGCTACGTTGCGACCCCGTACCGGGATGGACTGGAGCAGTATTACGTTCGGGGCAGGCCCGGACGCCCTTACAATCTGGTCTATCTATTCACCAAACCAGACCGGGAGCCGCTGGGTCAGCCCGCTCCAAGACCTCCCTAATGGGGCGCCGAAGGGGACACAGGTCCTCGTAGGGGACTTCAATACACATCACCCGCTGTGGGACGTCCACGGACGGTCGTCACGGGGCAGCGACAACGTAGTGGAGTTTGCGCGACGCTGGCGATTAGAGCTCGTTACGCCGTTCGGGGAAATCACACGGCAAAGGCACAAACAACGAGACTCAACTATCGACCTAGCCTGGGTGACGAAAGGGGCTAGGATTGATTACGATGGGGACCCGGGCCTAGAGGGCTCAGACCACAGAGCGCAAGTGATTAGGGTAATGTCCAACGGGGAAGCAGTCAAGGAGGGCCGCCGCAGTGTCGAAGGGTGGAACTGGGCGATGGCGGATAAGTGGCTCATCGTAGCCGAATCAAGCCAGAGATTTATGAATTATTTGCCGGTTGAGACGATAACGGAGTTGGACCAGGCTGTTGACTGGGTTATCCGGAACCTCCAAGAGATCGCCGACGTGGCGGTCCCGAGACGCACCGTTGGCCGAGGCGCTGGGGTCCCGTGGTGGTGCCCGCAGGTTAGCAAGGCTTGCGCTGAGACGAAGAGACGACGGCGGGACTACCTCCAGGCAAGGTCGGAGACCAACTGGGACGAATATACAAGAGCCGGCCAAAAACAACGGCTCGAAATCAGCGAAGCGCAGACGCGTAGCTGGCACGAGAAGCTCGAGGGGACGGCGAAGGATCACAAAAGCCTGTGGGCACTGCAGAGGTGGGCTAGGCTACGGAGCTGGGCCCCCCCTGAGGCCCACGGCTTGCCAGATCTCCGGAGGGACGCCGGCGACACACTTACGGCACGTACACATGATGAGAAGGCAAAATTACTAGCTGAGAGGTTCTTCCCAGACCCGTGTATAGATCTATCGGACCTCGATCGCGGCCTATTACAGACGAGACCAGAGCTGAACGTCCCTAGGGAGGTGACCACAATGGATATCGAGTCTATCATCAAAGGAACGGCTGCTCGGAAGGCTCCCGGCGACGACCTGATCCCCACTGGCCTGCTAAAGGCCTGCGGTGAACCCCTATGGGAGATCCTAGCGGATCTGGCAACAGCTAGCTTTAGGCTGGGGTACTACCCGGAGCGCTTCCGCTCAGCGAGGGTGGTTGTTATCCCTAAGCCTAATAAAACGACAGCTCAGAAGCAGACCCCTGGCGGCTGGCGCCCCATTGCCCTGCTTAGCACGGTAGGGAGGGTAATAGAGACGGCGATGAGCCAGCGTATCACCAAAGTAGCTGAGGCGGCCGGCCTACTACCAAACGGCCAAATGGGTAACCGCGCTGGGAGGTCCACCGAACTGGCAATACGTATAGTTGAGGACGTGGTCTATACGGCGTGGAGACGCGGGGGCATCGCCTCGCTGCTACAGCTAGACATCAAGGGGGCATTCGATACGGTCAATTACAGACGGCTGATTTCCATATTAGCCCGGAAAGGCTACCCGGAGTGGGTTCAGGAGTGGGTACGCAGCTTCGTGGAGGATAGAACGGTACGCCTCCGGTTCGATGGCAAGGAGTCAGAGCCAATCCCCCTACGAGCTGGCGTCCCCCAGGGGTCACCGCTATCCCCGATACTGTTTATATTATACATTTCAACGCTGTACGAGGAGCTAGCGGAGAAGCATCCACTACTTTTAGTAGTCGGGTTCGCGGACGACACGAACCTGCTAAGCGTCGGCACCGATCCAGACACGACCTGCCGCCGGTTGGAGAGCGCATGGGCTACGTGTCAGCGGTGGGCAGTGAGGCACGGGATGGAGTTCGCTCCTGACAAGAGTGAGCTAATGCACTTTACTAGGGCCCGAGAGCCCTTGCCGCAAAGTATTCGCCTTGGGGACGCCACAGTGTCGCCGGTAGTCTCAGCCAGGTTCCTAGGAGTCTGGTTCGACCGCAAACTGACATGGCACGCCCATGTTGAGCGTGTTAAAACAAAAATGGCAACTCAAAAGCTAGCCCTGACAAAGCTAGTCAATATGTCGTGGGGCTGCGATCTTATACGGGCGAGGCTGTTATATACGGTGGTTATCCGTAGCGCGATCGCCTTCGGGGCGACTGCGTGGCATACTATAAGTGAGGAACCGGCAGGGCCAGCTAAGAGCCTGATGGGGATGCAGAACGAGTGCCTCCGGGTAGTCTGTGGCGCCCACAAAGCGACGCCGGTTCGCCACCTGGAAGCAGAAGCAGCAATCCCGCCACTAGACCTCTATCTTAGTGCCCGGGCTGCTAAGTTTGAAGAACGGCTACGACTTAGCGGGAAGAGAAATCTGCTTCGCAGCGCGAGCGCTAAAGCGTCACATATACTCCGGCAGGATAGGCCGGCGAAGAGGAAGCAGGCGTCGCAGCTACTCCGACCGGCAGGGTACACTATGGAGAAGGAGGCCCGGGGCTCCGAGTGGATGAGTGAGGAAAAGGAGGTCCCGGCTGCCCTCCTCGACCACTGGAGGAAGAGATGGCTCACCGGAGCAGAGCATCACGATCGCCAGCGACGCGCTATCGCTGAGGAACCGGAGGGCCCTTCGATGCAGATACCGAAAGGGGGCAAGTATTTCGGCCTGAAGCGACTGGAGGCGTCTACGCTGTGCCAGATCAGGACGGAAAAAATAGGACTAGCAGCCTTCTTATTCAAGACAGGGGCTTTTGGCGTGTACTCGCCGCTATGCCGCTGTGGCGATGCCCCTGAGACGGCAGAGCACGTAATCCTCTTTTGCGGGCTGTTGGAAGGACCGAGGGAACGATTACGGGCCGCTATCGCACCACGGCCACTATACTCTCGCAGAGACCTCGCAACGGCAACAGGAGAACCAGTAGTTAGTGGGACTATTGTAAGATGGCTGCTAGGGACGGGTCGGACAGCTTCAAGGCCCAGATAGCATCGATCTTCTCAGGGGGGACTTTGTTGGTAGGTTGAGAACCAACGTAGTATGGTAGTGAACGCAACGCAGTCGCCAATACGGCGAACCGACGACGCAGCGTATGTATTTAGTCCAGCCATTAGGGCACGGTTTGACATACGGGAGTACTAGTAGAGGTACCGGGGGCTTCGAGCCTACGGCGTATTTAATAATAAAATAATTATTATCATTCAGATAAGTACTTCTGTTATAGTGTTGAAGGCATAGTTGCGTTAGCTAATACGATTGATAAGAGATAAACTTCAATGAATTACCTGTGATTAGTGGTTACTATTGAAACTGAGGCAGTATGGGCATTATGAAAGTGATACCGTGCCGGTCAAGGCACTGAGGTCCAATTGACTAGAAGTTACCATCAGCTTGTAAGTAGGTTGCAGAGAGGGAGTCTTCATTTTGAATTCTTCGCTGTGAAGATTCCGTTTTCAAGCAAAGTCAGAGTCTTGACGTCAGACACCGGAGGAGTCTTTACGCCACGACTGTGTCGGGCCTTCCATCTTAACCATAGCAACAACCTCCCACCGGAGCTATCAACCATGGAAGTCACCATCGTGTTTTCCAATAGCCCCCTTCATTTGAGTGCCAAGTTAAAACATATTAATACCTACATCCAACTAATACCTAGCCTACTTTCTTGCATATTGTCAGAGATCTCTTGAACGGGACCGACAACGTAAAACAGTTTAAAGTTTTACTTGAGCACCAGCAGCATGCTATGTTAATTTCTAGCGCCAAAGTCTCTGCTTCCGATGAAACCAACGATATCCCTTCAAAGTTAGTAGCAATCCCCGGGGAAGGAAATGGTCCGATCACCAGGAGTTTCCTGGTAATTAATGCTTTCATCATCATCCGCGACCAGTATATCCTTTGCCACCTTTGAGCGAGATCTGCCTCGCTTCATGCCCCGACACTGGAAACCGAAAACATATGATAAACCAGTGTTCAGATATTCCTATCGAAAACCTGGTACACAAGCTTTTTGTCTTGCCGAACGACTTGCAAAATGAAGCCCTTTAGCTCCTGAGGATACGTTACACGAAATCTTGTCATTGTGGAGGAAGTGAAAGCAAGAGGTGATAGAAATTCGGTACTGCTAATATAGATAGATCCAAGCATAACATAGTCAATACAAGTCACGATTACTAATCTACGACAAGCAGCCTTCTCCACCATAGTCTCAAGGGACACTATATTCGATATCCTCGTACTTAACGCATCTATAGCAACCCGGCTAAGCCAAAGAAGCCCCCACCCATTGACACCCGCGCTAACCCTGTAGCCACAACCGGCGCCGTGCCCGTAATCTGCTCGCTAATCTGTCAGCATTGCCGGTTCCGGTCCCTGTTCCAACGGCACTCCCAGACTCATTCTACCCCTTCGCCCCCTCGAACACCGCATCCCCATTGCCCCCAGGAAACTCCCCTCCCGCAAGCGCGACGAAATCCCCCGGCACGCTCTGCTGGCTTGATACATAATAAAACTCTCCCGCCGCAGGTCTGGCTAAGCCCGCATCCTTGATGAAGTTATCCAAATTGAAATCCGACCGATTCTCGTTACTAAATCCAGAATACGCATCTGGTATCGCAAAATTCTCCGGCTGCGCAAACGCATACAAAATATAGCGATGCGCGCTGGAAGTCGATGGAGGGGCCGGGCCCCTGTAGGGAACTTGCGCAGGGGTGGAGTTGATGAGGGCACGACCGGTTTGGGGCGATGAGGCTGTGGTATTTTGTGTCATACTTGTTGCGAGCCAGTGGAGGAAGAAGCGGCGCGTGGGGTTGGACGGGGTGGGGGCGTCCGGGTCAACCATGAGAATCAGGTATTGGCCCTTGTAATCAGCCACGGATTGATATTTGGCTGGCTCGAGGGCGAGGGTGGGCTTGGTGCTTGTAACTGTTGTGTCTGTTAGGCTGCGGGTTGGGAAATTAGAGCATACTAACTTTTGGCCCCGAAGAGCTGGCCTTCTTGGACGACAGTGGTGTTGCCATTGTGTGTGTAGGCTAAACTCAGCTCAGTGTGGTTGCCGCTGTCCACAAACCCGAATTCGGGAGGTGGAATGGCCAAGGCCACCGCCAGGAAAGTTGCAAACCAGAATGTCAACAACATGATGGTTATCTCGACTATTCTTGGCTAGGGGAAATTTCCAACGGATGAATGCTAGTGAATCATAGTGGATGAATTATAATATGAAATCCATCACATTTGAAGGGGATCGATACGCTCCTCGGCCAGACGCTTGCTCTTAACGTCATCACCAACGCCTGTCCATGAAACACCAAGCGTGTCAGTCGCGATTGAGCCCACTGATCTTAGCACCTACCTAGCCAAACCTTAGAAAAGAAGTAAAGACGACGTTTAATTGGATACAGGGTAAGACTCTGTACCCCATTGGGATATCTTGGCATGATTCGAGACGATTCTCACACAGGTTGGTTTACGGTCAGCATGCGGTTTATATGACAGACCAAACCATGTTGATAAAGTTCATTGCATGGCTTCATCCCAATCATTATTGTACAGCTCATGTGAGTAACACCTGTTGTTTCGAGATATCATTATCAATACGGTGAAGGTGAAACAGTGTAGTTGGAATCTGTGGTTGGAAATTAATCATATGGAAGATGCTTCTCGTGCAATGATAAGAATAAATAAATGAACCGCCCGACGCGGCTTAAGGGCCCGCTATATCATCTATAGCCCCTTAAGGGAGTACTTGTAGAGGTACCGAGGGTTAACACCTACGGCGTATTTAAAAAAAAACAAAACAAAATAAATAAATACTGATTCTCTTAAGTTGTGATGTCTTCGTATCTGCAAGGTTTTAAGCCCTTTTTTATCTTATGCACTCTACTACGGGGTGAACAATAGAGGCATATTTCCAATTGTCATCACAGACAGGTCGCTGCTGAATCCGAGCTAAGAGTGACACAAAGCTGGATGTGGAACTCACGGTCAGCCCTCTAGAATGTGGACCGTGTCTACTTGAGGTTTCGCTTTTGGGACAGAATACTGGGCTTATAATTCCTTGGAATGGCCCTCCGTCCGTTGTGCTGGCCCAGACTAAAGCAGCCATACAACTAGGCTAATAAAGCACCAACTCCGGTGCGTAAAAGACACCATATACGGTATATAACCCTCGGTTTGACTACGACATACTATAAACCATGCTGTGAAAGTAAGGCTTGGCGATTCCTAGGATGTATGAATTACAAATTTCAGTGCCGTTCATTCACTTATGTAAGAAGATGAAAGGGGAAATTATTGATCTACGGCAAAGTTTGTGCTCTGAGAGCCGTGCACTGGCAATGTCTTCCTCGTCATATCTACCTCACGTCTGTGTTCAAGAATATTATACAAATTAATTGAAACCTGTAACATGAAATCCAATAAAGATACTTGATTAGGGTCACTTCTTATCTTAATTATATAACACCTCTCAAAGCAATTTGCAAAGAAAAATTAGCACCAATCGTTGCTGAAATTTCAATAGGTGCAACCCCTGAAAGACAGCTACATTTGAAGAAAACCACGATCTCCGGCAGCCCTTATTTGTATGCTACATATTAAAAGATCAAACCAGCTTCTTCTTCCCGTGGATTTCATCAGGTTTCCTGACTGCATAAGCTTCGAATATTGGAGTTAGTATCTTGGATCAAATGTATTTCAAGAATGAATACGGATAGCTTAGGGCAAACTCACCTTTGATGTTAGGCTCATTCCACGACTTCCCATGATATAACAACGTCGTCGCCCCCGCGAACACCACATTGTTCTCCGTCAGTATAAATTCTTCTATCCCCAACCCTGGTGCCATGAAATGCCGGCAAATCTCATCCAACTCCAACCTCTCTACCTTACCCGGACCGTCATGCATCAATGCATCCTTCGCCAACGCATACGCCACTGGATTCATTAAAACCCCCTCATGCGTATAAAACCCACCCGCAGGCTTCCGCGGACACACATCCTGTATCTTGACATTACTCACCCCCGCCCCATGATTGTCCATCAACGGTGACGACGCCCCTTCGCCAGACTGCGGCTGCACAATATTATCCGTCCCGGAATAGATGATTGTAGTAGGAACCCATGCCGAATCACCCCCATCCGCCCGCATGGCAGCGACTAGTTTGCTATGATAAGTACTCTGCCGCCAAGCAGGCGGCAGCGGCGCCACAGCCATGAACTCCGTAAGTACAGTTCCATGATACCCGGGCGAGAAGGCGACATGATCAGACACGAGCTCTCGTATCGAGGGCCAGAATTTATACGCCCACTGCGCATCAAGGTTTCCCTGTGAAAATGCCAGCACAGCGATTCGCCGGTTGTTGCAGATGGACGACAGGTAGGAAATCGCGTAGGCGACGTACTCAGCGTTAGTCTGCACGTCGTCAAGCGAGTACTCGGGGATATTGAGCCAGACGGGGTCGCCGAAGGAGGTTTGTGGGTTTTGGAGCAGTGGGATGAGGTTCCCTGCGAAGGTGACGTAGCCGGGGTTTCCTGTCCCGCCGACTAGGAGGATAGGCTGGGCTGCATTTTGGCCGCCGTATAGGAAGTCTTTAGGTATGTGCAGAGCGCTGCGAAGTTTGGACTCCGGCATGCTGTAAGATACATCTTCTGTAGATGCTTGTGGGTATATCTGGTCTAATGGCTCGAGAGGGTTGGAGTTGGAGTCGCTCGCTGCGCCGGCGAGGGTTTCGGTTATGTACGCGCCTAGGCCGTTGATGCTGAGGGTGGAAAGGCCTGAGGAGATGAGGTGTTCGGTTGCTTCGAGGATGCTAGGTGGCGGGTCCCTGGTGTAGATGTCTGAGAGTGTGGAGAATGCCTCTTCGATAGAGGATGAACTATTGTTCAGGGATGGCGATTGCAAGTTGTCGAAAATTGGTGGATAGATTGGTGGGTCGGCGTCTGTAGATTTATGGGCTCCTGTCGAGACGTAAGTTGGTCTTTGAAGACCGAACATGCTCGTGAACAGCAGAAAACCTTTTACGCTGTCCATGGCCAAGAAGTGCGGCAGTTTAAGTTGTTGTATCAATCAGTGGGCTAGATAACACTGCTCTGTGAGTGATTACTTGTTATATATACATCAAAGTAGTCATCTAATACTTGGTAAACGCTGGATATTGAGAAAAAGTCTCGGCAGAGATATTAGTGATAAATAGAAAATTCCACCAGGCCACGAGGTTCCCTCACAACTATGAAGTTCACCGAGAGCTATTGGGGTTATGACGCTTTATTGGTGCACATAGACTCCATTTGTAGAAATTAGCGGCACCCTTTATCTGCTTGTGATCCCAGTGCCTAGGCGTACTACTCTACCGTGTTACTAGTTGTACACGCAAGTAGCCTTGTGCTGTCCCAAAACCTGGCAGTGTACATCTGACCTTGTGGCCTATTGGTACGATTCCCGTCGAACCTGGTCTACTCTTGTGGGTAGTACACAAGTCGTATCCTATCGGAAACGTGGGACTGAGCTCCACCCGAAGTAGTGTGACTGAAATCTCCGAGCCAATAGTAAGTGCTAAGCCCCTAACCGCATTGACCACCTTTTTGCATGCACCCCTATTTTGCAGGGAAATTCTACGCCTCAACAACAATACGTCTCTCAATTAACCTCGTATTAAGTTACTCTCTAACCACGTACAAATTAGCGAATGTAATAGAGTACACTCCCGACGATTTTGAGCAGCGAATCGAACGCGCTAAAGAGCTTATCTATTAGGGCTATTCCTAGGCCGTAGTAGCCTATCGGTACGGTATTAAGGGGACTATATTGTCCTACCCTATTCGTTACGGTAATTCGCACCGCGACGCGGCCTCCGGGTAACAAAAGTTGACTCTAGAGCAAGAGGAGGTTATCGTGAACTGGATCCTACACGAAGAACTGTACGGACGGGCTCCTAGCAAGTGTTATATAGCCGACTTTACTACCAAAATTCTCCTTACTCAAGGTGTTACAGGCGAAGGTGGTCGAATATTTGTGAGGTTGTAAAAGCATGCCATTCTATCTAGTTGTCACGACCTGGGTTGCATCGCATTGGTATAGACCTCGATTAGGTGCTATCGACGAAGATTCTACTCTAAGGAGCGAAGGAAAGAAGATGACAACTTAGGTTTGAGGGAGCGCGACTAAGTCATCCACGCTTGGCGGGGCTCCTACAAGGGTTATGATTGGCTTCCCATCTCACACTGCCACGGCAGGTGTTCCAGCTGTAAGTCACCTGGTTGTAGGGAGTCTGCGAGGGTTGACCGTCACAGATTGTGCCTGGCCTCTACTTACACCGTATCTACTGTTACAGAGACGAAGCCTAGGGGTACCGAATAGCGACTCCTTATCCTCGACGGCTACTAGATATATATTTATACCGAATCTATATAGAAAGCTTACTCTAATATAGTCGCCGTGCTCTATTTACCCTTACACTATAGTAACGATCTCTAGTCGTACGATATCGGGCCGTTCTTACCTTTAAAGACCTACTATCGCTAAGAGCTTAGGGCTTACACTTCTGTTAGGCAACCTTGGTGGGCTTTGCCAAGACCACCAAGGTTACCACGTGACTTAGCCCTTCGGGACTAAGTCCAACCTTCGTGCTCCATAGGACTAGATAGAATGTCATGCTTTTACAACCTCACAAATCTTTGACCACCTTTGCGTGTAACAACTTCCTATAAGGCTATAGCACTAATTTACAAGTAAATTATACTAGGAGTATATCTACGTGCCTCGGAGAGAGCCTTTACTACGGAGAATATCAAATCTAGCTAGCAGAAGATTAGTATTGACGACGGGCAGTGAAACCACCCGCAGGTTCAAGGTATGATGATGATGGCAACGGATAACAAGATCCTCAAGAAGACCTTAGTATCCGGGAGATGGAAAAAAATAACAAGATCGAGATGTCACAGCGCTGGCGATTACAGAGCCACATAGTGCTGTATATAGCAGTTAGTGGGACTAAACGTCAGTAACACTGACATTTCTAGATCTTTTGGTCTATTGGCCTAGGGGCTTGGTCCTCCTCTTGTGACAATTATGTCAGTGTTAACGGTGTACGGGTGTCGGCCCTCGTCATAGACGAGAGGGTTCGAATCGTGGTTGTGCAGCCACATGCGAGACGGTCGACAAGCAGGCATACCGAGGCATGACCAAGTATGGCCTACCAGACTGTGGCTGTGCGCGACAGCGGCAACTACCTCCTAAAGTATGCTGACAAGTGCGGGGTTATACACATGTGACGGTAGTCTGCTATGTGTGTGCCTTGTGCTTGGTGGTCTTAATGACTGATACGATGTCCCTGCACTAGTAAAGGGAGACTCCCGTAGAGGGATGTTCCCGTAAGCCCGGATTGCCCGGAGAGGGTCCGTGAGGCTCAGAGTTCAAATAGTGCTAACACGTCTATTAAAGAGTTTTGGGGTCGAGCCTTATAGACGGGGGATAATTGTCACAGCGCTGGCGATTACAGAGCCACATAGTGCTGTATATGGTCTATTGGCCTAGGGGCTTGGTGTCAGAGAACAGAATGCCATAGGCACCAGTGGGTGTCAGGACACTGAACGCAGGACACCGGTGGGCCGCCGGAGGGGTGTTTCGGACAAAAGACTCCCGAGTCATGATTACAATCTATGTGAAGCTTTGGGATGACGAGAGTCAAGATCCTTGGCATCGCCGACCCTGCTGTTATGCCGGGTCCAAGCGGCGGCCTAGCTATCTGTATAAGGACCATCTCGAAGTAGGATAGGGAAGGAGTTGTCAGAGCCACAAGTGTCATCCGAGGCGGGCCGGCTTCCACCAGGTAGGAAGCCGTTTGTGGCGGCTAGAGAGCCGCTTGTGGCGAATGAGAGCCGTTGAAGCCGTTTGCAGCGGATAGGGAATCGCTTGGTTGCAGATAAGGAGCCGCTGTCCAAGATATTGGCCGAAGTCGGAGGAACACAGACATACGGAAGCAAACATCCAGAATCCAAGAGAGAACCTCGGCTGGCTATAAGTAAGGAGTCGAGACGGAGGAAGATAGAGAGGGCAGAGATCAATGCATCACCGTGGGCACCCCTACCTGAGACCGCCAGTGACCACCCGGTATTACGTAGGAGGGACGCCCGTTACTCCCCATCACTCTGTACTATTGCCTTCGGTCTAGCCGTACCCTGACACTTGGTCCTCCTCTTGTGACATAAGAGCTTTGCCCTGATCAGAACAACAAGTACCTCAACAGGTACTAACAACTAAAGCCTCAACAGGCACAAGAAGATCTATAGGGGAACATAAAGTACCTCAACAGGTACGTCAGACATTTAATGCCTGTCCAAGTAAAGAGAAATTGGTTCAGATTACTGTGGAAAAGGCCGCTTGATTTTCTATCTTTTTCTCAAGAGAGTGACTACGTACATAAGGTCTTAAATACCCTTCAAGAACGCGCTTACATAATTCGTTTGAATATCGAAAAAAACGAAAACGAGCACCCAAAAACCCTAACCCCACGTCAGTATATAGCCCGTAAGCTCCGAAGGACTAGTCGACGTATCTTATAATCCTACGGAGCCTTATATACTAGGTACTCCGCCTTATATATTATAACCTGCAGTTAATTTTACTCCTTAGAATACCTAGTAATTGTTACACGCAAAGGTGGTCAAAGATTTGTGAGGTTGTAAAAGCATGACATTCTCTCTAGTCCTATGGAGCACGAAGGTTGGACTTAGTCCCGAAGGGCTAAGTCACGTGGTAACCTTGGTGGTCTTGGCAAAGCCCACCAAGGTTGCCTAACAGTAATTATCTAGCTAACTATAGTTAATAGAGAAAGCCGAGGGCGGGGTTCTCGTAAGATTCGTACCCTAGTAGGAAAGGCGGGCAATGTGAAGGTCAACCCTCGCAGACTCACTACAACCAGGTGACTTACAGCTGGAACACCTGCCATGGCAGTGTCAGATGGGAAGCCAATCATAACCCTTGTAGGAGCCCCGCCAAGCGTGGACGACTTAGTCGCGCTCCCTCAAACCTAAGTTGTCATCTTCTTTCCTTCGCTCCTTAGAGTAGAATCTTCGTCGATAGCACCTAATCGAGGTCTCTACCAATGCGATGCAACCCAGGTCGTGACAGGCAAGGCCCTTATACTCTACTCTAGGCCGCCGAGATAGCTAAATTACGTATCGAAAACGAGCAACTATATAAAGAACTCGATAAATACGCTCTAGATGTACGCTAGCCCGTCTAGCCTAACCCGAATAAAGTGTTCGTTAACTTATTAGCGATCCGAATAGCCTAGGATAAGCGAAACAAGCGAATACGGCTTATTTTACTAGATGAGTAGTTAGAAACTAATACTTTTCTCGAAGGAAGGGTTCCTCCTCAAAAGAGGGCTCGAAAGAACATATCTAAATCTTCAGGCGCTTAAATTAAGTATATTTTGTATAACGTGGTTTAACACCGAGTCGCGCATGTCACCGAGTCGCGCACTTTTTCAACTTTTCCAACCTTTTGACTTCAACACTTATTTCCTCAACAACAACACCATGTCAGTTCAAACCCAAGAAGCCAAAATCAACCTTGCCATCGAAGCTATCCGATTGACCAAAAATATGAGCCAACGTCGAGCAGCAAAGCTATACGGTGTACCCGAGTCCTCACTCCGTGACAGAATCCACGGTCGCACCCCACGTACCGAAATCTGGCCGAATAGCGCACTACTCGCCAAGATAGAGGAAAGAGCTATTGTTCAGCATGTACTTGACCTAGATTTGAGAGGGTTTCCTCCCCGGCTAGAGGGTGTGGAAGATATGGCCAATTCCATTCTTGCGACGCGGGGTACCCGACGCGTCGGCAAGCTCTGGGCGCATCGCTTTGTAAAGCGAACCCCAGAGTTACAGACGCGTTTTTCTCGCTCGTATGACTTCCAGAGGGCCCTCTGCGAGGATCCAAAGATTATTGAGGACTGGTTCCGGCTTGTATCGAATATGAGGGCCAAATACGGGATCCAGGACTGCGATATGTGGAACTTCGACGAGACGGGCTTTATGATGGGCGTTATTCAACGCTCGATGGTCGTTACCTCGTCTGAACGGAATGGGCCACGGCGATTACCTGTGTCAATTCGGAGGGTCGCGACATCCCGCCATTTCTGGTAATTCAAGGGAACTATCACCTTGCTAATTGGTATACTGAGGGGGACCTACCAGCCGATTGGGTAGTCAAACCGACCGAAAACGGGTGAACGAACAACGAGACTGGTCTAGACTGGATCAAACATTTCAACAAGCACACTATCTCGACCAAAAAAGGCGTGTATCGGCTGTTAGTATTGGACGGGCATGAGAGTCATACATCGGCCGATTTCGAGTCTTATTGCAAGTCTAACGGCATTGTTACTATCAGTCTGCCCCCGCACTCGTCTCATCTGACCCAGCCACTTGATGTCGGGTGCTTTGGGGTCTTGAAACGTATATACGGTCGAGAGATTGATATATTTATCAAATCCCATATTAACCACATTACTAAGGTCGAGTTCTTTATCGCCTTTAAGGAGGCTTATTTAAAGACAATAACCGACAAAAACATCAAGGCAGGGTTTCGAGGGGCCGGCCTAGTCCCCCATGACCCTGAAGCCGTTATCTCGAAGCTGGATGTTAGGATTCGGTCGCCTACACCAGTTAGCCCCTCTCTTCTAGATACTGACCCTTGGGTTTCGCAAACGCCAAATAACCCGACAGAGGCTCTCTCGCAGTCCGATTTTGTCAAACGCCGAATCGCCAGACATCAGGGAAGCTCTCCGACCCCGATTTTTGATGCTGTTGGCCACCTTGCGAAGGGTATAACTCGATTAGCCCATGAGAATACCCTCTTGAAGGCTGAGTGCTCCACCCTTCGCAAGGCAAATGAGGCACTAAGCAAGCGTCGGAGGGCAAAAAAATCGCGTGTCCGGCAAGGAGGTGCACTTACTGGCGAGGATGCCCTGGACATTTTGGCCCGGAAGGACGCGGAGGCCCAGGTAAAGGAGGACAAGCGCTCTAGGGGGGGTAAAGAAAAGGCTGGTCCGTCGACTGTACGACGATGTAGTAAGTGTAAGAAGACCGGACATAATGTAAAGACTTGTCAGGTCGAACTATAATTGTCAGATGTATATAGCTCTGAATAAATTTCAATAAACTTTAGTCTGTTGTGGCTTTTTAATTGAACTTGAAATTATAGTGTGGTAAAAAGTGCGCGACTCGGTGATATGCGCGACTCGGTGTTAAACCACGTTATAATAAATACGGACGAAGTATTGAGGTTAATCTAGTTGGACCCTACAAAATGGGGGTGCATGTAAAAAGGTGGTCAATGCGGTTAGTAAATTCGCCTGGCACCAATTTACATGTGTAAGCTTCAAACAAAATCGAAGTCTCTAAACGAAGTTTCCCGTATGCCTCGTATGCTCCTTCTGCTCGTCCATCTCAAATCCGACATCCGGTCTGCTATCATGCAACGACATGTATCGTCGGGATTTTGGCCTTCTTTGAGGACTCGGTCCACTCTGTCGAATCTGTGGGATCTTGTTGGTGAACGGGACTGAGTCACCCTTTCGCTTACCATTAAACGACTTTGGGAACGGCAAATGGGCTACGATCAATACTACTGAGTAGCATATGAGGATCACTGGGACTGGCCACGGGCTAGAGAGGAAATTGACAAGCAGAATCTCACTTGTGGCCAAGAGATTCGTCAATGTAAGGCCAACACCGGTGGAAATGAAGAACGCCGTGCGATAGATGTTGAAGGATACCCAGCCTTCGCGTTTTGAAATGGCGTGCAAGAGGGTAATGAGGCTAATGACCATACCGGCAGATATATATGTGTAGATGAACTGGCATCAAAGTCAAAAAGCAGTCCGTTGACAGGTGAGAGAAAAGGTGATCGGTTGACTTACAATGAGTTTGAACTCTGTCTTCCTGGAGTAAATTGCTACATTCTCCAATGAAGAAAGGTTGAAGGTCGCACTCTCAACTGGCCCATGGATGCCAAAGAATGCTTGGATATTCTCAAGCACAGTGAGTACAATGTCTTTGAAGCTATCCGTGAAACGGTCGACAGTCGGATCGTCCACAGGAACGCCAATAGACCAGAACATGTCTGGTATCGTGCTAATGTTTGCAAAGGTCGTGTTCAAGTGTGTCCACGTTTTGAGGGTATCATTCGGCTTATATAACACCAGCTGATCTACCACAATGGACCTAATCTTGCCGATGACCTCTTGAGTAGTCAAAGTACTCGGGGCGCGAACATCTTCAAAAACACCGTTGAGGGCGCTGTTGGCGGAAGCTGATGATTCGAGGATTTTCCAAATAACAACAAATTTGTTTGTGCCTTCCAACAGGACGACGAGAGCCATGTGAAACGGCAAATGGAAGAAGACCCAAGCCGTGCGACGTCGGCTGGTTGTCTCCGAGTGGTGGTCCAAGTCGAAATATATCTTGAAGATGATGTAGATCAATCCGATGGCGCAACCGATGATCGCGATCAGTGCCGGAGCTGGTGTTACACGTTAGAATCTCCATGATGGACTTGGTACAATGGTGAAGAAGAAAGGGTATCTCACACCACCCGATAGCCAATGAATCTGCTAGAGGGGATTTCTCCTGGACCAAGAGATTAATGCCTCTGATCATGATAATAATCCCTTCACCCAATATTATAAGCGTCAACTGGTTCATGCGCGCCTCCAAGTTTGTCCCTTTGAAGCTGAGAGGGTCCGATAGACGGGAATATTCCAACTGAAGGATCACTTCCACAACTCCGACAACATTCCATGCAATTAAAGCATCGCCGGGAATATTATCCACTCCAAGCATGAAGGAAATCCCGAAGTATATGGTGGCAGCTGCCACAAGCGTCCCGATAATGAGCAGCAAGACCATCTTCGCCCTGCGGCGTGCGTACTTCCGCGCCTGAAACAGCATAGTCGCATATTTCACCGCGAGCACGAGTCTCGAAGCCATCAGAAACAGAGATGCCATGCGGAAGATGGCCTGATAATTAGGACTAGGGGTGAACACCGTGCCTAGCTCTGCAAAACCGACCATGACGCCAAGATCGAAGGCGCAGGTGATGCGCTCAAAGATACTGTCGCCCGAGAAGCGAGCATCGAAGAAGGTGCTTTGGATCCATGTTGTCCAGAGGAGAAGGACGAAACCAATGAAGAGGGAGAGGGCTTTCACGTCGATGATTTCGTGGTATTCGGTGAAGACGGTTAGGTTGGCTACGAACCAGAGGTCGTAAAAGAGCTAGAGAGCATATTGGTCATGCAGAATTAATATAAGCGAAGGCGTACATACTTGAAAACTATGGCCACTCTCGTGCTGTCATCGTATCAGCGGGTCGATGTCTTATTTTCAGAGTATGTGGCTTTCGTACCGGAATGAACTCCGAGTCCGAAGTCACAGATGGTGACAGACTTTCAGAATCTTTAGATCCCTTGGTCGATCCTTCCGGTCCCAGCCGTTTTCGTGCAACAGTGCTGTTGATGATCTCGAGCCTGGTGACTGTATATTGAAGTTCGCTGTCTGACATGTTTACGATTTCGGCGTAACTGTCAATCACGAAACAAGATAATGGGGATAATATTTAGATTAACTGCATATTGATGAAAATATAAATTACCGAGATATTTATGGAGGTAACTTTTAATGATTATATCATTGACTTGCTTCGTCTGATCTGGTGGATCGCCCTGCGTCATAACGTACGGGCTATGGGAAAGTAAGCTTCGATCTCAGATCTGCCTCGAGAGGCTCGAGCCATGAAACATGTGCTTAGCCGCATTTCATATTTGCGTTCGCCTCTCCAATAGCCGAGTAAGATGAAGCCTTTAGCCGAGCTTTTGAGGGGGATGCTGGAGCATAGATATGCAGGATACCTATCTGAGTGATCCATGCCTTTCCATGACTCCAAAAGATTTCATGTCTCGGATCCTTCCCGGATAACACGGCCATGTCTATTGAAGTCTAATGCACTATTTCGTATTTTATATTCATTAGATCGAGCTCGAGGACAAATATCGACATGGTTTAAGTCTTTGGACACTGAGGGAGCCAGCCCGAGCTTAAATACAAGCTGCTGAATGATTCCATCTAAGCCCCCGAAATTTGAATCTCCTCGACAAACTGTTACGTCCAGTAGATTTGATGATCTTCTGTAGTATTGTGCGTAGGCAAGGGTTATTGCTTCCCATTTTTCATTTCACCACAAGCTGGTCCTAACATTCCGATAGTTTGCTAGGTTAGGCTTTCTATATTGATCACCTGGTGACGGTTGAAATTTGACCTGGTATAGCAACTGATACTAATGCTTATATCATGAAAAGCTGACTTGATATGTATAAACCTTACAACCTGTCGGGGCGTTTCTGTGAACGTCTTGAAGAGGCTGTATCTACTTGTGACACATCTTTAATAGATCAATGCAATTTGTACAGAATACATTACACTTTAGGATTGAATGCCTCCATGTCTTTCCAGTATTTAAAGAGAGAAATCAATGTCACCCTCTGCTATTGCCTTATGGATGAATTAATCTGACTATGTCGGCTATTCTAGACTGCATCTACGTTTGCTCATCTCAAGTAAGCCTTCTAAATCATGCTTGCGTCCCTTTCATGTGCATGTAAACACAGTACTTAGTTTTGCGACTTCCTTCAGACGTATTCTTCAGACTGCACTAACCTCCCACATCGTTCCCCTATTATGCCAGAGGTTGACACATCATCCAGAGAAGTACTATTGCTAATCTCTAAGCTGAACTCCAAATATGATTCTTCATAATATTAATAATATAATCTCACTACCTTAGTACATCATGGATAATAGATAGCGGGACACTGGCTTTGGTAGCAGCGCTGACTGGGTGACTGGTTGGATGCCGACCTGTCTGCTGGACCAGAAGCCTCCCCCTGTCAACCCAACACCCGGTAAAACAGAAAATTGGCCAGGGTTTGGCATGTTTTGAAGTCCTTTTCTATACTTATCTTTAGTTGGGGCTATCTGAAGTTGAAATAGGTACACCCTTTTCCGAAGTTTTACCCCTATACCGGGCAAAACACCAAGGAGACTGTAGACTCTGGCAGCTTTATCAACCGGAATAACCTCACACAACTCCGTGGTTTTTCCGTCTGGTGCTTGCCCATAACCCGATCCATTGCTTCCCAAACCCGACTTACCAAATCTCATCCTACAATCATCCAAACTTCCCCATTACCTCAATGTCAACGTCGGAAAGCGTTCTGGTCGCACAAACCACAGTTTCTGCATCAAGGTACTACGATATTGACACATGCTAATTCCTCTATAAAATTAATAACAGATGAATTCAAGGTGACATTAATTTGGCAGACACGAACACCAACGTTCCCGATAAAGACTCCACATCGCAAACCATGGCCGACGGCACGAAGGACAGCACGAAGGATAAGTGGACCACAGACGTCACTAACAAGATGCTCTTCACGATCCTGTCACAGAACAACCCGGATCTCTCCGTCTCCGGTTGGAAGGACATCATCGACAAGATGAACATGGGAGTCCCATCTGGTACCTACACCGGGCCTGCTCTCAAGTAAGTCTCATTTTGCCATTGTTTGTTACAGCATTCTTCCTCGACGCGTTCTTCGTTCTTTCCTGTAACATTACGGGACATGTTCGCGTGTTGTTTCAGCGTGTCGTTTTAACGTCACTTCCACATCATGTCCACAAATATAACAATCGCCCTTGCGCGTCCCTTGCACATCGCGTTTCGAATTTCAATCAATAAATTCACATTGGAACCTTTGCTAACTATCTACAGGCAGCAGTACGGCAAGCTCAGAAAGCAGTTTCTTGACGCCAACCCCGGCATGCCTGCTACTGGTGAGGATTCGAAGACCACCGCCACCCTCGGCCCCGAGAAGCGCGCCCGCAAGACCGTTGACAACGGCGATGATGATGGCGACGAGGCCAAAAATGAAGATGGCGAGGGATTTCAGCCTAAGAAGAAGAGAAAGGTTCTTCTTACTAAGGCCACGGGCAAGGAGGACGGTGACGGAGATGATTCCAAAGATGATGCCAAAGACGAGGACGTCGAGGTTGAGGAAGAGAAGCCCAAGAAGAAGGTGGCTGCTCGCAAACCCCGCGCTACCAAGGCCAAGAAGGAGGTCAAGTCCGAGGAGCAGGTTAAGGATGAGGTGGCCATTAATGATGATGCTGAGATGGATGTTTAAATGGCATGCGTGGTCAGCTGTGTCCATCTTTCTGAAGCACAGCTGGGTCAACAAGTTGACATGAAGAAGAGGGTATCATGATGATCATATTGGGGATCGTTGAAGATATTAAGGCTGTTGAGGTCGGATTAACTTGCTTTTCACGACACTAAGAACACTTCTCAGTGAGAGAGTATCAATGATAACATGCACATACATCATCCGTGTTATTTCCACATACCTGCATTCACGCTATTTTAGTGGTTGCTTCCACCTAAGTTAACCTTGGGCTCACTTGTGTTTCTACTGCTACTGCGAGTGTCGCAAGAAGTAGCATATTTGTCCCACCATAAGAAAGGGATTGACATGAAGGGCAGAGGCCATGATTAACCCCTTATTAGCACTAGCCAGTGCTCTGGTGGTACCTTTACGCTCCTGCAGTGCCATGAAGCATTAAATGGGCTTAGGCTGAAGGTCGCTGTATTAGCTGTTTTCGCTGAATTAAATGCACATCAAGTGGTTTCGCACCTCATCAAATGAATCTGGTAGCACCTAGTTCTTGGTTCATGGTTATTTTCAAATCCCAGAATTTCTCTAGCTTGCCTCCATTCTGTCAAGCGACGTACTTTGAAATTCCGAATTTGAAGGCGCTAGTTTACACTAATCTGGTTTCCTCTCATAAACACAGTTAATATCCACTCAGCATACGTTCAAGTAATGTTCCAGCTGGGTTTGTTTGCCTCTTGCTTTGTGCGTTCACGTAGGGAAGCGGATTGAGCAGCACAGGAAATCGCGAGGTCACCATACCGCGAAGCTAGTGGCATCTGGGCATCCGTCCATCCAATCTAGTTACGATAGGTTTAGAAGGCTGCAAAATGATGCTTGGAGCAGGGACCTTGGCAGGGACCCTGGCAGTTTGACGGGCCAGACTCCCGGGACTGTACTAGAAGCGGGGATCTACCAACTGCGTGGATGCTTAACTACATTTTTCAGGTATTGTCAGTCCTACATCGTCTACTTCACCGAATCTGGGTTCAGTGTGTCAGCGGACATTTATTTCACTTCAATTCGGGTGACGATCTTCAGTAACTCTCCATAAGTTGGCTGTAGAAGACGATGTCGCAGACAAGTTCCAGTCCAATGCAACAAGATGGCTTTGAATAGGAGATGGCAATGTGATGAATATCCTGGATTACAAACATAATTCATCGAATTCGTCGGCTACCATCCTCCTAATCAACCTCTCCTGAACTGGTACTTCGTCGTGCTCCATTACATATCTCAGAAGCGGCGTCGCATCATTCCCAGTCATTATCTCGCCATTGTAGAATTCAAAATCGGAGTTCGCAGCCATAAAGTCCGAGCTGATGGGAGTGGTTGCTGTTGCTCTTAACCATGCTTGTCGACAGCGTGGGGGGGACTCATTCGCCCAGGAACCAATGCCTGCAAGGGCCGAAGCAGTGTCCCATCGGAGCGGTTCGGGTATAAATGATGTTGTTAAGGGTGATACCGTGATCCTGTCGCATGGATTAGACAGTTCTCATCATTAGCTCGCAAACGCCACATGTGGGACTTACAAAGGCATCATAACGACTCCAACACCTGTAAATTGCGGCTTGCTGGTTTGATGAATCCGAGTTTGGGTCTTTCGTTTCTATTGGCGTTGTTAAGTTGAATCAGGTGTTGCGGTCTTGGGACTGTGTTCTTGACTCTCGAAATGTCTCAGAACATGGACAGTGTAAAAACCGCGAGAAGAGCAAACTCTTGACAGCACTCTAGATATAACAGCTGCCATCTTCTCCATCTTCCTGTCTGTCTAGAAGCGTGCTGATTCCTTGACATGAAATATTTTCTTCGGATATCCTAGATGGTAACCGACTGCCCTTTCTGGCAACCGGCCAAGAGTGTCGTGGGCCCTCAGCCACCTTCAACCGCCTTGGGTCTTGTAGGGGTTTCCAACAAACCAAGCATTGTTCAAAGTCCACTCTAATCATTCTAGGTACCAGTTACTCACCAGTGGTTAATCATCAGATCTATATTACGGGTATTATTCGTAGTCGTGGCGTAATTACTGAGAGGCGTGGCCGATGCATTGTCTGCGAGCTTGACTGGCACTTTGTAAGTGGCACTACCGCCGGCGTTCCACCCTGGCACGAGACGAAGAACCCTGAGCTGTTCATGAAACTGTTTTTTTGACTCTGACTTTGATGACTTCCAGTAAAAGCAATCAGAGCGCCATCATGACTCTTTGCTAACCATGTACGCACAGTCAAGCCGTGTATAGCAACAACGGTAGAATCTATATTGCCAAGGGGGGCAGCAAGGGGAGCTGCGATCCACCGCCATCAAATAGAGCTAGTCAGTGGGCAATTGTCGGCGGGGTGTGAGCCTTGCACCAAAGCTTGAGACCACCACGATTGATCAGCCTACCAGTTTGCCTAGGCATTGTATTAAGCTCTAATCAATCATTAGCTTGAGATTTGAATTATTTTGTATCGACAGCTAAGGTCACCAGATATGTGCTGTACAGCGGTCAAATATTCCTAAGAACTGCTCTACTGGGATTCTCGACTTATGAAAGTCCCAGCTTGCGAAGAACCCACGAAAAGAACCGCACTTGCGATTCAACGTGTGGACGTCTCAAGGCCCAGATTTCCAGGGATTCCGGCTCGCTATCAACCTTAATCTTGAACGAACCGTCAAGAAAAAAGCCCAGCTCTTCGTACAGTTTCTTCCCCATTGGACTCGCCAAGACGGTGGTGTACAATGACTGCAGCGACGCTCGTTCTACACCCCACCGACATAGCCTCGTTGCTGCTCCTCGGCGTCGGAAAGACGGATGTGTGCATAACAACCACAAGTGGATCTGATTATCGCCATACCTGCGTAAGTATTGTTGAAAGCCCTCGTCCATGGTTTTCTTGAACTGTCGGAAATGTGCCGGGTTTGCATCTTTCCGACGGGGCTTAGCCTGGGGATCATCAGGGATTCCTAGATCTACCAACAAATCAATTAGTGTACAGCCCGAACTTGCTACCCAATGATTTTCTTACCGCCTCCTTGATGAATTGTGGTCACAGCTATGTCCCACACAGATAGAGACACAGTCTTGTGTTGGTTATCAGCAGAAGTGATGATGGTCACGGCGTACTTCTCGGGTTGTTTGAGGTATTCCAAGTACTCCTGTCGAACCCATTCCCGATGGTCCTCTGGGTATTCGTGTCGGTATGGGAATCGATAATCAAACTCGGGATCGTCAGGGAATCCTTGTTGAGCGACACTTGTAATGTCGTCGAGGTCGTCCATTGTTGCCGGACGTAGCGACAGTCTATCGTCGGGCGGAAAGTCTGCCATGTTCATTTTTGATAACCGGTGAGACTAAGTCAGGGCTGATTGAGTGAGTGGTTGGGCATTGTTAACGTAGAAGAAAAAAACGGGGATCGAGTTGGAGGCTCAAGGAGTGGCGACTTCCAACTCTCTTGTATCAAAACATTGCCGAGATAGCCTGGTAGGCCAAGTTTAAACCATGGGGGTCTCATTTACCTTGAATAATGAGATCGAGTTCCGATTGCTCTTTTAAGCAGTCGGGAAGCGCCCTGGCGGAAAGCGGGGTACTAGTGTTACAAGGCCCTATAGAGTGTAATATTGTCTGGCTGCTCTCGGGCTGTAACTGCTCTAGCTAACCAACAAAACCATTTGAGGCAGGCAACTGATCAGAGCTGACATCGAGGAGCAGCGGTGCCCAACGCATAAAAAGGGCGACCAATGAGGTCAAAAGCACCTCGGGCTCATATTTCGAACTCGGTCGATTTCAGCAGCTCTAAGTAGCCGGGCGACGTACAGATACCTTAAGACATACGTCCCGCGCTTCGGTCTTCCTGCTTCAGCCCCTAACTGAACACATCATCCCGGTATTCGTCAGACCGACTGCTATGGATGCTACCAGTTTCCCGAGGTCTTGCAAAACGAACATGTTTGGAACTTCAAACAACTTCAACTCTCAGCAAACAAACAACGATGAGGAGGAATTGAGTTTGAGACTCGCAACAAACAGTGATTTTTCGTTCCAGTTACCAAATGTATCTCCTCCTGCGTTTGGATTCCCAGGTCAATCTGCGCTCCCACCGTGTTTTGGCGCGGTAAGGGGCGATTACAGCGAGATTGCGGGCAACATGCACCCAACTATCGGTACCGGATTCTTGCCTCAATACTCGGTAGCATCCAGTGGGCCTGCGCAACCTGCGCCAGACAGCCTGTTTGATAACTCCGAGGTAGCCGTAACTTGTTTCCATTCCTCCCCCGCGAAAAAGTCCCAAAAACAGGTACTCAACTCACCAGCCCAAAAACGCCACCAAGAGCTCCCAATCGTGCAATTTAAGCGGCCCCCAAAATGGGCACGAAACCACGGCTTCCACAAAGCCAGCCACTCAAATGCACTCATAAAGGACAAGGCAGGTTTGCCGTTTTCTATCATGTGGGAAGTTGTACCTACCAGCGTTGATTCTGACTCCCATGCTTGCAGAACCCGAAACTATGGCTGCATCGCGACGAGAATGGCAATTTACAAGGTGTCTCTCAAGTCTTTGGAGCGAATGAGAGAATACGCTCGGGCTTCGATGAAAATTCCCGCTCGGCCACAGCGGTTACGAGAACGACCGGAGCTTGTTCTCGTTGTCGGCTTCACAAGACCAGAGTATAGTTTCCACGTTGTTCACATGGACGGGAGTGGACCATGCTGATCTTCAATGCAGTGCGACATTCCCGAGGATCCACTCATGCCCTGCCCAGCATGTCTCAAGATATCTCCCTCCCGTCTCAAGGAGCCCTGCGTACGTGTGCAACTTATGACCCTGAATCTCCATCGCAGAGGTGAGTACACAGTAAAGTTTGGTGCTGGCACTAAGGCGGCTAACGCTTTGTAGGTTCGACTCTGAACAACCACCTTCAAGAGTGGACCGAGACTAAACGTCTTCGCCAACACAATCTTCCCCCAAACTTTCAGAATGAGCCAGATTCGCGGGTTGTTCGCGTCACCCAGGACCTGGGTGTCACGTTTGCCGTCACTGTCTTGAGGTTTGATGCAGATCCCCAAGACGTGACAGCATGGAAGTGGAAGGCCGACTCCATCCCTCGTTTGATGGACATGCCACCGTACTACATCAGCAATATGACCGAAGCCTCCCAAAATATGCAACAAGCTGTGCGGAAAGGAAAAGAGGAATACATCAATGGCCTACTTGCTGCCGCGAATCCTATTTCCAAAAAGACATTTGAGGCGGCCTTCAGATATCTTGAAACTTCAAAAGTAGGTATTCTGCATTCCAGATCCATTGGTCTATGTAAATTAACATATGAAAGAGCGCCCTTGTGTCAAATGCTTTAGAGTTCTGGGTTGCAACGCGATTCATAGAGCGTCCGTGGCGTATCTGCGAAGGCAACCTACCAGGTTTCGATCCCCCAAATGAAATTGGATGTCCTTGGAGTGGCATTGTTCCTGTGACCCCAGTCATGGACACGCAAATTGACCACATCGCTATAAGCTACCTTCTCATACCTCTGGGGCAGAGAATTCTGCAGGAATTGGATGAGAAAATCCGCAATCTCAAGAGAGGGAATTGGTTCGAGATCTATCTGACCATTTTCATCATGATGAATAACTTCGAATTTGTATTTGCTGATGTGATAGATTACACAACACGGCATGGATTAAAGGTATGTATGTCTTCACGTCATATCTACAGGAGCCGAGATGCTGATGGGATCCAGTCCTCAAAAAATGGAGGTGACTCGCTAAGTCAAAGTTACTATCACGCATGCCAGACGATGCTCATCTACTTCCGCTTTGCCTGTAATGGACAAGCGCCGCTTTCACTCACAAGGAAGAAGGAAAACACGCCAGTTCAGGGCCTGTCCTTCGATCAGCACGAGTACCTTCAAGATATCAAGCACGAGATAGACCGACAGAAACCCAATCTGGAAGATTCCAAATCTGGTTCTGTGTATCGAACACAAATGTACTTGTGTTACAAGGTCGTTTCCAACGACTGGAGTCCGGACTTGCCCCACTCCGAACCTATTGACAACTTCACCGAGCAGGATTTCCTCACGTCGTAGGAACAAGTCCTTGGAATCATAGATGTGGTCTGCAACTGTCTCCGCTGTGTTCCAACGGTTTTTTTCCAGTATGGTGAAGATGAGGGGTTTTTTTCATTATAATTTCAGCAGCTACACGAAATAGAAACCCGTTGAATCAAAAAAAACCCATGATACAACGTTATGTTCCCAACACCTAGTCAGTCAACCCGTGGCGGTTTGTTCTTATTCCATTAACCGTTTGACAGCCAACTATCTTCCTGTCCAGCCTCATACTTGACGGACCATTCTTCTTCCCTCTTGCCCCCACCCTCACCGCCACCATATATCCTCTCCCAGTGCTTCTTAGCAGTTTCAGGGACCTGCCAATTCTGCGCCGGGTCCCTGAGATAGAATTTGAGCAGATGTCTCTGCAGCTCCTCTCCACTCTCCGTAAAAGAGGACCGCGCATGCATTATGGCCATATCATTGATGAACGCAATATCACCTCTACCCCATGGCAGGGCAACCGCGTTCTTTGTCATCATGTACTTGACCGTGTCCATAGCTTCCATCTGGGCCTCGCTGATGGGCGGCAGGGCCGGGTTGCGCTGCCGACCTTTGAAGCCCACCATCGGGAAGCGCGAGTAGGTGAAGACTACGTTGTCACCGTCGGATACATGCAGGAGGGGGCGGGTGATGGGCGGGAAATAGGTGTAGTCTTTAAAACTGTAATGATATTAGGCTTTCTAGTGTTGAAGTGAGACCAGTGATGGAAGCTCACGTATCGAGAACCCAATGATCAGACAAGGTTTGGAGCACGTCTGGTCTCTTCTCGGACAGCTCATTGAACAGCTGGTAAGCGCTCGAGACGTAGGTCTGGCCCCCTGTTGTGGCGACGTCCACGGCGTACAGGGCTAGGATCTCACAATTATCTGTGTGGAAGGCCTGAATGGTGTCAGCCAAGCATTCATCATTCAGAGAATTATAGTTTTATGTGACTTACCAGAGGTCCGTCTGTGAAACCAGGGGATTTGATAGCGGCTTCGGCAGGTGGAGCTGTGCTTGCTGCATTGACAACATGGCCTACAGTAAAGCATAATTCAGCAATAATTCTTTTCGTCGTCGGGTATCGTTGCAGTACTCACATAGTACTCTCTTAAAATCCTTGTCAAGAAACCCATGCTGTGGAGCCACGTAGGCGGCAATGCCGGCGTAAAGGACAACATTGCGCTCAGGGGTGTATTTGGTCGGGTCAAGGCCTTTGACAACGGTGAAGCCTCGATCGTGATAGCACTGGTTGGAGACCTTTCGTAGACGATTGCCAAGTTCATCAGGCAGGGCGAAGTTCTTGGTGGAGATGTCCGAGAAGTGTGCGCCCTGGTCTGATTGAGTATAAGTGACTTGCCTAAACGTATGGTTTTGAAGTCTGAAGTGGAACACGAGAGTATCATTGACCGACCTTCAAAACCAAGAGCAGCTTTCTCCAGAGCCTTGATGTCGGCTGGTGACAACTTTAAGATGCATTCTTTTATGTTCTTTTCAATCTCATCACGAGACCAAGCCAAGGGTGTTTGCAAGACATTGGGAAACCCAATAGGAACACTTGGAATAGGGCTGTCAGCCTTGATACTCGGGTCGAGAGCAGGTTTATCAAGCCGGGAAGCAAGGTTATCCTCAGAAGGATAATATGAGAATGAAGCGGTATCCATATCGATAGACAAGATCAGGCTGGTGTACCGTGCGGTTGTTGGTCCTGGCAATGCACTACTGTCGCCCGGTTTGATAATCATGATGAACTTATAGACGCACAGAAATCACATTGAGTTGCCATTTTGCCATGGAAATCATGATGGGGCTGATGAGGCTCCGGTCTGCCTCAAAGGCGAACAGCATGCTCACCCTGACTTCAAGACGACACTTGCACCAATGAGATATCGTAGTCTTTGTCATCAAGAGGGACTATGAGGCTCAATTATCGGTCACAGGAAGCTGTCGAGCATAGAGCGGGCACCAATGGCACCAAGTAGGGGCTGCTAGAAATGGGAAAGATGAGGCTCTGCTCAGAGACAACATCGACCGGTCAACAGCAAAACAAGGCGGGCACCAATGATGATCAGCAATATGAATCAGGCGGTACAACATCATATCGGAACGTCCCACTGTTTGACGTATGCGTTCCGTTCCATTCGGGTGATCGACACCGAACTTCTACGTGATTTATATGATGGCTACTTACAGGATTCCTCTACTTACGTGGGGAGCTCCGCAAAAATGGGATGATGGTGGTGGCATTATCTATATTTTCTGGGATAGTTGTTGGAGGAATACATGGGTATATAGGATGAGTCAGATGTGACTGAATCTGACTGGTCTTTGTGGAAGTTCGAAACAAGCTAAACCCTGCACAGCCTTTACCGGTCGGATATCAGCAGGCGGTTCGGGCAAGCAGGTTTGGGATTGGCCATATCACGTCGTCAGGCTGCACACACAACGTAATGATGAGGGCCATAATCTTTTCTGAAAAGCAGGCCTCGTTATCGCGTGTATCTTCATCAATACGGATCATAGCCTTACAAGAAGTCAAATCACGACCTGGCCAAGGCATGGCGACCCTATCCCAGCTTTGTCTTCGAAGGCGGGTTATCCGAGGTATATGAGTCGAGTGATATGCGCCCATGGTGTCTGAAAAAGGCATTATATCCGCCTAATCATCAGAGTTGTGTTGTGCTGTGTGTGTGACAAGGCTTGAGACAAGCTATGTAAGGGCGAATCGGCCAAACGTGGAGACCGCCCGGCCCGAAGCGGGGTCAGATGGCGACCCCATAATAGTCCGAACAGCCGGTTGAGCTTTATAGGAGTGGAGACAAGCAGGAGTAACTACGGACAGTATACCCATATATGACATGAATTTCTTGTAGTTGTAATGCTACAGTACTACTCGTCGTTGTTTTCCCAGACTCCAGTTGTATGTAGTGATGGCGTCGACAGCACCCCAACCGCGTGAATCACACGACACTGATTCTCAAGAGCCTCGGCGCTCTACTGATGCTCTTCTGACAGAGCACGATCTTACAACTACCTTCGACGCAGAAAACGGCCATACTTCATTGAAGCGGATAGCAAGCGGGAAAAGATGGTTGATGGTTGCTGCTCCCAGCATACTACTCTGGTGTGTCTCATCTCATATTTTAGAGCCGAATAACTGAAATACGTTAGTGTCTTCACGATCGACTTTGACCTGGTATTCTTGTCCACTAACTATAGTAAACGGATTGGTAAGTGTGTTCACGTTCGATAGGAATACTCGAATCTAAAAGAACTGAATGGTGTCCATTTCCAGCCTCAGATCTCCATCAACTTAGCAATGCGGTGTGGATCATCTTGGTTGGATCCATCACGGAGACTGCTTCTCAACCTATTGTAGGTTTTTTACTTGGTCTAAAATGAAGCAAGCTGACACTTCTATCTTACAGTATGCATACATGGGTAGCAGCTATGGCCGCAGACCAGCCTTCTTGATTGCAGCTACTCTCACAGCCACGGGCTTCCTTCTCTGGTATTTGTCAACTCGCTGTACAAGTTCGTGAGGTTCTAATAATACCTTGTAGCTCCTTAAGCACTAAGCTCTGGCATTTGACACTATCCCGCTTCGTCGTGGGCTCCAGCTGTGCGGGGCTGCCGCTTCTTGTCATGATCATGCTCAATGGTGGGTCTTTCTCAACACGTAGCCTGTCTCTCTTTGGATCTGCCTTGGGTCGCTGAATCTTTGACTTAGATGCTGTGCCTTTACGCGACTTTGCGCTTTGGCGAAGCCTGCTCATTTTCGTCCAGATGGCCGGTGACATCACTGGGGGCCCTGGTGGCTCGGCCATTGCTGAATCCTTCGGTTGGCCTACGTGAGTCCAGATTCCCTACCCAAAGCCAAAGTGGGTGGTTCTTCTTCACTGACATGCGTGCAGTGTCTTCGGCGCTGAAGCAGGCGCAATGTTATGCGGCCTAGCTATTTCGTTCTGTACACTTCACCTCCCTTCCAACAAAACTAATCACCCTCGAGGTTCCAGTTTCGATTTTGTGAAGCCCCTATTGCTTCTTGTCACGATATCATTGCCCCTTTTTGCATTGAACCTTGGTGGCGAGATTCTGCCCTGGAGCCACCCTGTTGTCATAACTCTATTCGCCTGCACCCCAGTGTCACTCGGGATATTCTATTTTGTTGAGACCTTGACTGCTTCTAGTCCCCTGGTACCCGTAGAGCTCGTGAAGGAGCCGGCGATTATAGCGCTCATGGCATGTGCGTTCTTCGTCGTATTTGCGTTAAACACGGTATGTAAAATTACATGCGCATTCATCTACACTGCTTCTAGAGTCATATTGACGTCATTTAGCTCAGCTACAACCTGACTTTATACATCGAGACTCGATCATTCGACAACCCATCTGACTTTGGCGACTGGGCCTTGTCATGCATTTTTTTCGCAAGGCCAGTGGGCACTCTTCTCTCTGGTCTGGTTATCAGACGGTACCGAGAACCGTGGTCTATGTTGAGAGCAAATATGATTGTTTACTTTTGTCTCTATTTCCTCGTAGCGACGGGTCGGATACGTAAAACTTTGCCACGCCTCGAGTCTACCTGGAACCAGCTGACCTCTGTAGCTGTTGAGAACCCTGCCTTGGCACCGTACTTTCTGTTGATCGGCCTAAGTATCGGGGTAACAGAAAGCTGTCTTATTGTGTCACTATTCTCCATGGTGAAGAAAAGGGGTAAGTACTAAATAGAACGCGCCTCTTTTTGGTGTTTTCGAATACAGTAGAGTCATTCTGTATTGACTTGACACAGATCAACCGTCATGCCTAGCCTTGTTTAATGTCGCCGTAGCTCTGGCTGGCGATGTTGGAGTGGGTGTATCCCTGTCATTAACGGACAAATTCATCAGAAATGGTCTCCGCGAGCAGCTTGCCGGAACACCTGACTGTGACAAGGTAATGTCATTCAGATTCTATGGTCGAAGAACAGCAACAGTTAAATATCGTCAGATTATATCCGGGGCCATGGAGAGCCTTGCAACTATCCGGGATCTTCCGCCAGCTTTACAGAGCAAGGTCATTCCGATTTTTGTTCTGTCCATGGAGAAGGTTATGGGTTAGTGTATTTTCAGCATAAAACGAGAGTCACATGCTGACGTGTCTAGTAATATCGTGTGCAACGCTGCTTATTGGTGTCGCATCGACATTTTTTTACTGGGTCACATACCATGAGGGGAATGATTTAATGGCGGCAGAATGAGCAGATGTTGACTGAATACTTTGGTATCGGATGGCGAATCTAATCAGTTGGAAACCTATATTCTTATCTCGTGGGATCTCGTATCTCGCTTGTAACCATAGTCGAACATCCTCCGTAGAGGTTACGCTGTCAAAGTTTTCCACGGCAAGTGTCTACTTAGCAAACGAAAATTCGGAGTACACTCGGATTACACTCATCCTACATATGGGTTTGGGTTCTCAACGCATACGAAGTGACATGATTAATTGATTCTTGAAGACTGCGTGAACAAAAGCCCACTAGGCCAGCTGAAGAGCGAACGCCAACGAAATGCAAATCCCAATGCCCCAGAGCCAAAAACTAACTATTAGAACATAATGGAACACCATAAGCAGTACACTAGTCAAGGGGAAAAGAGGGGAAAGCGTGCCAGGGAACGGAAAAAGAGAGGGGATGAAGGAAAAAGAAATTCAACCAATATCTCTGTCACCTTTCTCAAACAAACTCAGACATTTGAACGTAAAACGCCTTCTCTTTTGCCTTCCCTTTGGATTTGGACTTGAACTCCAGTGGATCTGGCTTCACATTGCCAGCCTTGCCAGGGCTTCCTCTTTGAACTTCATGACCTGTACCTTTCTTAGGGCTGCGTATGTGAAAAGTCTTCGGGGGCTGAAACGCGGTCCATCTGAATGCCCAACCCGCAGGGGTATGGGTGCTGCGGGCAGCCGCGCGTGTTAAGCCAGTGCTGGCCTTCTGGGATCATCAGCCGGAGTTGTGGATGCATGAAACATTCTCTTCCCAGCTCAGAGCGGACCGACGCGTTTGTTACTTGCAAGTGCCTCACTCCCCATTTTGCCTTCTTTATTTCTTCAGGTGTAGTGCTGTAGCTTGTTTCATTCGAATTGAAACCTCGGCAGATTCCAGATCGAAGGGAAGTAGGTCGGGATAGAAGTCATGAACAAGAATGTTCCATTTCTCGACTTTAGACTACCGTGCCAATAGCAGGCTAAAGAGAGAATAGAGCTGTGCTAAATTATTTTTATACAGTGTCGGCTCTGAGAAAGCGCCATAATGGCTAGCCTAGAGTCTCTCGCTCCGGATAGAATATGTCACATTTTCGCTGGACTCTTCGAAGTTGAGCAGGCAGGTGCTGATATTTTCTACTCTATCATTTCCTCCAGGTTTGATACTTTTGTGTCGACCAAGTGACCTTTTTCGATTGGGCATCGTACGGTAGTGTAGTGGCAGAAGGCTTTGAGGTAGAAGACGTCGTCAATGTTAGGCCTGAGCTCGATAGGCTTCTTTTTTTCCCTAAATGATTATATCAATGGGGAAACCACGGTGTCGGGGGGTTTCTTGTATTAACCCTCAATAGTTTCCCGTGTACGTTGAGGGTTGCGCGGTTGATCTCATGGTCATCTATATTCTTCTTGATCTCGTCTTTTTCTCCTCGACCAAAGCCCTGAGACGTTTTACCTCCCAAATCTGACCAACGTTATCATAAAGCTCCTTTAGGGCCAAAAGTCGACTGGCATTGCCGTAAAGCTCCTTAGCGTTACGAACCGACTTTCTGAGTGGATTATTGCATTGGCATTGCGCTTGTTTGGGAACAGAATTTGACGGTCCTCGAATTTGAAACGTACGAACTTGGAGGTTACATCCACGTTCACCAACACCTCGCGCTGCATCGTCGTTACAGCTGGGACATAAAGCGGGAGCCGGTTTCGGTGGTGACATTGTGTCATTGCCTTTATCCTCAATGTCAGGCTGCTTGTTCTGGATAAAGACATGGGTTGGTTGTGCATGGTCCCTCCAGTGTTACTACCGGCGCAGCGTCGTCCGGTAATTGAGCTGCAGCAATAATTGCGTCTCCGTCGTGATCTGCAATGTTGCCTCACAGTCCAATACGACGAATTTGAGTAATGGCACGCCGATGTGTTCGTTTATTCCGTAAATGTAAACCGGACGGGCTCCGGCTCCCAAGTTGGCCGTCATGAAAGACTAGGAAACAGCGTTGAGACTAGTCATATAAGCATGGGTGATGAGCAGACCGTCTCGACTCATCTACTCCCATTTTTACACTTGAACATTAGCATTCGACGTGCTCTCGAACTGCAGTCATAAGTGTCCAACAGAACCTTCAATAAGGACTGACTCGCATGTGCCCGAAGCCACCTGATGCGCCATAATAGCTGTATAGAACAAAGCACTGTGAGTTGCTATATCACATTCGTCACATTGCCAAGAACCGAACAGATGACGAGACGTCAAAAATCCCATTCCGTGACTTCGTCGGTAATTGGGCCAACTCCCAACGTAGCGCTCATGATAGAGCCCATCCCGAGATGGACGCCACGGTGCCCCCGGTGGGGAGCCGGGGGGGGAGCCGGCGTGGGGCCTGTGGATTATGGAATATCGTGGAACCCGAGGAATCGGACATGGACTAGGGGTTAGCTATTTATATAACGGGAGCGTCTTGGAGGAGGAGGAAGGGAAGGGCAGAGTTTAATAAACTATCGACAATCAACAACGGGAACGCGTGTCTCTCCCCTGCATTCTGTACTATTGCCTTGCGGCCCAACCGTTCCTGACAACACGCCAATTGAGCCAACATGCAGTCAGTATTAACAATGATGCAATGATGCAATGATCAACACCTAGCCACAAATGGAGCGACAAATATCTAATGGAACGGGGCCGTCCGAGCAATAAGTTGATAAGCGCAAGCTTGTATGTAACAAACAATAACATGGACGCGACGATGTCCATTCGACTTCGGAGTCGACACGACGATCGGGGCAACACAATCCATTGGCATGTACTAAGATTGCAAAGGCTTCAGGCCTCGGTTAGCTATTATTTGATTTACCGACAGATTGGAAGATGCACGCCGGCTGGCGGAGCAGAGGTGCCTCGTGAGTGTCCGGCGGCACGTCAGCTTGGACTGGTTTCAAGGGGTCGGCATCGGGAGCTGTCGGGGATGGTCCTTCGGTCACAGTGGAGTTGTTCGGGAGTTCATCCAATGTAACTTTCGGGCATTAGCAAAGGCTCACAACGAAGGAAAGCCGATGGGCTTGGCTGGGCCAATTACACATACGAAATACCACGCCACAATATCCCTGGGACCCCTCCTAAAATTTTCACAATGAACTTGTTCCACGGCAAATTTGGCCAGTGAATGGATGACACCCCTCCGTCAGCTGAGTATTAAATACATCGGCGGTGATTAGCTCGCCTTACGTGTGTCATCGCTCCTTTTCTTTTTCGCGCCCAGGGTCCAGGTCCCTTCGCACATCCCGAAATTCCCGGCTAATAACATCGCGATGAGCCTTATTCAGCGGGACTTCTCAGATTGTGGCGTGACAGTCACGCCACTTGGATAACCCAACGCAGCGAAGTCTGCCCGTCTGGGAAACCAACTCCATGGGCGAGGCCAGTCACGATGCATCGTTTCTTTCAGGCAACGGCCTTCATGAGGAAGGCTGCTGGCAAGGCACATGTCAAATGGGGTGATCCGAGTCGAGAGTCCCGAAGTCGGGCCTTGTTGAAACTTGAGAGGACGCCCATGACAAGGAATCCACTTGCCTGCAAGACCCACACCCGCAGAGAAGGCCGGTAAATAACTGCACCGGGTCCCGCTGTGTCATTCGGTGGTTTTGAACTTTGTCTCCCAACTCTTTCTCCCTTGCTCCTGTCATTCCTTTTTGTATACAATAATATTCTACTATCTCCGGAGCATTCTTCATCGTATTAGCTGTTGTAATCGTCAAACGCGCTGCATAGAAGCCCCGTCAATACACAACTGCGCCAATCGGCGCATTTCACACATACAAACGCCAGTTGCGACTTACTCCGCCTGGAGAACCGTAGAACCAGCGTATGCCCTTTTCCTCTTCCCCCTCCTCTTTTTGCGTGCTTTTCCTCACTGCACTGGTGCAAGTCATGCTAATGTTCGGTGTGGTCGTGCAGAATCAAACCACCACTTCGCATATTTCCTTACGCAAAAAAGCCAGGCACGATGATTTACACACGCGCCATTTCGTTAACGAACTTCTTGGTTGCCTCGTCAGCCCTTGGTTTCCAGGTGTTCGTATTATACCCGTGGCACAAGCAGCTAGACGACTCGTTCGAGGACCTGAAAAAGGAGCATGTGCGGGTTCTAGCGGCGGTGAAGGAGGTCGCGAGCGAGGTCGACCCGAACTCGCGCAAAGGCGCTAAAGACTCGATATTAGGACGCCTCGGCATGGGATTCGGAACTGGAAGGTGATTTTTAGAGGCGGTGCGCGCGCAACGCACGCAGCAAGATATCCTTATTAGAAATAAAGACATGAAGCTTATACCTCCCACAGTCTACTCTTGGCGCCCTGGGATAGCACCCCATCCACCGCAATCTCGAGCTTAGCCGACATAGACCCTGCCAGCAGCCACTTAAACTCTGTTACCGCGGCCTTGGCCAGCTCACTACCAAGCACCGGCGGTAGCAAGACCGGCATGTCCGTCTCGGAACTTGCTAGATTTGCCTTTGCGGGAGCGTTCTGCTGTTCTTTTACCCACGGTATCCTGACGCCCGTTGACGTGTAAGCCCATATCCCTACTTGCAAATGCCAAAGCAACTGATGCACATTTACTAGCCGCAACTGGCCATGACTGCTGTGATTGATTTCTGGAAGGAAACACGTAAAATAATCTCACCACGGAAAGCTAATCATTATGGATTCCTCAGTGTCAAGACCAGGGTTCAACTGGAGCCGGCCAAGTATAACCGCGGTTTGGTCGGAGGTCTGCGCCAGATCGTCTCTGCCGATGGCGCTGGAGCGCTGTTGACGGGCTTTGGACCCACCGTCATGGGATACTTCCTGCAGGGCGCCTTCAAGTTTGGAGGGTACGAGTTCTTCAAGCGACAAGCTGGCGACTATCTGGGTCCGGAACGGGCTGCCGCGAATCACAATGCCGTCTACCTAGCTTCCTCCGCCACCGCCGAGCTGATTGGCGATGTCTTCCTGTGCCCATTCGAGGCCGTTCGCATCCGTTTGGTCTCCCAGCCAACTTACGCCCCGGGCATGGTAAGTGGCTTGGCCAAGATGGCAAACAGTGAAGGACTAGCTGGTCTTTACTCCGGTTTTACTCCGATTGTCCTGAAGCAGTAAGTACCCTCGTGACGTCATGTCAACTTGAGCTCCATGTCTCGAGTAGCTGACTTGAATGGCAGAGTCCCCTACACGATGGCAACATTCGTCGTGTACGAAAAGGCCATCGACGTTGCGTACAAGCTGATCGATAAGACGACTGCCTCGAATATGACTCTCTCAGGGGTAAACCTTGGGTGCGGTCTCGTGGCCGGCATGGCCGCTGCCATTGTCTCCCAGCCCGCCGACACGGTTTTGAGCAAGATCAACAAGGAGAAGGGCGCACCGGGCGAGGGCATCGCGCGCCGCATCTTCAACATTGTCACCGCACTTGGAGTCCGCGGCAGTTACACCGGCATTGGCCCGCGTCTTGTTATGGTTGGGGGCATGACTGCTGTGCAGTTTGGCATTTACGGTCACATTCAGAGGGTATGGTTTCCTCCTCTAGTTGATGGCGTGTGCAACTAACTAATCGTGATGTAGGCTCTTGGTGCTACGAGCACCCCTGCTGAGGTTACCGAAGTGGCGGAATAAGCCCACTGTGTTTGATATTGCAAAGGGAATGTGGTAATTAATGTCTCTCGGCGTGCAAGTACTAGAAGGTTTGCAATTTCGTAAGTATGCTGTACAGTGGTTAGAATTATAGACCAATAGATCACTTTGTATTTTCTCCGACCTGGAACTGACAACGGTGGTGTCCGGGCCAAAGTCCAAAGCCCGGCATGTGGAACGTAGCCTCCGGTCGGAATTGAAGGCGGATTGGTTAAATCGAACGACCCATGCAATGTGCTCCATTGCTGTTTACATCCATAATTGGAACTTTGCTCTGTTTGTCCATCGAGACCCACCATGTTTGCTTCCGATACGATGGTACCATGTAGGTGGACGTCGAGTGGACAAGCTTTTCAACGGCCCGGGACTGCCTCTCTGGGATTTAATTATAGCTACTGCAGGGTCGCACGCCATGGGTCGATCGCAAACCGCTGGTCTAGTCTCGGCACGCCGAGGCCATTCTCCCTTTGGATCGGGACAGGGCTTGAACAGATGGTTCAACATGAAACAAGCTTTATATGCCAAAGACACTAGGTTAACGTCCATGCTGACATCATTGTGATGTCTTTGTTCTCCTTGACCCTATAGTGTTGGCTAAATACGATACTCGCGGTTCCGGTGGGGACGGCAAAAGTGCGATCCACACTTCGACAAGCAGAACGAGGCACTATTGACCGATGACACTGCCTGATGCGAGTGCATATGGGGTGTGAATTGTTGTATTGGGAAATGATGCCCAGGTCAGCTATTCTGGCCTGGCAGAGCTCTTTTATAGCTCTTATCTATCTTATCTATAGCTATAGGGTAACCCCCCATGGGGTCACGTATCACTGCCTAAGCGGAGGTACGGGATGGAGTGGAGTGGGGCGACAACGTGTGACAGTGGATATATGGTGAACTAGAGAGTAACACACAATAATATAACGTTAAACTTGATTTGCCAAATGCTATTTCCGGCTTCAGACCTAAGCAAGCTGTGCTAGCCGGTGTTAGCCTGAGCGAACCAACATCCGAGAACGGAAATAGCAGTTTTCAACCCGGTTGGATCTTCGGCAGCTGAATCTGGCTTTTCAGGGGGGGTAGTATGCCGCTATTAGGCTTTACTAAAGCTAATACGAGCCTCAGGATACCTGCATCCAGTTAAATCAAGAAATGAATGAATACCGTCTTAAATTACAAGTATAACCAGATATACTTGCATATTATAAGAGTTATAGAAGATATAATTTGTTGTATCAAGAGTAGTTAAGCTTAATACTACAGTATATAGTATTTAAAGGAGACGCTTAACGACGATAGTAGATAAGTAAACCGCGAATCTAGTATTGTCAGAGAACAGAATGCCATAGGCACCGGTGGGACACCGGTGGGGGCTCTGGTGTAGGAATGTGCGAGTCATGACACGATATGGAAGTCTTGGTTTGCGGAACAATCGGGGAAACTAGTGCTCCGCGGCTCCGACGTCGGGTTCTAGCTATCTATGTAAGGGGCGGAGGCCCGGGAAGAAGATAGAGGGAGAGTAGAGATCAATGCATCACCGTGGGCACCCCTACCTGAGACCGCCAGTGACCACCCGGTATTACGTAGGAGGGACGCCCGTTACTCCCCATCACTCTGTACTATCGCCTTCGGTCTAGCCGTACCCTGACACGTTGATCTCTCCACCCGTCTCCGGGCGTACGGACCGTTGGGGAGAAAATGGCGATGCGAAGAGCCCTGATGCGAAGCCAGACCACAGCCGCAGGCACGCTGGGTGACACCGGAGGAGCTACATCGAGTAGTGCAACGACGACGACAGCGACGCAGACGAGCAGTGGCACTGTCGACGCTACGACGACAACAGCGACGATGAGGCAACTGAGCCGGTCCCAACTAGAGGAGCTCGAGCTAGAAGAGCTTGACCGTCTAGTGGAAGAAGAAGTAGTGAGGAAGAAGAAACGAGAAAGGATTGGACAATTGGAAGCTTTAAGAAGGGGAGAGCCGCATAATAGTACCGCCGGTGGGACCCAGGTTGAACCTATCGGACCAGGCCTAAAGCGACCTCGGCTTGATCTAGGAGGGAGAGGCCACTTGCCGACACTCAAGTACCGGGGCACCAACTGGTCGGAACTTACCTCGTTCATGTTAAACCTAAAGGGGATATTCATGATGTACGCGGAGGACTTCGACACTGATGCGGCGCGTGTACTGCACACCACCGGATGCCTTGATGGGGCGGTGCAACGACGGTGGACCAGCCACGTTGCTACTACTTACAAAAACGACTTGGGGAACGTCCGGTGGGACGCTATGGAGAAGTGGCTGGAGAGGAGTGTGGCTAGCGACGATACGCGAGTGATCAGCGTGATGCAGAGACTCGATAGTATCACCCAGCGCCCCAACCAGAGCTACCAGCAGTTCATCGACGTATACGATGCTATAGAGACAGAGTGCCCTGATCAACTACCGGAACGGATACGCGTCGTCAACGTACTCAACCGCTTACGACCGGAGTTGAAGCGACAAGTCATGACCCGAGGACTTCCCTCGACTCGGTATGAGCTTGACGACGTAGCTAAGCAAGCCGAGGCGATTGAAATAAGCAGCAGACCACCGGTGTACCAACAGCCTGGCCCGAGGACCAACGCAACATCGTCCTCGACCCCAGCACCAGCAAGGGAAGAAACATCAGACGGGAATGCAGGCCAACAGGCGCCCAGGAGGGATGTGGCTTACGGCCAGTGCTACTCGTGCGGACAGACGGGACATTACTCTCGACAATGCCCTAACTGCAGGACCTGCGGTAGAACCAAACATGACGGACCTTGTCCTGAGGACCGGAACCCAAACACAGCGCCGCTGGGGGTCCGCCACACCGAGCCTCAATAGGGGTACGAGCAGCCGCTCCGTCTGGAAACCACCATCCGTCTCCGGGTTGGCGGCTGCTGGCGCATTGGAAAAGCCTTGATTGACACCGGAGCCGACGAGAATGTCGTGGACTCAAGAGTGCTTGGCATCGAGCCGGGTACGTTACAAGACTCCGGTGAGACGCTGCGGGGCATGTGGGGAAGCAAAGGTCCCAACTATGGCAAGAGGGTATTACATACAAAGATGACGGACGGCTTCGGGGTGACGAAGACGAAGGCTCACGAATTCCGAGTCTCAGATGCAGAAGACTGGGTTGCAATCCTTGGGCTCCCCTGGTGCCGTGCCGTTGAGCCTATATTTCGATGGTCCTCGTTAGGATGGACGTACCCTCTCGACGTGGACAGTCTGCAACTGGTGACCAGCAAGAAGGATATACGGAATGCGTACCACGAGGCAAAGTACAGTAGATAGCAGTGCCCGCGGTAGCAAGGGTCGAAGCTAGCAAGGACAGAGGAGCCGGAACAGAGCCGCAGGCCAAGTGTGCCACCGTGCCGTCGGAATACGCAGAATTCCTCCATCTATTCGACGCGCAGTTAGCAGGGAAATTGCCAGATGGAAGGTTTCGGTCACACAAGATCGAGCTAGAGCCAGGTGCCGAGCCGCCGCACGGGCCCATCTATCCACTAGCGGAGAAAGAGCTCGAGGAACTACGAGAATATTTGAAAATGGCCTTGAGCAAGAAATGGATTCGGCCCTCGCAGAGCCCAGCTGGGGCGCCGATCCTATTCGTACCGAAGAAAGGAGGAAAGTTGAGGCTATGTGTGGACTACAGAGGCCTTAACAAGATCACTGTGAAGAACAGAGCGCCACTACCACTGATCGGTGAGATCTTGGATAGGCTAGCTTCCGCGAAGTGGTACACGAAGCTAGATTTGAAGGACGCATACCACCGGGTCCGGATCAGCGAAGGAGACGAATGGAAGACGGCGTTTCGGACGAGATACGGTCATTTTGAGTATCTGGTCATGCCGTTCGGACTAGCTAATGCGCCGGCGACCTTCCAGAGCTACATCAACGACGCACTAGCTGGACTTGTGGACGTGATCTGTATCGTCTACTTGGACGACATCCTTATATTCTCTAAGGACAGAGAGTCACACCCAGAGCATGTCCGGGAGGTCCTCCGCCGGTTGGACGCTGCTGGCCTGTACGCTAATCAAGACAAATGCGTCTTCCACACGCAAGAAGTCGAGTTCCTAGGGTTCGTGGTGTCACCGGAGGGGATCCGCATGGAAACCGACAGGGTGGATGCTATCGCGCAATGGCCAGCCCCGGCTAGTATCCATGATATACAGGTTTTCCTCGGATTTACTGGGTTCTATCGCCGGTTTATCAAGAACTACTCGAAGATAGTAGCACCCCTGACAGACCTACTCAAGGGAGGATCATCTGGAGCGCTGCAGCTCGATAATGTAGCACACGAGGCGTTCTACAAGCTACGCCTGGCCTTCACACGAGCACCTATCTTGAAGCATTTCGAGCCTGGACTACCTATACGTGTAGAGACTGACGCATCAGACTTCGCAATTGGCGCAGTACTTACCCAGCTGCACGGAGACAGGTGGCACCCAGTGGCTTTTATGTCCAAGAAATTGAAAGGTGCTGAGCTACGCTACGGGACACCCGATGCGGAGCTGCTCGCGATTATTGAGGCAACACAACGATGGCGGCACTATCTGCTGTACAGTCAACAGACGATTGAGATTCTCACGGATCACTTGAACCACCGCTACTTAGCCAGTAAGCCGCAGCTCAGCGCTAGACAAGGTAGATGGCTACAGGACCTTGCGAACTATGACTTCGAGATCATATATCGACCAGGCACGAAGAATCCTGCCGATGGGTTGTCAAGACGACCTGACCACCGCGCGACAGCGGGTGAGAAACAGGAGGCGCAAGTAGCGTTCTTGCCAGACTTCCTACAACGATTTAGGAGTATCAGAGTGCGAGTAATGGAGACACAGCGCGCAAGCGGTGCTACAGCTGGTGTCCCTATGCCGGAAGAGTTGGCTCCGACATTACTTGAAGATGTCAGGAAAGCCCAGGCAGAAGACGAATTCGTCAGTAGCGGAGCGTGGAAGTCGCTCAGCCGCGTACCGGGTGCGTGGTACCAGGAGGACGGGCTGCTTTGCTATAAGGGCCGCGTCTTCGTACCAGATAACCATCCGATCCAGCGGGAGATACTGATGGCCTTCCATAACGAGCAGACTAGTGGCCACCTGGGGGTCACCAAGACAGTCAAGAGAATCAGTAGGTCGTACTTTTGGAAATCACTGACGAGATGTGAAGGACTTGTTAGGGGGTGTGCAGTCTGCCAGCAAGCTCCTTGAGAGAACGAACAAGGACTACGAGAAGTGGTATAACAGGTGACGAAAGACCGTCGCCCTCGCCGTAGGGAACCTGGTGATGCTACCGACGAAGAACGTGAGGCACCGATACTTGTCACGGGAGCTACGGGAAGAATACGAAGATTCAGTGGCACGACGTATCACCAGGTGACAACTTGGACTGCAATCGTTGTATCAAGGACACGCCGGCCAAACAAGTCCTTATTGTATACAAGAGAAACTATTGCCCTCTATGGGGCCAGCGGCAACAAGGGCAATCAACTCCTTGAGGGTCATGGCCGCAGCGACCGTCTTGAGGGTGGCCTAGGAGTAGAACAGGTTAGCACCAGTGCCTCAGGAGCGGCACTCAGGGAGGGGGCATGAACGGAACAAAGATCACAGGTAAGTCACCTATTATCACATCTACATAACTACAAGGGCAACGGTACACCGTTGGGAAGCCGGTAACAAGCAGGGTCTCTCTATGGCAGAAGATGGCGGGAAACACTGTGGTTAGGCCACCAGTGTATACGCTGTTGCGCGTGTGTGTCGAACATTGGCTTGCGAGCGTTTTACTGGGCCAATGTTCCGACGATTGGGAGCGTAGGGCCACCGGTGCTGTTCCGGTAGGCACCTATAGCTTCGGAAGGCGAGCGATAGCGCGAAGCACTGTGGTTAGGCCACAAGTGTATACGTTGTCGTAAGCGATTGTCAGGCAAAGGTTTTCGAGCAATGGCTGGACCGATGTCATGACGTGTGTGTGCGGGTGACAGCGCGGAGCACTGTGGTTAGGCCACAAGTGTATACGCTGTTGCGCGTGAAGAGTTACGGGGTATACACCGGAGGGCACCGGCGCGGCATCGGAGGATGTGGGAATAGGAAGGGCCGGTGTTCTACGGGACGAGCGTTGAGGCCCTGAGGGCAGGGCCTTGTCAGGGGGGGTCGTCGTGTCAGAGAACAGAATGCCATAGGCACCGGTGGGACACCGGTGGGGCTCCGGTGTAGGAATGTGCGAGTCATGTCGATATGGAAGTCTTGGTTTGCGGAACAATCGGGGAAACTAGTGCTCCGCGGCTCCGACGTCGGGTTCTAGCTATCTATGTAAGGGGCGGAGGCCCGGGAAGAAGATAGAGGGAGAGTAGAGATCAATGCATCACCGTGGGCACCCCTACCTGAGACCGCCAGTGACCACCCGGTATTACGTAGGAGGGACGCCCGTTACTCCCCATCACTCTGTACTATTGCCTTCGGCCTAGCCGTACCCTGACAGGATAACAGGGATTCGCCGCGTAAGATCAGGTCTACAGATAGAAGTTTCTAAATATACGACTTCTCAGAAGAGATTAAAGGTCGTTAGTAAGTCGTATTTAGCTTCCCTAGTATATAGCCTTATATTACTTTATATCTATCTTATCTCCTATTAACGTGATCTATAAGTTTGTTACGAATCTACGATTCTAACCAACGCAACAGGCCCGATGGCAGGCCCAGTGGATACAGGACAAAGAAGGAGGGAAAGTCACACAGGTTGATTGATTGATTGAAATTTAACGTCTCATCACGTGAGACGTGCCGGGCGCAGTGCCTAAAAGTCACACAGGAGTGGCTAGCTGCAGGAGGAGCCAGCTAGTACAAGGATCACGAGCCACGTGACTTACAAGGGTGGATCATTTGGATATGAAATGATCCAACATATCCAGTTAGGACCAATAGTATCCATGAAGGATCTAATGGCCCCAGTTATCAGTGAAGGAGGGAATGGATATATAAGGGACAGGACTCCCAGGCATTTCATAGATAGACAGTCTCTACTTCAGTCATCAATCTAAGCATCAATCTAACCCATTGGTGAGGCAAACTGCCTTGACGACTCTATTCCCAGTTACCCTACTCGAATACTTCAGTTACCCAGAGCCCGATACTCCATACTTCAGACCCCGATATTATGGCTAAAGGACTCCGCAGCAGGACTTACTTACTAGCACAAACCCTTACAGACTATTTAGTGGTTTACGCAGCTAGACTATTAGAGGTTTCGTTACAGTATCCTTATAAAAAATAGATAGAAATACTTATACTACTAACGTGAATGTACACCGAGCTGGCCATGACACCGAGCTGGCCACCCTTACATAACCTCGCATAGAAATTTTACGATAGTAAAACCACAACGCGGTAAATCAATTGAAACTACTCTGAATCTTCCTCTCCAGAAGATGGCAATGCGATCTTACAAGTTCGCGCATTATGCCCAGTCCCGTTGCAAATACCACAGCGCCTCGGGCGCGTTTCAACACGCTTTGCGCGACCACCATTTCGGCGCTCTTCTTGCTGTGTCTGCGTCGCCAACTCCCTAGAGTCCCGTAGGTCCTGTCCTTGGAAAATAAGTGATTCTCGTTCCCGTAATTGCATTCTTTTAGTCCTCCGGCGCCGGCTTAGCATCTTATTTGCCTCTCGAAGCTCAGCGCACTCGGCCCGTACGAGGGCGAGCTCGTGCATTATCACTTTTTCTCCCTTCGCAAACTGGTCGACAGCTGAGAAAATATTCGTCGGAGAGCTATTCTGATGCTCGGAGATGCGCTTTTTCAAAAAAGTAGACTGTGCATGAGCCTCTATCGGGTTCTGTGGCGTCTTTGATACCCACGGTCGGGTTGCGATTTCTGGGGAGCCAACAGGCGTCGGGGTCCGTAATCGTACGTCCAGCTTTGAAATCACACTTTCTGGATTGAATGGAACAAGCCCTGCCCTTCGAAAGCCAGCTTGAACGTTTTTTTCGCCGAAAACTGCAAAGAAGGCGTCTTTGAAGATAGGAAAGAAGTCCTCCTTCGCGATATGTGTTAGTGACCGGCGTATCAATTTCTCTACCATCTGGCCGTACACCCGCTTTAATGGACCGAAACAGGTCACGTCAAGTGGCTGGAGGATGTGAGATGAGTGCGGAGGCATACACAAATTTACAATTTTGTGTTCTTTGCAATATAGCTCGAAATCGCCGGAAACGTGGCTCTCGTGACGATCCAACACTAACAATCGATATATCCCGGACTTTCCATCTTTCGTACAATTATCGAAGTGTTTAATAAATTCCATACCAATCTCGTTAGTCTTCCATTCTTTTGGACTAGGTCTAATTCTCCAATCTTTCGGAATGTTGTCGTCTTCGTACCAAGAAGAGAGGTGGTATCGGCCCGCAACAACGATGAACGGCGGCAGCGCCCAACCGGTAGACTGGACCGCTTGGATTACGGTAACCCATTCCCGGTTACCTTGCTGTATTTATTTCGGCCTGGCACGTCGTTCGGAGCTCGTAACTACTATATTGGTTGAGATCTTGCCCATCATAAACCCAGTCTCGTCGAAGTTGTAGATGTCCGACTCTTGGATACCGTATTTCGCGATAACATTCGCAACAAGCCGAAACCAATCTGCAACAAGCTTTGGATCTTCGCATTGGGCCCTTTGGCAATCGTAAGGACGGTTCCAACGAGTTTTCAACTCTTTGCGACGTGCGACGAACCTCGAGGCCCAGCGCGTTCCAATGGGCCCTGCGTTACGTGTCGCGCGGATAGAATTTGCCATTGCTTCCACATCAGCAATCCGGGGCGGAAACGCTCGTGCATCTAAGTCCAGTATATGCTTGATAATGACCTCCCCTTCTAATTCTGTCATAGTTCGTGAATTGGGCAAAATATCGCGTCGGAAAGGTACGCCGTTTTTACGCGTTTGGAGGGTGCTTCGGGGGACTTGGTACGTTTTTGCCGCATGTCGGAGACTAAGTTTTTGGTCATTTTTGAGAGCTTGAAGGGCTAGCATTAAGTCTGCTTCGTTGTATGACTTTGCCATAATTGGTTGTTGAGAAATCAAAGATGAAGTTGGCCGGTCGCGTTGGCGCATGAAAGTGGCCAGCTCGGTGTCATGGCCAGCTCGGTGTACATTCACGTTAGACCTTAATAATATTAGATACGATAAAAGTGAGCTTAAGGCCTAATCTTAGTATATAAAAATAAATCTCTATACACTGAGCTTTATTTAAACTTTATTTTATGTATAAAATCGCTTATATTCATAGGTAAGTAGCGAAGTGCTAGCTATGTTGCCGTGTAGCAGTTTAATGATCTAGCGGGGTAGTCCCCAGACTTTTGGAACATGAATATAGCGCAAGGATCACCTATTCAGGTCCCAGACCAATCATTAGCACCGCCCCACTTGCACCAAACGCGTCTGATCGCGCTCAAAGCTGGCAACCGCGTTGTATCCTAATTTGAGCTACAACACGATGATAAGCAATTAGTAAAAGCGAACTGCTGATCATGGTCAACACCACCTTACAAGCTCTCCTCTTTCTGTGACATGATTTCTTCCATACACTCATATCCCTTTCTTTCACGTCTCATACGTGTAACAAGTTTCCCGAATTGAGAGTCAGTAGGCCAAGGGACGAGCTTTACCGCAGACATCCTGACACCTTTATTTTCCATCTGGAGAGCACACTTATAAAATCTTTTTCATGGATCTAACCGTTTCAAGAACTCGAGCGGCCCAAAGGTATACCGTTTTCAATGTCCCTTCTGTTCCTAGAATTCCATAACAAAGCCACGACGTCACAACTAACGGTTATTGTGACCAGACGCCCGTTGCGCACCTACAGTAATCGTTCCGCTCAGAGTGACTGCACCGAGCCAGTGACAAAGAAGCGACAGGCCGAAGGCCAAGATGGGCAGCGTGTAACATCAACTACGATCGCAAGTACCATGACGACTCAACCAGAGACGAAAGCGAATCTGCTGCAGCGTACAATGCAGCCATGCATGAAACAGCAGCCTAGGAAAGAGTCCATCCTAAGCTACTTCAAAATCGCATCACCAACCTCCGGTTCTGTATCCTGTTCGCAGCTGTCCAACGCGACCGTGTCCTCGTCGACCGCGCCGTCTTCGCCGCTCATGGTGGAAGCTCGACAGAGGAAGCGTCGGAGGCTGACCACGCGGCCGCTTCGAGATTCCAAGATACCCGGCCTACTAGCAGATGATGCGGCTGAGAAACAAACACAGTTTACGTCCTCGACTCTAGATAAAGCTGAGGCCGCACTGAAAGAATCGAGCATAGCACGTCTGAACCGACAAGAGAGGGACGAGAAGAGGTTTAACGCTGAAATGCGTGGAATGAATAGGCGGCAGATATCAAAGCTACCTACAGTCCAGACAACGCTTAGCCTATCTGTCCACGAGAAGGGCTTCGTTGAGTGTAAGGATTGCAACGTGCTATACAATCCCTTCCACGACAAAGACGCCAAGTACCACACTAGGCGCCACGCAGCAATGTTGAAGGCGAAGTCAGCTGCAGGAAACACCTCACGGTAATCGCCACGTAGTAGAGAAGACTTGGGTCTGGACATTGGCTTGGAGCGTTGGACGATGATGTTTGATTATTTGTGTCTAGGAACCAATGAATGGTGTTGAGATGGACAGTGCGTACATGGCTTTAGCGTGCGGATAACGTACCCTACGGTCCAATTGAACACTTCTTAAGACCTCGTACAATAAGATATAAGTTAATTCAACTATAACGTAAAAAAATAATTAAAATTACTCGGAACTATCTTCTTCAGATATCTCTTTACTATTCTGACAAGTACGCATATTATGACCGGGCTCTCCGCACGTCCTACAGCGTTGCTGAAGTATCTCTGGCCTCCTCGTACGACTACGACTCCAGCGCGATTTATTATCTAACTCTCCGTTAACTAGCTTCTGAGACTGTAAATCTTCTCCAGCTTGTATACGAAGTGATCCTACATACTGTAAACGTTTTTTTCTCGTATAACGCCGCCGGCTAAGTGTCTCATTTGCCTTTCGAAGCGCGGCGTTCTCACCCTCTAAAAGAGCAAGCCGGTGCATAACCTGCGTCGTACCCTTCGCAAACTGGTCAAGTGCAGTAAGTGTAGCTGTCGGAGAGCTATTTTGATGCCGTATAACTCGGTTTTTCACGTATTCGGTCTGGGATTGTGCCTCAATTGGGTTATTTGGGGTCTTCGACTCCCAGATAATAGGAAGGCCAGACGAGGTACCCGGAGGTGTTGGAGTATGTAACTCCACATCTAACTGCGAAATCACATATTCCGGATCGTACGGTACGAGTCCTGCCCCTCAGAAACCTCCTTGGATATTTGATATCGTAAAAGTTGCCTGGAACGCTTTTAAGAACGCGGAGAGGAAGTCCTCCTTCGAGATATGGGTAATATGTGCCCGCATAAGATCCTCAATTTCTTTACCGTACGCTCTTTTCAGTGCACGAAAACAGCCGATATCGAGAGGTTGGAGCTTATGCGACGAATGAGCCGGCATACAGAGTGTGATAATAGAGTTTCTCTTTACAGTAGAGCTCGAAAGCGGTCGAGTGGTGGCTCTCGTGGCCGTCGAGAATTAAGAGGCGATAAACACCTTTCGTACGAAGCTTTGTATGTTGATCGAAATGTCGAATCCAGTCCTCGCCTCTTTCATTTGTAGTCCAGCCATTTTTCGTAACCGCGATAACCCAATCCTTTGGTAGTAGGCTATTTTCGTACCACGAAGATAGGTGAGTTTTACCAGCAAAGATGATATACGGAGGGATAGTATAGCCGTCCGATCCGACGCCCTGGATAACTGTAACCCATTCCCTATTCCCTTGCTGTACTGCTCTAGGTCTTCCATGTCGATCAGAGGTCGTTACAACTATCTCGGATGAGATTTGACCCATAAGAAACCCAGTCTCGTCAAAATTATAGATATCCTTCTCTTGAATTCCATACTTATTAATTGTATTCCGTACGAGATAAAACCACGCGCGGTACGCGTCGGGATCTTCGCAGAGGACTCTCTGGTAGTCGATTCTTCGATTAAAACGCGTCCGGAGGTCTGGTTGTCGTCGTACGAAGCTCGAAGCCCAGTTAATACCGACGCATCCTGCGTCGCGTTGGTGGAGTAGTCGATTCGCCATATCTTCAACACCACTTATTCGAGGAGGAAATGATCATGAATCTAGGTCGACTATGTAGCGTACGATCGGGTCTTCTTCGGAATAGGTAAGCTTTTGCGTTGGTGATCGTATATCCTGTCGTGAAGTACCGCCGCGATATCGGTGACGTAAGGTTGTATGAGGGATATTATAGATCCGTGCTACGGATCGTACGCTTAGTTTGGGGTTATTTTGAAGCGCTTGAAGCGCTAATTGAATATCGCTTTCTTCCCAATTACGTGCCATTGTAGAAGGTGGAAAATAAGGGATAAAACCTAGGTTGTACGGAAATGCGCGAAAGTGTTCAATTGGACCGTGGGGTACGTTATAGCGGAGGGGGAGGAGTGGAAAACTGCTTTCCAAACGAGATACGGCCTTTTTCAGTGGATGGTAACCCCTTTAGGACTCTCGGGAGCTCCCGCGACTTTCCAACGATATATTAATAGTATCTTACGGGAATTTCTAGACGACTTTACTACTGCCTATATGGATGACGTCTTAATCTAGACCGATGGTAGTAAGAGAGAGCACTTGCAGCAGGTCCGACGAGTTCTAGAGAGGCTTCAGGAAGCCGGGTTATACCTCGACCCGGATAAGTACGAGTTCGGGGTAAAAACCATTTAATACCTGGGTTTTATCGTCACGGCCGGTGTGGGAATACAAGCGGATATGGAGAAAGTACGCGCTATTCTCGAATGGGAAGCCCCTACGAACGTTACAGGAGTACGCGGTTTCCTCGGATTCGCAAACTACTACCGAATCTTTATTCCGAAGTTTTCAGAAGTAGTAGCTCCATTAACTAAACTTACTGGGAAAGGAGCACTCTTTACTTGGGGCCGGGATCAAGAAGAGGCCTTTCAAACGCTGAAACTACTCTTTACACGGACACCAATCCTAACGCAATGGGACCCAGATAAGAATACCTTCTTAGAAGCAGACTGCTCTGGGTTTGCCTCAGGAGGAGCACTCTCCCAGGAGCAAGAAGATGGAACACGAAGGGTAATCGCTTTCCACTCCCAGAAACTTAGCCCAACGGAGGTTAACTACCCCATCCATGATAGGGAGATGCTAGCAATTATTCGCTGCATAGAACAGTGGGACGCAGAATTACGTAGCTGCGAGCAGTTTAATATCCTGACGGACCATAGGAATCTTCAATACTTCATGACGAGGCAAAAGCTCTCGGAACAGCAAGCGAGATGGGCAGAACTGCTCTCACGATATAACTTTCAACTGGAGTACCGCCCCGGGAAGAGCGCAGTGGTACCGGACGCCCTTTCGCGAAGAGAGCAAGACCAAATCCGCCCCGGGGATAGTAGGGAAGAAGGCCGATTCTTGCAACTGCTCCCTCCCGAATCTTTACCAGAAAAACCGCGTACACTACAGATAGGATTAGCAAATATAGCTAACCACCTCCCGGGAATAAAGGTCTTTCAGGAAGAGGAGCTCCAGGCATTATGGGATAAGACTGCCCCGCAAGACGCACTTTACCAACAGGTATATAGAGCGGTCAAACAAAATGCTCGAAGTCTTGCACCAAACCTTAAGCTCAAGGTACAAATTTCGGAGTGCAATATAGACTCTAAAGGCCGAATATTATATCGAGATCGACTATGGATACCGGGAGCACCTATCGATAGCACCAATAGCCCTCTGGACATATTACGGACGAAGGTTATTCAAAAGATACACGATTCTACGCTCGTGGGTCATCCGGGGCGGGACGGGACTATCGCGGCAATCTCGAGGGATTACTATTGGCCAATGCTACAACACCACGTCCGGAGGTTTATACAGAACTGCGACATCTGCGGTAGATCAAAGATTTGGAGGGAAAGCAAGAGGGGCTTCCTAAAACCGCTCCCGATCCCTTCACGTCTACACACAGAACTATCCATGGATTTTATTACCGATCTGCCGTTATCCAACGGTAATAGATATCTATGGGTTATAGTAGATAGACTGGGCAAGAGTGTGGTTTTCGAACCAATGCCAACAATGGAAGCGGAAGCCTGCGCAGAAAGATTCCTTAGTGCGCATTTCCGATGGCACGCATGTCCAGTAGCGATTACGAGCGACCGGGGCTCAAACTGGACAAGCAAATTTTGGAGGCGTCTCTGCTCCCTGGTCGGAATAGAGCAGAGACTAAGTACGGCATTCCATCTGCAAACCGATGGGAGCACGGAGAGGATGAATCAGGAAATACAGGCCTATCTACGAGCCTATATTAACTATACCCAGGATGATTGGACGAGATGGTTCCCAGTAGCGCAGCTAGCTCTTGTGAAGGTCAACCCTCGCAGACTCACTACAACCAGGTGACTTACAGCTGGAACACCTGCCATGGCAGTGCCAGATGGGAAGCCAATCATAACCCCTGCAGGAGCCCCGCCAAGCGTGGACGACTTAGTCGCGCTCCCTCAAACCTAAGTTGTGATCTTCTTTCCTTCGCTCCTTAGAGTAGAATCTTCGTCGATAGCACCTAATCGAGGTCTCTACCAATGCGATGCAACCCAGGTCGTGACAGCTCTAAATGGGAGAGCTAACCCAACTACAGGATTAAGCCCTTTCTTCTTAGAGCATGGTTACCACTTCTCTACCCTTCCCCTCGAAATAGAAGAAGAAAGCCCTGAAGGGACCCCGGAATATCGGGCCGAGCACTTCCTAGCGAAGTTACGCGATATCACGGACCTAGCGCAGAGTTCAATGGCAACTGCCCAGCAGCGGCAGGAATACTTCGCGAATCAGAAAAGAAGTGCTCCCGAGCGTTTTGAAGAAGGAGATAAGGTTTGGCTCGACCTACGAAATTATAAAACTCCGCGACAAAAGAAGTCCCTAGACTGGTTACGAGCGAAATAATCAGTCTCGAGAGTCATTAACCCCCTAGTGGTAGAGCTCTCTGGAATCCCCTCCGGCATCGAAAACCGATTCCACGTAGATCTACTACGAAGAGCACATTCTAATCCGCTCCTCGGGCAAGAAGTATCCGATTCCCAACCCCTACCAATCCAAAATCAAGAAGGAGATAACGAGTATTTTGTAGAAGAGATCCTCTGCGCTCGAACTAAGAGCAAGGGGCGAGGAAAGGTCCGCCAAGTATTCGTTCGATGGAAGGGATACGCCGATCCTACTTGGGAGCCCTTATCCGAATTTCAAGAAACAGAAGCGCTCAAGAGGTTTGAGGAGCAATACGGTAAAGCTGAATCCTTTGACGGACTAGCGCACTTATATCAAATAACTAAAAGTAAGAGAGAGAGGAATAGAGCGACTACTCAAACAGAAAGCGAACGCCCCCAGGATGCAGAGAACCAGGAACCTCGAAGGGCACAGGGCAGAAGGGCTTCTAGGCTCAGCGAAGCCGAGCGGCCAGAGCAGAAAAGTCGGCCCGGAAGCCACGCACTTCTACTAGAAGAGCGCGCAGAGTCTCCGACTGGGAGAGCGCTTCCGCCTCCTCCTCTTCATCCTCGCCATCGCTACTCGACAAGACGACGGGAGCGTTGCTCGCCCACTTAGCGGCCCGAACACCAGCGCGCAGACTCGCAAGAGCAGCAAAGTCGGCGCCCCAAGCCGCGGCGGCCGCCAACTTCTTTGAAGCCCTCAGAGCTTTTTCCTCACTAGAGGGAAATGGGAGCTATTAGAGGACGAAGAAGCCAGATAAGTAGAAAATAGAAGCACTTACAGGGGAGCGCACTTGTGGTTACCCACCGCACAGGCGAAGCAACGGCCGGAATCAACGCCCAATTGGTCGAAACAGGCAGCGGCGGACTTTCCCAACCGACCGACTGTCAGAGAACAGAATGCCATAGGCACCAGTGGGTGTCAGGACACTGAACGCAAGACACCGGTGGGGCGCCGGAGGGGTGTTTCGGACAAAAGACTCCCGAGTCATGATTACAATCTATGTGAAGCTTTGGGATGACGAGAGTCAAGATCCTTGGCATCGCCGACCCTGCTGTTATGCCGGGTCCAAGCGGCGGCCTAGCTATCTATATAAGGACCATCTCGAAGTAGGATAGGGAAGGAGCAGAGATCAATGCATCACCGTGGGCACCCCTACCTGAGACCGCCAGTGACCACCCGGTGCTACGTAGGAGGGACGCCCGTTACTCCCCATCACTCTGTACTATTGCCTTCGGCCTAGCCGTACCCTGACACCGACACAGGAGTCACACGTATAATCTCGCGCAGCACCACGCATGGGGACCTTCTTGCTACTACCTTTGGTAGTAGTCGCGGGAGCAGATCTGCGGATAGGGGTCTAAGAGGGGGTTAGCAATAGGTCTAGGCCGAATATAGGGAGATACAGACTCGGGCAGTGGAACGGGTCATACGACGCGCTCCTCTTATCTTGGGCTTCTTGGCAGTAGGGGCGGAGGCGACGGGTGTGCGCAAGGTTACCTTGCGCTTGCCCTTCGCTGCAGATAACTCATGCTCTATGGGAGCTGGGCGCAGACCCTCATGGTTATCGTCGTCGTCATCATCCGTGGAGGCGGGAGCAGGAGCAGCCCTTCTGGTAAAGCGTGATGGGCCCGACCTTCTCATGAAGGATGGGGTGTTGACAATCTCCTCATCATAATCGCTCCCGGAGGACGAACTATCGCTGGAGGAGCTGAAGCGGGGCAACATCTGCTCGCACGATTAGCAGGCGCACCTATGCTACAACTGCATAATATCTGTACCGTGACCGAGAGAGCGGGAGCAGGATATGAGAATATGTCAAGAGAGAGTAGATGTGCTGAGGATGATGGGTGAAAAATGGGAGCAAAAAGTGTACACAAAGTCGAGGCTGGGCGACGTTTGGGAGGAGCAGAATGATGGTTGTTTTGCAAACGGACGTGCCTGCTGCCTGACGCGCAGATAACCGACAGGCACGAGCTGTCGGCCAGGGAGCAGCCATCATGGAAGCATTCAGACTAACAACCTACAAAGGGGGTCATGTGACAGGCTTGGCCTGTGCGCAGGAATCTGGCTCTGGGGAGCACAGATCAAACGCCCCACTACCTAAGAGAGCATACAAATCAGCGCTACCCTACCTCACCGCCATTCCTTCCCTTCCTCCTTCCCTCTGCATAGTATGATAGATACATCAGGGTAGTACAACAGGCTCGTTACATTGTACTGCATCTGTTACAGTACTGTTCCGATTTCTCCTACCTTTCCTAAACGAGGTATTGAAAAACATCGTTCTGTCTGGAATCCTGTATCATCTCGAACTTCACTGATCGCCACATACCTGTGACGGGCTCACTGCGAAACTATACAGCTCAACATGGCCAAATACTGTTAATTATCTAACTGAGGAGGAAAGTAAAATATGCGAGTTGTCCCGGGAACACGGACTATGTTTTGTGTGCCCTCGATGGTTCCTTTGGTGGATCCGGACGCACGGTCCTTGCAGCTCCGGATCCCATATCAGGCACAGCCTGTCACATTACCCCCCTCCCAAGGTTTTGAGAGAAGAATTTTATCCCATTATGAATTATCCCGCTCATTAATCTCATCGTCAGGGCTTCCACCGAAGCTCCGGTTGTGCGCTTGCTCCTTCTTGGTCCAATAGTGGCTCCGGTGTTCTCACCGACGCCGTCCCCGGTTCCGAACTCCTGCTCGAACTTGTCCAAGGCAACAGTATCTTCGAAGTTCTTCCTTGGTTCCCAGTTCGGAGATTGGTATCCCTTCCACTTGACGAGTACCTCTCGTCTGTGGCCTCTGCCTCGTGTCTTATTTTCTGCCCTCAGGATCTTTTCGACCGTATATTCGCCTTGGTTTCCTTCCGATGAGGGTGGTAGTACGGCAGGCGGTTGCTCGTCTAGGACCCTTTGGGACGGTAGAGGGTCTGTAGCAGCATGCTTTAGGAGGTCCACATTAAACCTAGGCCAAATACCTGTTGGTACATTCAGTTCCACGCAGTGAGTGTCGATCACCCGAGTGACTTGATATTTCGCATTTATCCAGGCCAGCTTTTTGGAGAGCTGGGGCGTGTCTATGTTCTTCAAGTTCAGCCAGACCTTGTCGCCGACGTGGAACTTGTCTGCTTCTTGGCGCTTTTTGTTGGCCGAATCCTCCATTCGCTGTTGGACTGACGCCATAGCTGCTTGGGCGTACTCCTGTGCCTCATGCATCCTGGCGACAAAGTTGTCTGCCCGCTTGGTCGGGTCAGACCTAGAGCCTATTGGTGGCGTGACTTGTGGAATGGGCTCCACATGGTAGCCGTGTGTCAGGAAGAATGGGCTGAGTCCTAAAACGGTGTCCCTGTTGTTGATTGCCAGCATCGCGGAGGGAAGCATTTCGGGCCAGTCGAATTGTGCGTAAGAGATAAAGGCTCTGAGATATGCGAGTACCTCCTGATTCATTCGCTCTGTGCTCCCATCGGACTCTGGATGGAAAGCAGTTGACAATCGTTGTTCGATTTTAACCAGTTTGCATAAGTGTGTCCAGAAATCGCCTACCCAGTTCGTTCCCCTATCTGAAGTCAGGAACGAGGGGAATGCATGAAATCGGTAGTGACACTGGAGAAACCTCTCTGCGCAATCTTCAGCTTTCATGCTACTCATTGCTTCCAGCGTGCAGCTCTTAAGCAGTCGATCGGTAATAACCATCAGAAATCGGGGGTCTCCTTTTGACTTGGCGGGCAGCTCTGTCATAAAGTCGATAGAGAGTTCGCTATGGAAACGGTCCGGCACTGGCAGTGGGTGCAACAGACCTTTCCTTTTCTCCCTCCAGACGTGTGACCTCCCGCACACGTCGCAGTTCCTACAGAATTGGCGTACCATTTTCGACATTCCTGGCCAGAAGAAGCTTCTATTGAGGATCGCTAGTGTGCTGTCCCTTCCAGGGTGGCCGGTAATGTGCGAGTCGTGTGTCTTCTGAATCAGAGCTGTGCGTAGAGGTTCCCACTCTGGTACCCAGGCTCGCTTCCTGAATCTTAATACACCTCTCTCGTCGAAGTCACACTCGGAGATTGACGCTTTGAGTTTTTTTCAACACCGGTGGAAAACTCCTTTCCCCCTTCGTTAAGGCTTGGTACATTAAGGGTAACTCCTGATCCTCTGCTACTCCGCGGTCCCAGAGCAGCTGCAGCTCGATTTCCTGAAAGATGCTTCGTCCTTTGGACAGGCTGGTTGACTGTTGCTCCGTTGACACTGGGGGGAGTTGTATGGAGGAGATCTGGGTCGGTACAAAGTCGGCCTGGTGGGGCTTGACCCATGAGTCCTTCAGTAATTGGAATTCCCTGTTTCGTAGGCGTTCATCGTCGACGCCTTGAGGCATGTCTTGCTCTCTCCGTGAGAGTGCATCAGGACGTAAAGCGCTCTTACCAGCCCTGAACTTCAGCGTGAAGTTGAACTGCGAGAGGGTGTGTGACCATCGGACTTGTCGTTCAGAGAGTCTTCGGGTTGTCATAAAGTACTGCAAGTTCTTGTGATCTGACAATACCACGAAGGGCTTTTCCAATCCGATGAGCATGCCACGCCATTCCTCCATGCACCTGACTACCGCGAGCAGTTCCTTGTCATGAATCTCGTAGTTCGATTCTGCTGGGCTCAGCTTTTTGGATAGATAGGCGACGGGCCTGAGTCGTCCTTCTTTGTCGACCTGTGATAGACACCCGCCCATTACGTATCCGGAACAGTCGGCTTCCAAGATCGTGTCCTTCGACTCGTCCCACATAGCGAGAACTGGTGCGGTCATAAATAGCTCCCTGAGTTGGTCGAACGCTTGTTGTTCCTTCCCACGCCACTGAAAGTTCGTGCCTTTCTTGGTCAGGCGTAATAGGGGGTCGGCGATTTTGCCGAAGTCTGGGATGAAGTTCCTGTAGAAGTTGGCAAAGCCGATAAAGCTTCTAACCCCTTTTACTGACGTGGGGGCTTCCCAGCCTCTAATAGCCTCAACCTTCTCCGGGTCGACCTTAATCCCCTCGCCCAGCGAAATAATGAAACCTAGGTATTTTGTTTCCTTCACCGCGAATTCGCTTTTCTTCGGATCGAGTTTCAGGCCAGCAGCTCCCAGCTTGGCAAGGACAGTATTGACTTTGACCCAGTGGTCTGTTAGGTCTCCGCTAGTATAGATCAAGACATCGTCTAAGTAAGCCGAAACGAAGTCTCCCAAAAAGTCTTTGAGAACTTTGTTGATCCACCTCTGGAACGCCGCTGGGGCCCCTGTGAGCCCGAATGGTGTTACCAACCATTCAAAAGAACCATACCTCGTACGGAACGCCGTCTTGAACTCATCTCCCTCTCGAACCCGAAGCTTGTGAAAAGCGGCTCTCACGTCTACCTTCGTAACGTATGTAGCTTTTGCCACGGCTCTCAGCGTCTCCCGTATCAGAGGGAGTGGGTAACGGTCCTTCTCAGAGATCGCGTTCAGTGCTCTATAATCCACGCAGAATCGGAGTCCACCTCCTGGTTTCTTCGCGAAAAGCACTGGTGCGCCTCCTGGGGAGGCGCTGGCCCTAATCCAATTTCGATCAAGGTGGTCGGTAAGAGTCTTCCGAAGTACTAGGAGCTCTTCCCTGGACATGTCATAGAGGGGTCCATTTGGGACCTCTTTCTCGCGTCCATATTCGTCCTTCTGGAGCTCGATTTCCATGTCGACTCCAGGGCGATGTGGGGGAACCTCGTTATTCTCATCCTCTGTGAAGAACCGGGCGTTTTCCCTCACTTCTTGAGGTAAGTTGGCCGCTATTTCTCTAGGCGATTGCTTCCTCTTTGGCTCTAAGGCCTTATTAATATCTGCCATTGTAGCAGCAAATAGCCGAGTTTCTCGATCCTTCCTGGCTCTCCTCGCGAGAACCGTAAAGTGGCTGCCGATAACCATCCGTGCAGCACCTACTGATACCGCTGAGACTCGCTTCTTCACGTCATTCGGAGCGCGAGTATGATACCATCCTTTCTCCCTGACTACGAGACCGTGTTTCTTGCTGCCGAACCGAATAGCTCTCCTCTTTGCGAGATAAACCACATCGTTGGCCTCCATCCATGGTTTCCCAAGGATTACGTCATATGCCAGATCTTGGATAATGTACCCGTACACCGTTTCTCGTCTCCCGTCAATGTCCATGTCAACGTGGGTGATTTCTCGGATCCACCTCTTCTTATCATCATTCTCAGCTAATTGAAGCTCTCTAGCCTTAACGGGTATGCGCGGTAATTTTCGACGTCGGACTAGTCCCTCGGAAAATGCAGAGAAACAGAGGCAGCCGGTATCGAACAGAGAGTCCACATAAAAACCTGAGTTAATTAGTGTATCTATGAGAAACGGTGTGCTATCCATCTGTTTCATTGCTTCCTTCACTTCCTTCGCCGAGATTGTTTCCGACCCCTGAGTGCGTCTTAGCTCAGGGGTTACTCGTTTTCCGACGACGACATTGAGTCTTCGGAAACGTGTCCCGCTACGGCCTTGGACTGTGCGTGATTCATTCGAGATGGCTTTGCTGGCCTCGAAAAGTCCGGGCAATCGAAACCAAAATGGCCGCTTTTCTTGCAGCGGTTACACTTGCCTTGATCCTTGAGGAGCTCAAATTCCTCCTGAGGTATCCAGGGCGCCCTCGGCTTGTCACCACCTCTGTTCCGGACCTTCTTCTTGCTGCGGCCAGGGTTCCCTTGCATTGCAGCGATAAGGGTTGCTAATGTTTGGAGGGTGACACTGTCGATTCCTGTCATTGCAACATCTCCCTCATGGTCAACCGCAGGCGGTGCTGGAAGGGAGGAGGGCCTGGTCCTTGCACCGGATGAGCTTCCTCCCTGTGTAGCGACGGTGGGCTGTGACCTGCCGTTTCGGTGGCTATACACTGTCTTGGCGTTTTTGTGTCCTGACCTTGAGGCATAGTCCTCCAAGGCTTCCAGCTTCCCCGACGTCCGTCTCAATTGCGTAACAAAGAGAGGGTAATTGTCGTCAGACAACTCGTTCACAGAGACCAGAGCCCTTCGTAACCGGTCGTTTAGGCCGATGTTAAGCCCATTAATTTTAACTCGATCAGGCCAGTCAAGACCGTCAGCTTGGGCTAGCTTCTGTTCATAGTCTCGCAGGAAGTCTGCAAAGAGCTGATGTGTCCCTTGACGCATATGTGCGAGGTCTTCTCCAGCAGCCCTGGTAGCCTGTTTGTCTTCGAAGTTCTCGTTGAAGTGGTCGACAAGCTTCTCGTAGTCGTATTCACCATCCGGTCCTCCTTTCTGAAACCAGTGTGCCACTCGAGTTTGGAGGTCCGCGGGGAGGGTGTTGACCATATCCAGGCAGATAGCCTTTCGGCTGCCCAGCATGTC